AGCCTGTATGGTGAGGTTAGTGTTCATATCTAACGACTGTGCACTTAATTACTGATATAGTTTAATGTCTTGTTTCCAGCTAATGAATTTAACACGAAAAATCACAGGAGAAAGCGACAATGATAGAGCAAAGGCCAGCATGAAAGCAAAACTGAACGAACAGAGTAATTATTTTGCAAATCAAAACATCCCTGCTAATGAGTCCAATGAGGATGCCTATAAACGATGTATCTCCATGGAAACAGCCAAGGTTCACTGTCCAGTACGATGGTATGCTATGCAACGCTGGTTCTCATACGTCAGAGAGGTAAGGATTGAAATACCACGTACTTGGATCAAGCAATTGTGCATGGAATATTAGGACTAACTAACCTTGAAATAATGTATTACATACTTCTAGTTGACGACAATACTAAGTGTCAAAGTTATGAAGCTTTTCCACGTGGTTGGACCAAAGATTTCCGTACCAAGTTGTCCTGTTGAGCCTAAAGCAGATTTCAATCCAGCTTCTCCAGCACCAACCTACAGAAAAACAAACACTGCGTGCACCAATCCCGCAGGATACTACATTCCTTTCTTTCTAAAGAAACCCGGACCAAAATCAGACGAAGGAACGATCAGTGCACATGAGGTATCCCCTGGTCATCACTTACAGGTGAGACGGATAATGAGTCAATCGCTTCTGTTAGTCTATTTATAAATATGATCAATGTTGCTTCCCACAGGTTCAAGGCTATGTCGAGCATTTTTCTGTGGAGGATAAGGGTGTTGTTCGATGGCTGTCCAGTTCTCTGCATTTCTTGGCTTTCTCAGAGGGTTGGGCTTTGTATTCAGAGGATCCTTTGATAGCTCGTGAAACAGATTCCTACAAAGATTTTCCCCTTATGAAGTTTGGAGCGCTGAAATGGCAGGTAAGGAAACATTCTGGGGCGGTCTTGGGGGAAAACTTTGTGGTGGTAGCGCCGAGCACACTCATTGGCCAGTGTGTAGCCTGCTTCGCTGCTCAAAGGGGTGGGGGTGGGGGCATGGGGGAATGCGGGAAGATTATTTTGTACCCCTTCATCCCACCATTTCATTTTTTCTCGTGTAGTTGGTACGTGCAGCTCGACTTGTGGTTGAAACAGCTCTTCACACCAACCAGATGTCTAGAGATGAGGCTGTCCAAATGCTGTCCAAATACATGTGGGAGGATACTGGTATGCAGGCTAAAGAGGTAATTAACATCTAAGTGATTATTGCCCACTAATAATTCACTCAAGCTAGTATATCATCATCTGCAGGTGACTAGATATCAGAGTGTACCAGGACAAGCCGTCAGCTACATGATCGGCAGAATACAAATACTGAATATACGTCAATCTGCCCAGAAAAGGCTGGGAAACAAGTTCAACATCAAGGACTTTCATTTCCACATGTTACGTCAAGGAGCATCTCCTCTGAGTTATTTGGAAACAGCAATGCACAAGTATGTAAGTTGTGTACTGAACAGTAAAGAAGAAGGCTGTGAAGGTGTCCTGAAGCCGCCAATCAAGCATGCTAGCAGTTTGGATGGTGATGATTCGGACGTAGAGAGTTTATATCATCCATCTTTTGTTGTTCTTTGAATGAATTGGAGTTCGATCATCAATTGAACTTGGTCGTGTTGGATGAAGATGGGTACTAGTGGGATTACAATACTACAATATTCGGATACCACTATAAACATACGTCTTGCAATAAGCTGAACATTCTTCTGTCACACTCAAGTCGTCCATCAGTCACTCTTTCTATCAACCGATTTAAGACTGGGCCCATAACGCTACGGTAACATACTACAAACCAATCTCTAAAGACAAAAATTCTAAAATATTCTAAATAAGGTTTTATATAAAAATAAGTTTATTTTCACTCTAGATAAAGAGCTTGTGAAGAAATCTCACGCAGCTGTACAAGGGTACCAATAAAGACATATGGGCTGGACAACTGGGCTTCCTTTGTCTCATGCTATTCGCACTATACTTCTCAGTACTACCCATAAATACAAAGTGTTTGGCAAATTACGATACAAAATGAAAACGTATTCACAACAATATTATAAATTCAAAAATGGACATTTTTCTTTAAAAATCGTCACACATTACGAATACCGGGAATTAGTTCCCAGGCTCTCCGAATAGATCTCCCGCATTCAGCACCATAGCTACCCCACTCAGGGTTAAGTCTTCTGGTTCAACAGACGTCTTCAGTGAAATTGTGAATGCACACATTTGTCGAGACTGAAAATGAACAACACACGATTCAATGATCACGTGATATTTTCCCGCTATATTTACTTTTTACGTAGGGTTTAAAAGCATTTAGCAAGATGGGTGTTATACTGGATTACTTACACGTGTCATATAGACTGGACAGTTGTACAAAGGCACAGAGGAACTTTCTGAAGCTCGCTCGATGTCATCCGATGTTTCTAACTGCTTTAAGTCAGAATATAAAACTGGTCGAACCATAAGATCAGGGACAGCCATGAAAGAACTCCTGCGAATAGAACGAAGCAATTATGAACAAACCCTTTTGCATTCCCCATGTAGAGATATCCGTTAATACTACTAGTACTTACGAGGATTGTTTGATACACTCATCATACTCGGCTCCCTCCATGTATATACCCGTTAATACTATCCCATCATCGTCATCTGCCTTGGAGTGCTTTGCTGTGTTCTTCTCGAAAATGCGGCAATGTAGAGTAACCTAGGAGTAAGAGAACGGTGGTCAGAAAGACTTTAGAAGTGCAGCAAGTATATTCGGTTAAATCTGCACTTCTTACCTCACTGACATTACAGCCGGTCATCGCTGCTTTCTCGTGTTTTAAAGAAGCTACAACAGCACCAGGATAAGCCAAACCACCAAGCCAAACAGACTTGAGTCTTCCACGACACAGAACTGGTTCTGAACCATTCTTGGGTATCATTCCCTCCTGGATCCAGCATGTAAACTGCTTGTGCCGCAACTGAAAATCTAAAGCAAACCAGTCTTTTGTTCAGTAATGTTAGAATAAAACCCATCTATATGTATTCTGGTTGACTTACCGTCTAACCACGACGAGAGGGAATGAGGCGAGGGTTGACTGTTAGGATGTAACCATGACAACGGTACTTGCTCTTTCTGGAGGCTATTTACAACATTGGTGAGGTACGAGGGTATGGCTGCAGATCCTGCCAGTACACTTTGCTCGAGGGTTTGAAGGATATKACGAACATAACATAATTGACAGTTAAACCATTCACATTCCTGAAACCAATCAAATGACAATATTGGCTTATAGCCCCTGCATCATAGATGATACTGATATCACACATTACCTTCTGTAGAACGTAACCCATACTCTCTGACAGCCGATCACTTTCAGAGGTCCCCACACTGCTGGTCTCGGAATACTGTGATAAAGCTCGCAACTGAGACAAGACACGTGGCATTAGTTTGTGGATAGGAATAGCATCATCAGTCTCGATCTTCAACAGGTTTGGTAGTTTGTCTAGACACATATCCATCGCGTTACGTAATGATGACAGTTTAAGGGCTCGGCCGATTATTGGACCTTTGTGGAATCCCTGTGGTTTTGGCATGATTGATGGAAGAAGTAGTGTACGAAGCTGATCGAAAAACTTTTCCACGCTGAAAAATGAAGTCAATACAAAGTTAGAGTTAAAACAAGCCTCCCTTTAGCCCCGCGTCATTAAAAGCCTTAGCTGTGGAATACGACAGACAATCCCGTTAATGTTCGTCATATATCCTCATAGCCGTCCCGCCGACTGACGTACCTTGATTGTCTGAGTTCTCTCTGCACGCTGGAATGCAGGGACAAGGCTGCAACAGTGTTAAATGAGGAATCAGAGCTGATTTTTTCAGTGAACCAAGTGATGTAATCTTCAGGCTCAACGTTGACAGGAGGCAAAGGGAGTTTAGCTTGTCCCATCTCGATACTAGAACCTTTGGTGTGAAGTATCATGTTTGTTAATGTCGCTATGTATCGCTGATCCCATTCGTTGACAACCTTTCCTGCATACACCACCTAATATAGTCAAAAAATACCAATAACTTGTTATGCGGGTACAATAATATACTGAGCTACGCTGCTGCTCGGGAGGGGAATGGGGAAAAAGAGGATAATACAAAATAGTATCTAGGACTTCTCTCTTCGGGATATACATCATTTCAGTTGTTGGTCTTACGAAGACTAGAAGAATGAATAATTGTTACCTGGGCGATGTTATCAGCGTCCCAGGTCATATTTCCTGACTGTTGTTTCTTACTGAATCCTGAACCAATAATGAGCTCAATGCCAGTCAATAGATCACTGGAGGTGAACGGGTAATACCCGTTAAGAGCACGGGTACCAAACTTCTGTCGCAGTAGTAGTATGCTGTGTACCACACAAAGCCCAAACACGGCTGTGCGAACACTGAGGTTTTGTTCACGCACTCTGTCCCAGTATCCTGTAGGGACGCACTGTACAATACACTTGGAGTAAGTATTTATAATGATTATCCTTTATACAAACAGTGAAGGGATTAAAAGTACGGGTTATTTGTCATATGCCACACCTTTACCTGAAGGTTTTGGATAATTGTACTCCTGAGATCGAGGTCACCAGCCGACAGATACTGATACTGATCTTGTTGGTCAACTACGTCCCACGCCAACTGATGCGCAAACAGCAACAACACCTCTGGGAGTTGAGGACTACTCTCTGATATCAGGAACACTCTCCACTGGGATGGTGTTCGTGGGGAAGCTATGTAAACAACGGATAATATTAATGACATATTATACTAGTTGAGGACTGCTCTCTGATATCAAGAACACTCTCCACTGGGATGGCGTTCGCGGGGAAGCTATGTAAACAACGGATAATATTAATGACATATTATACTAGTTGAGGACTGCTTTCTGATATCAAGAACACTCTCCACCGGGATGGTGTTCGTGGGGAAGCTATGTAAACAACGGATAATATTAATGACATATTAACCCATAATACTTACCTTGTAGGTGAAGTCTTAGCAGTCTGTTGTACAGCTGATCCAGCCAATCACGTGAGGCAAGCTGTAGATTGTCGATCAACAACCAGCTATCAGTCCTTACTGCAGTTGCTAAGGCAACGTCAATCAAATCCTCTTGTACTTGGCCTACTGATACGTAATTACACGTGATATTCTGGGACTGAGAGTAAAAAAGAGGTCGTATTATTAGAGTATTTTTGGATCATGCTTTATGTAAAAAATATCAAATATACATCCTGTATTAAGCGGCCAGTTGACAATTTCCCGAAGTTATCGGGCTTATCCCCGACTCACTCTCTTGTCAGAAGTAATCAGCATATACAACCTCTATTTAGCGACCAGATGACAATACCCCGAGGTTATCAGGCTTATCCCCGACCTACTCTCTTGTCAGAAGTAATCAGCGTATACAACCTCTATTAAGCGACCAGATGACAATACCCCGAGGTTATCGGGCTTATCCCCGACTCACTCTATTGTCAGAAGTAATCAGCATATACAATCAAGAATAAAGTGAAGGAACTGTTGTGTCACTGTTCAGTCTTACTTACCCCTGCAAGTTTCTTGAGTACACTGACTGGCGTGATTGTAAATGGAAGACTAAGAGAGTTCTGCGCGGGCATGAGAATGAAGATAGGAACAGAATGAGGGATTCCAAACAAGATGTCCTTGAACGATGGTGCTGTGGTCTCTATCAGCTGAGACAATGACTGAGTAACAGCTACACGTATTGCTTGCTTGAACCTAACCAAAGTATGCAAGAATGCTATGAGCTTCATAAATAGCAACACTAGTCATTGAATGATGTACCACCATACCTGTCCGGTCTAAGAGCAGATAGCACCAATAGTTTGTGGAAGACCGACAGAGCCCGAGGTGTTTGCAGTGCCTCTGGTGTCTCGCTATCATACCACTGCTTCCATTCAATAGGGTTAGACGCAACGTCCGCACACAGACTGTCCAGCGGTCCTTTCATGGTAGACAAGGCTAAAACAGTCTCCCAGCTATTGGGTGATATCCAGCCAGGCTTTAGAAGGGTTGGGTCGAAGTCTGCTAAACTCAGCCCATGCGATAATTCGTGTCCTATTGTTGAGTCAGAGAAAACACATGACTCCTCAGTAAATTACTAGTTATGGGAGAGGAGAGAAGAGGATGGTATAGAATATACAAATTATACTATAAAATGACATAGCTGACAGTTACCTCCAGTCAAGAGTATCTGGAGCTCATCTTTGTTATTTTTATCCATTCGTAGGATCAAGAATACGAGAGTGGCGAAAAGAAGGCGATGTTTTTCGTAAATGCTCCTGTAGAGGGTAAAAGAGAGTATAGAGTTACATTATATAGTGAGACAGCTATCGATTTACTAAACTYCACTGAAAGATATACCTGCTGACGTTAATGTAGAATTCTTTGGTTAAAGCAGCCTGTAGTGATTCGGTTTCGCTTTCTGTCAGACCCTTGTATTCTACGTTAGGTGATGGTAGTTCTACTTCAGTTGGTAGTGTGACTGAAGTCTTCTTACTGACAGTAGTGCTACTACTTGTGCTCTTACTTACGCCTAAAAACCATCAACACAAATGTGATAAGTGTGAAGTAGATAAAATGCACTGATTGAATGTACCATTGTCTGGCACGGTTCATACCTTTGTCAACCGCTTCTTCATCATTGATTTTGATAATCACAGAAGTATGCGACGGGTTCTCACCGTCTTCTGGTTCATCTTCGTACTCAACCCTCTCTCCATCCGATATGTTGAAATCTTTACCGACTGCTTTTCTAAAGAGACCCATGAAGTACCCTAAAGAGAAGCGGTATTCATGTTGAACTTTACACAGATCTTTCAAAAGGCTATAGAGCACGACTCCGCGTTTTGCCAAATTACGGAACTGGCTGCGAATATGCGACAGACGTTCAAGATTCTTCATGGCTTTGAGAAGACGACGAGTCACCTGAAAAGATACAATAGTCATCTGATATGACAATAATAACAACAAAAGATGAGAAGGATTGGGGAAAAGCTTAAGTAATAATCACCATCATTATCAACATCATCACCACCGTCATTACCACCAGTATCATCATCACTATCACCATTACATCATCACCATCACCATCATCATCATCATCACCACCATCATCCCCACCATCATCCCCACCACCATCATCATCACCACCATCATCATCACCACCACCAACACCACCGGTATCATCATCACTATCACCATTACATCGATACCACCACCATCATCATCAGCACCATCACCATTACCACTATCATCTTCACCCCACTACCAACACTATCGCCACCACCACCATTACCATCAATCGTACCACCAGTACCGAGCAATAAAAAGAGAGCCCTACCTCAGTTCTACTTTGTACTAACTCAGCTATCAGCTCAGTCTCATCCCATATACTAGTGCCTTCTTTAGTCATGATTCTATTCATTAGTTTCCCGTCCACATCTTCTAATGTCTTCAATAGCTCCACCACAGCAAGTAGGGTCTTACGTCCTTCGATATACAGCTCAGGGCGCACGCGCGAAAAAGCCTCTAGTGCTAACTCCTCTTCCAGTCCCTGGTCACACAACTCGAAGTTGATGAGGGTCGTTATGGAGGCTACTTCTGTGGRAAAGACTGGTTCCGAGACACGTGACACCAGGTAAAGACGGAAGTTGRGGTTGCACGTGACACGACGACTACCGAACTTCACAACCTGAGGATCTATTAATAAGAATACGACACCTCGTTATTGATACAACATTAAGGGTGGTCAATTGAAGTATATTTTTAAAATGTTTTTTCTTCTTACCTTTGAAGGGTTTCTCAGACACCGCTGTATTGATGTGGTGAATCAGAGGCATGAAGAGAGAATCTATACGTTGATCAATGTTGTAGAGTACTAATACTGAACCACCGGTGATGGCCCTTTCGATCTGAAGTACAGTCGACTGGTCACTAGATTACCAATAATACACATTAGAGAGAATCTATATGTTGATCAATATTGTAGAGTACTAATACTGAACCACCAGTGATGGCCCTTTCGATCTGAAGTTTAGTCGACTGGTCACTAGATCACCAATAATACACTTCAGTAATGCTATTAACCATATTATATTTTCACTACCATGGATGGAATACGTACCTTTCCCCCAGGTCGAGTTCCAGCACTTGCTTGCCATGTTCTAACATACGAATCATTTCCAAGGTTTTGGTATTGGGATCTATAAGCAATGGTACTCTTTGCCATGACGAGCTGGCCAGTACAGCGTTTTCTATCTTGCGCAGACCTAGTCCTTTAGTGAGTAGCTTGCGCACCGGACCATCACCAATAAGAAGTTTAGCGACAGCTAGAGAGAACGCATCGTATTCTATCAGTGTCTTATTCATGATCTCTTTCCCTTGTGAAGCGTGAGATAATTTTCGCTCTAGTTCTTTAGGCGTCTGTTCTTTTTCGCTCTGCTCGACGTCTTGTTTTTCAAAATCGTCGTCTTGAATTTGATCTCGATAGTTTGAATTCTCGTCTTTTTCATCTTCGCCTGCAATAGACTTTGTGTCTAGTAACCTTCCTCCAGGCTCGTTATCTTTATCACCAGCATTATGTGATCCACCRCTACCACGTGATCCACCACGTGATGCAGCACGTGATCCTCCACGTGAGCCAACAAGTGCCTCGTCATTGCCCTGTTGTTTGTCTTTTTCACTCAGGGTACTCTCAGTCTTGATTAGACCCTCTGTCTTGAAGACCCGTGCATCAGGATGAGGAGGACTAGCGTCCAGGACTAAAGGCACCCCACGTTCCTCTAGACAACGAGGCCAATGTACAGTCATCATATCACGCCGGAAGCTAAAGCCATAAGGTCCAAGGTAAGTAGCGAATGCAGCTGCAATAGCCACACCACCAGCCATAGCATCTTTACGCTCCTTGATTCCTGTTTGTAAACTGAGCCATTTTTGACGACCTGAGCTTAAAACCTGCAATTAAACAAATAACGTTATGTATCTAACTATTATTCCTAATATCCCTAGCTGATCAATACCTGTTCAAAATAAGCTGCTTGTTTCAATTTTGTATCCAGGTTTTGTGTCAGTTCATGCTGTCTACACTTGTCGATAGATGCTTCTTCATAARCAAGAGCCAAAGTCTTCAGTCGTTCCTCCAGTCCTCTGAGCTTCTCGTCCATTGTTGACATCTTCTCGACAGCAATGTCTTCAGCAGATGATGTCTCTGCTACTTTAGCATGTAAAGGCTTGACTTTGGACTGCATCATACGATGATACCTGTAAATCACGATCATCACAATCAATAACGCGAGGCGAGACARGTATCGGGTCGTGGAGCACCCATCACGTACCTTACGACACCACGGACCCATTGGACCAGTGACCCTACAGCAGTGTTATTGGTCTTTCGTTCTAGGTAATCTCCACTGAAATGAGGTTTCTTGAGGTAAGGTTCAACCACTTCAAGTGTACTTGGTGGTAACTCGATGTCATCAAACATGCCCAGTTCTTCACGGAATCTACAAACAACACATTTGATACATTGATAATCTGCCGCTAAAGAACCTGTTACACGTGCAATCAGTTACCTGTCAAGATTGGCCATTAGCCGTTTGGCTCCCTTGTTCCACGTCAGGTCTGATGTTGGAGATTTCACTGTGAATAGTAAAAGTGAAAATTGAGTAAGATGAAAAAGACAATAACAAGGCGACATAATGTCTCAATACCTATGATGATAATGGCAGCCAGTAGATCTTCTATCTCAGTATCTGGTTTTTGCATTGCTCTTAACTCAGTCAGTCCTTGTTGATCCAAGGTCTTGAGCACACGTTTGGTATCTGATACCACGGCTGCTGCTTTGAACACGGCACGTTCATGGGCAATTTGATACTCGGGTAGGGCCTGCAGTATAGAATATTGTTACATGAATGAATAACACGGCATAGCACACGGGATTAATCTACACATAATCGTTACCTTCTTGAGTTTATGTATTCGTTCTTGTTGCCTTTTAAYCAGTCGAACCTGTTCTTCTGCAATCGCTCGGTCCTGCCCCAACAAAGACAAGCGACATTACCTCATATCATAAGAAGGATTCACTTAATGTAACCCATATTAGTAAGAATATTGGCGTTTGACAATTGAAAAACTGCGCAGCATTGATTCTAGTGATAACTAACTGGTCTAATAGGATGATATCGAGGAGTTAACGTACCTGACCTATCTGGATTAGCAGCTGTTCATTACCCTGTTAACAAAGTAACCATGATCAATGTTAATACTCATAATATACATACGTGTAGTATACGCTAAAAGATGGTGAACARTGTTCAACTAAGTTAAAGTATGAATTCTCGTAATGACGTAAAAACATGTTCGTGACATCATTTTAGCATTTTGACGTCATATTGTCACACCTTCTTTTTCTGTTYCAGCACCATTATCTCGTGTTCCAGTTGCTTCTTGAGTTCTTCCGCCAAGAATACGCCATTTTCTATGGTCTTCAAAGCTGCTTCCACCTGTTCGTGTTCCTTCTGAAGCGACAGCTGCCTCTTGGTGACTAGATTAATGAATCTATAAACATGAATCATCCATAATATCAGCACAGATGTCGATACGTTTGTTTCTTAGAGAAATACTTTTTTAGATTAGGTTAGTTACCACGATGATAATGACGACGATGACGGTGGTGGTGGGGGGCTGTGTGAACTAGGAGAAACAACGATAAAGCCCAACTTACTTTTCTACAAATGTTTCAAAGGTGGTGTTGGTCAGATGGCCATACTTGCCAGCATCAACATCATGAAATTCTTGATGACGTAACGACAGATGCATGGAAGCCATTAGATGTGCAAGATTCTCCTTTTCTAATGAACTGAATATCTTGATATCTGGAACAAACACACAGAACAACTCATGTCCATGTTGTGTTACTTCGTTACTGATTGCATTACATATAACACAAATTTGGACTTACCCTTTAAGTGGTAGATTGCGTGATTGACTAAGTCTTGCTTGGACCAGTGTGGCATTAGTATAATAGACACAGAGTTAGTCAGTGCAGGGAGGGCGCGGCATCGCCTCTGGAAACTCTCTCCCAATGAAGTGCAAGTCATTACTACACGAAGGTTCTCTCGGACCGTTCTACGATTAACAAAGAAAAGCTCAGTGTTCAGTTGGTGTTTAGTTAAGGTAAGGAAGTAAGTATTGTGACTGGATCATCTCTAACCTAACCCAACCCAAATCAAATGTCAAAAAATGAGTTACTTGAGGAAGAAGTCCCATGCAACGTCCTTGGTGTATGTCAAGCCAGCTTGTGTGACTTCAGATCGTACAGCATTGATGACCGATGTCTGTTCTTCTTCGCTAAATAAGTGAGAGATGGAACACGACACGAGAAACTCGCTAACGTGAACCAGGAAATCCTCCAAGAAGATATCAGACTCGGGTAATAAGAGTAGAAGGTGTTCACCCTGAAAATAGACAAACATGATGATTCAGTTCCTAAATAAGACTGAACAACTATGGGTAGAAAAGTAGTTTACAGACACAGTACGAGATAACTCAGCAGTCCACACTATCCAGTCCTTACCTTGACTCCTGCTCTTGTGTAAGCCTGTACTAAATCTGTCTTGAAGTTGTCCAGTGTATATTTATCAGTGTTGGAGATGGATGAAGGGTTGATACGAGTCACTGAGTAGTCACAGAGATGTGCTGCTAGCTGAGCCAGTTTTGTTGCTAGACCCGGGGAACCCTCGGATACGATCAAGGCGTGGCCACACTCATGAGGACATTGGATTATACGCACTAAACGACATATGGTCTCCATCACGTCCTGTAATAGATAACAAACTATTTTCAAAAGATTATATCCAACTTAACACCATAACGACTGAAATAATTTGTCCTTTCCTAACATCGTTGTTTACCGTTCAGCTGGCTGAAGTCTAAATCACCAGCTATCTTAATAACCTTACAACATTCAAGGGATAAAGAGCTCCCTCCCTTTCTCAATCCCCTAGAGCGCCGCTACGCAGGCTATAGATCCCCTAATGTTATATATGTATACATACATCATGAAGTGTGATCTTTATCCTGGGAAAGTCTTTGTTGTATTCATCGATACCATGCTCTAAGACAGCACGAACCTGTACACAATCAAAAAAATATTCCATTAGAAGTCAGACACCTAAAACAATTGCTTGGTATATGAATCTTTGACTTTATTAACTATCCAATCACCTTCTTCATATCAGTCACGTGTCTATAGGCTAGATGGACATCGTCATCATTTGCGTCACTAGAGCCCGCACCAATCACCTCGCCTGAATTATCCTCAAGGTCGATGAGGTTTGTGAAGAAAGGTGTTGATCCACTGACAACAGACAGCTGCAACAACAACACGATATATAATCTTAGCCCAAGAAATACTAGACGTAGAGAATCAACTTATTTTGTATGCCAAAACCAAGCGAACAAACGAGTTAGTTGCAATGCTGCATGCTGATATTCACCTGTTCTTCGCTTGACAGTCTTTTTTTCGCTGCAGTCAAGAATGCTTGTTGATAACGATCCTTGTCAACCAAATCGATTAATCGTCGTCCATAGACCCAGTCACACTCGTGTTTCCATAACAACAAAAGGTCGTGGTGGGAGCACCCTGGTCGCARAGTAAGGCACAGATTCCTAGAAAAGTCACGTGAAGATAAAAAGTGATTAATATTTAGAGCATTAGAATCCTAGAGACTCAAACGACTGAACCTTTGCAAATCACTGAAAACCAGAAAAGATTACAGGTTTACCTGAAGACCACATATAATGGGTAAATAGTAATCTTACCTGAAGACCATGGTCAGGTCTGTCATAGTAAACATATAGTGACATCTCTGTGCAGTAGGTAGGTACATGGTGCGGAGGTAGTCTTGTAGTTCCAGCGTCACATATGTTAGGTTAGTGAGCAGTTCTTTCATGTATCGATCGTGATWACCGATCCCTGTGTGTTTGATATGACTCTCACCAGATCCTTGTGATGAAGTATCTGTCCCACCTGATTGAGACTGAAGGACATTGAGCAGGAAATGTTTTTCTAGTTGCTGCGTGTAGATGTAGTGTAGTTCGCTGATGCTGTGGACACAAATGTACACCATTACTCAAACACTGTTATATAACGTGACTAGCTACTACTACCTTATTTGCATACTGTACCTTGGAAAAGACACGTTGAACACAGAGAAGTGCCGTAGTAGTCTATTACTCAGCTTGGGTGTGGTGGGTGGTGTATAAGGGTTATATGACGAGAGATAAGACACGTGGCGAACTTCTTTCCACTGCTGAGTCTCAGGGTCAAARACACCTCCATGATCGATATGTTGACGAACCAGTTCGCAAGCTGATTGGCWGTTAATGTTACTGACCTGACGACAAARCAGAATTTACAAAACCAAATGAGACTTATTGATTACCAAATCAAATATCATCYAACGTCAAAGCCCTGCCAATATATACATGAGGACATACCTTGCTCAGGTTCAAGTCGTCAACTAAACATGTTAGTTTTTTGTTTCCCTTTGGTACAAAGGTATGAGCATGTTTCCACTCCAAACAGTTAGACACCTCGTGCCAAAGACTACGTCCTGTAGTAAACTTGTTACAGTAAACCGYTAGGCTAAGTACTTCGCCTATGTCTCCACCATGTTGCTTCAGTCTGTGACGTAATATTRAAGTCTTCCCACTACCTTCCTCACCAACCAGTAAAACCGGTTTACCTGCGTCAGCCATTAGACCCACCAGATGGGAAATACGCTGAATGTGGAATGAAAGAATTAAAACTTGAAAGACAAAACATAATTAACCAAATATGAAAAATTATAATTCGCGTCAAAATCCAAAGTCTGGGACCTAATGCTATAAAGCAGGACTGAGATAGCATRGGACTCACCTCATTATTTATGGTATGCACGTAAGCTTCGTTAGGGATCCCTTCAGCAGCGGTCTGGGCGTAAGGTGGCACTGCTTCACGCCAGTTCAAAAACTCATGAGTGTCAGGATTGACGTAGAAATTCCAAACCTTAGAAACACAATAACAGAAGACTGGTAAATAGACAGACAGACAGACAGATAGACAGACAAAGAAACAAATGGRCAGACAGACAGGATAAACAGACAGACAGGACAGACAGACAGGACAGATAGACAGGRCAAACAGACAGACAAGCAGACAGACAGGACAGATAGACAGGACAAACGGACAGACAAGCAGACAGACAGGACAGATAGACAGGACAAACGGACAGACAAGCAGACAGACGGGACAGATAGACAGGACAAACGGACAGACAGACAAGACAAACCAATAACTATTCAAAAAGGCCAAGGAACTCCTCCATTACCTCATCGTCGCCTGATAGAGACACAAAGTCAACCCACTGTTTTCTCCACCAGTTGCTAAAGTATTTCCTGTGCTTTTCTTCTAACGTCCCTCCAAATGCCCACATGGCGGCGTAACAAAAATAGTTCTCAAATTCACCAGGCATCAAGTCTTGATAGTTGGAAATAATCGCCTAAAGAAGAATAAACGAGTTACCTGTGTTGGGTATTGGAACGAGAGGGAAACATTTGACAATTGCTCACCTCTACCAGTGTCAATAAAGTATTRACCATTCCCATTTCATTGACARGAACCACGTGACGCARCTGTGAGGGYTTGTTCTGGCCGGGAGGTGCACCTTTCTCCGGGGGGACGGATGTCTTGGATGCAAGATATTCTAAGGAAGGTCCAATGTATCGATCACACAACTCTCTTARCACTTCTACTTCACGTTCAGGTCTTTTGGTCAGCCAGCGTTCTACTAAGAGAGGCCAGTTGACATCTGATGAATTTAACACGAGCATGCCCAGTGAAGATAACACCGCTGGACTAAGGTTGTCCAATGTCTCGAGCTGTTTAGTAAGACATTGAAAACAATACTCATYACGAAACGTCTTGCCAGAAGGAARGTTTTTTATCGCTTGTATTCACAATAAAAGGAACCAAAYATATGACATCTATGCTAGACTCACCTCCCATACAATGCGCAAAGCCTTGGGAATRAGGATACGTTCGTYGTTGGCAAGCACCACGGTACCTTTATCCACATAACAAGGTACAATACATGATATTAATATTGACAATATTCAATACGTAATAGAGTAGGGATACTCACCGGTGTTTTGGATAAACGAGATGTCCATTTGAGTAGAGTCGATCTGTGAATAGAATAGAGAGAAATACATTGGCTATCCTCAGGTAAACCCATCAGGGCAGAAGGGATAGTACGTTTTYATGATCTACATACCGTGCCATCCATGTGAAGCCATTTCATCAGCGGCTTACTTGTTAACTGGTTTCTTGCCTCTTGCAAGCTGAGTTGTTTTGAGTGATTACGCAATGCYACAGCTAGTAAACCCTCCTTCCATTCGCTGAAATAAATATCAACCAGAAAAACAACAGTTAAGATGTGGTCCACAAGAAAGTGTAGAATATACGACAGTAATATTTACATACTTGGTGAAGGGATCTGCATATCCCAGCAACTCTTCACTCTCCATGGTCTCAGTACAGATAACATCCGTTTTAACTTGATGACCCATTTCTCTGTATGCTGCAGACAACGTCTTGATACACTCTGTCTTGCCACACCYACTTGGTCCAGTTACRCAAACCTACAGCCAAACAACAGTCCAGCGATGAGCGAGTGAATCTACTGTATGAGCAGTTAATCGACACTTAAATACCTACCACTTGATGTGTCGCAATAAGCTCAGACAATTGAACAACACGGGACTGGAAGGACATCCCAGGCTGAAGACCAAGCTTGGATGTGGCTACTTTGATTGCAGATTCAATATCATYCAGCACTGAATACATCAAGGCGTTAACATTATAAATTAAAGGCTTCGTGTCATAGTACTCTGTTAAGCTCTGTAATCTGTAGGTATGCAATAGACAAACAGTTACCTACCTTCAAGTTTATCTTGAGCAGCCAAACCGTTTCCAATCTTGGGTGTTACTGGTATCTCATCTAAATTAGACACTGGATCGTTGAGGGCCATTTTACCCTTGATTACTCCATAGCTATCGAATATCATGGGTATCTGCACTATAGGGAACAAGTCTGATAACAGAGTAGCAAACATAATAGCATCACTCCCTGAAAGCTGTGGCATAACGGTGTCTCTGAAGGCAAGTACAACTGCTTGTTCCTCAATCCTCAGCATCTCTTGATCTTCTGTATTGTTTGACGTTCCCTCTCCTGAATCTAACAATACAAACAGGTCAGTCACGAACACCAATCTACCAAGAGCAAGGTTGATTTACTTACCATCTGAGCCACCAATTACAGGCTCATTAACAGCAGCAACAGCCTCWGTAGCATCATTAGGTGAAGGTGATCTGCTACCATCATCAGGAGTTGTTCTTTGATGGACGTTATTCATCGTGTTGACTTGAGATTCTTGCTGATATTGATAAAGATGAGTACCAGCTCTTATAAGAATTCTTTTCAAGCTCAATAGACCCCAGCTGGAACACTTATGCACACAGCGCGATGCATCACCCGTAAGTATCTTGGATGTGCTTGGTAACAACTCCAAACAAAGCTCCCTTAASGACACTATCTTRGAGGAGATGGMAGAAGCTTTGGTGAAACCCTGACTTGTAATCCACACCTCTAGAATAACGAGCCAATCTGGTCCCATGAGTGCAACGGGCCGGAAAAGATTTAGGATGTCYTTTGGCAGCTCAGACGTCGAGCTCTGGAAGGATGGAAAGAACCCAATGCTTGGGATGTAATCAGGGTATTYAATGCTTATCGAGTTTGTTAAGGTGGCAAAACAAGCTGCATCAGCCATCAGAGGGACTTCTTCTWGCTGGATGATGACGGTGGCTTTATTAGCATGTAGACCATCGTGTATGACTTGAAGGAGTTGTGTGAGGATTGASATGACTACAGGAGTGATGGACGAGATGTTGTTGAAACACACCCACGAACCTAGCAAAAAAACACGTTATGTATGACGTTAGTAAGCACTGGACGAGAGGATGTACAAGCACACCCACGAACCTAGCAAAAAAACACGTTATGTATGACGTTAGTAAGCACTGGACGAGATGATGTACAAGCACACCCACGAACCTAACAAAAAAACACGTTATRTATGGCGTTAGTAAGCACTGGACGAGATRATGTGCAAGCACAMCYACGAACCTAACAAAAAAACACGTTATGTATGGCGTTAGTAAGCACTGGACGAGATGATGTMSAAGCACMCCCACGAACTRAAGTAGAATCTGYAGTAAATAATAGTGAAATTATCAAGCTACGATAGAGGTAAAAAATGCGATTGACTCACCAGAACTTGCTACGCCCCTGAATATATCAACCAGCATTCCACGAGTGAGACTCTTGGAAGAGTTGAAGGAGTATAAAGGATAGCCAGCAATCAGAGATAATTCCTTGACTGTTTCTGTTTTACCACATCCCTGCAAACCATCAGTTATATCTCGTAAATATGTTTATTATCATCATCATCACCATCATCAATATTGATCATCATCACCATCAATATTGATAACGTATTAGATGATCATCATTGCCATCAATAGATGTTATTATATGAAGGCAAGAGTGATGTTACTTACGGGTATTCCAGTGCACAGACCCACAGCATTAGCTTTTACAGCCTTTGCTAGACCCACAAGACATTTATCAGTGAGTGGACTGATGGCAAGTCTAGAGACAGTACCCTGGTACTCGAACCCGTACTCAAACTGCATGTCCAGAATATCAGCCTTGCACATCTGGTTCTCTTTCGTACAGCTATAACGCGCATGCGCCAGCCATGCAAACCAGTCTTCCATGCTCTGGATATCTGTCCCCTCTTGAAGCTTTGTTACCAACTGCTGCACTAACTCTCTCTTGTGGGAAATTATTGTAATCAAATTGCTCATTTTCTGCAGCTGGCTTGGACTCAGATGAACCTTAGTCATCTTTTTATCTTGTTGATTGTCATTAGTAGGTACAGATTCAATCTTGTCTGCTGCCTTTCCTGATGAACCAGATATGTCAGACCGGCCGTCAATATCAATAGCGCTTGGTGTTCGATCTGGAGTCACACTAGTATTACGACTTTTCTTTCCTTCTTGATATTCATYTGCAATGTTCCCGTCAATACTAGTGCTTGTTTGTCTGCCATCTTTGACCTCGTCTACTTCAGCTCCTCTCATTCTCTTGGCCAAGGTCCATACTGTCTCTGTCAAGGTATCAAGAGCTTCCTTGAGAGCCGTTTTGTCGCCCGTAACAACTTTACCAACTGCCTCCTCAACTTTCCTGCACCAGTGAATTTGTACAGCAAGAAGAACAACTTGACAACAATTCTCCAATGACAAGAAGGGTTTCAACATCTCTTCAGACCTGACTGACACGTCAGTTTTATCGGTATCATTTTCTGTAGTTTGGTTTGGTTGGTCAGCTTGAGTTGTGTTAATCACAGTTATGAGCTGTTCAGTGAGAGTCTGTTTTATGGTGTTGATAAGGGTTGTCAGCCAGCCATCGATTGGACCATCACAGATTACAGGCTGCAAGCAACAACAAGTACCAATAGGGGTTTAGTAGAGGCTCTGTTTGATAACAAGTCTATCAGATACACACAAAGTATTCCCTACCTGCTTTAGAGCCAGCCTTTCACCATGGGTACTCACTACATCCGTGATTTGAAAATATCTCTGACCTTCAGCTTCAAACTCCTCGTAACCAAGGCAACCAAGATGTTCAAGAACTTTGAAGAGATATGGATTCACCAATCCTGGATCGTATCCTGATGAAGGAAAAACGATAGTGCATATAACAGAATACGACAAATACAACCGAATGAAAACATTTAAAATAGCTTCCCATCTATCTCAATGCTGGGAAAAAGCATGTCATATATGCATATTATTTACCTACCATTACATACTACGTGCAAGACGTCTTCATGAGATAAGAAATAGAATCGAGGAAACTTCTGACGTCTGCGTTCCAGGTGGGACAAGAGAGACTTCCAGCACTGCTGTAAATTCATGTTTAGCTTCTCAAGCTTGGTTTGGATATCTACAGCCAGAGAATAGTGGGTCGATTCTCAGTAAATAAAGGTTAAAAATATGACGATCATGATGCATGGTTATGATGATGTTGGTTATGATGATAACGGTGATGCTGTTTGTGATGGTAATGATGATGGTGGTTGATGATGATGTTAATGCTGATAATGCTGATGACGTTGATGGTGATGTTAATGTTGATGATGCTGCTGAAAATGTTGGTGATGATGATAACGGTGATGCTGTTTGTGATGGTAATGATGATGGTGGTTGATGATGATGTTAATGTTATGATGATGATGTTGGTGATGATGATAACGGTGATGCTGTTGGTGATGGTAATGATGGATATGATGATTGAAGATGATAATAGGAAAATAAAGTGAAATCATTACTTGTTCTCGAGCAAGCTTGAAGTACATTGGGATTTTTCTCAGTAGCTTTCATTAGGATCCTGAAGTCTCTATTGACGGCTGAAAAGAGATTCGTCTCGTGTGGCATAGCGATACGAAACTCCAGGCTTGTGAATACCTGTTATAAGGATAAACCAGCAGATCACGTTTAATGTAATGTGTACCTCAGATGGAAATGGCCCTGAAAGTCAAAAGCAGTCACTGTAACTACTACAGTAGATTAAACTTACTTCTTCAAGTTCGATCCATTTTTCTTGTACTTGCAGCCAGACGGTTAACACAGCTTCTATAGTCTGTAATCTCTTCTGCCATTTCATTATATCATCAGCGAATGATCCTGCTGAGCTTCCATTCAACATATTTTGCAATGAAACCTGTGTAGAAGTGTTTAACAYGAGTGTTTGCGCGTTAAAGATACGCATTTCTGAACGAGTTTAAGACTGATCGAGTTAAARAAAGGAGGGTGTGGTAACTGCATTGGCTGTACATAGAACTAACCTGATGATCTTCAAGCTCTTCGAATATTGGATCACAGTTGTCCAAGAGACAGACAGGACCGTTATCCTGGAAACAATAAAGAGAGTAGAGAAACATGAACGAGACGAAGGATTAGAACAAGATGAACATGATGCATTGATAATATCCTACCTGAGTGAGATTGATGAGTGACTGTGAGAATGTAGCCGATGCTACTGATGTTCTTCTTGTCTTACTCTCCTTAATACTGAACCCACCGCTACCATGGCTAGTCACTGATACCCGACTAGAAATGCCTCGATGACCATGCATCTCAAACTCAGAATCTTTACCGAACTCACTGCCTGTGTTCTGAAGAATAACAAAAGAAGAATTGTGGTAATGTGATGGGAAGCAAGCTTCATGATTGGCTGACTTACATCTTGATTGACTCCTGCAGCAGAAGAGCTTGGTCTCTTGTACCGGGTATGCGGTCTGACCTCAAAGATTTTACTTAGCCACACTTCTTCATAGGTCTTTAGTGAACTCTCAATCGCCACATCCTTCGTAGCTCTTTGTATAATACCACGAACCTCCTCGGCGTGATCTGAGCAAACATTACGAACCGTACGTTACAAATATAATTAATCAAAATCAGATGAAAAATGTTACAATTAAATACACTGTAAGTCACACAGCGCAATTCGGCACGGCAAGGCCCAATACGGCACGGCACGGCCCAATTCGGCACGGCAAGGCCCAATTCGGCACGGCAAGGCCCAATACGGCACAGCGCGGCACAAAATAATAAAGTGTATATGATATATGATAGAAGGTTCCATACTGTGTAATCCAAGGTCCAGTAGCTGTCCTAATGTCATACGCGTCAGACCTTCATTACTGATCTGTATAACACCACCAGCAAGACGTAATAACTGCTTCCAGTGACGAGGACGCATAGCTGACTTGCTTAAATCATCGATTATTGGTAAACAAGCCTGAAGAGGAAATCAGAATCAATGCTGAGCTAAAGTATGGGTTGGACAACGCCAGGTAATGTCTGAGATATACCTGTATATCCCAGATAGAGTCTTCCATCCCTTGATAAACGTCCCATTCATGAGCATCACTGGGTAAAGCACGTACAACATCAAGCTGGGCTTCAGTAGCTTTGCGCATGAGTCTTGTGTTAATCCGCTGCCATCTGCCTCGCTTCCATTCAGTATGCTGTTCTTGTACAGCACGGTACGTGTTCCATACTTGTCGAAGACATTCCAAGTTGGTACGCAACCTATAGTATGACATTAGTAAGTGTCCCTAATTAGCTTTAATAATCTTTAAGGATAACATGACCCTTTGTAAGTGATATGTCAAGTGGCTATGAACTTGTATGTCAGTTCCCTAATGAACTACATGCAAAAACAATCATGAAAGTGAATCGTAACAATCACACCACAACTAATAGGTCAAGAGAATATGGACTTGCATCTCAGTTCTTTGTTTGTGGGCGGTAGATAAAATATCTTTCGGCTAGTTCTGGAAAACACTATCGCAATCATTATCATCTCGTTAAAATCACTTACTGGGGAAGTATGGAGAAGTTTACCACGACTTTTTCAAAAAGTTCCTGCAGTTCAATGAGGTCCTGAAAAAAAAACACAAATAAAAACTAAGATGAATACAAATTACACAGACAGACAGACAAGTGGTTAAATCATATCGTATGGTGTACAGACGGACGGACGGACAGACAGATAGCGAGGCAGAGTCAGACAGAAAGACAGCAAATACATGCAGGATACAAACCTACCTGAGCTTCGCCTTCCATAGCTATCAGCTTCTTTTCAAAAGCATCCATGAGATTAAATGCTGCATAGATAGCACAGGTACGCTGGAACGCTTCTGATGTTGAAAACTGGCGGGAAAGAGCTTCACAACGATCACCGAATGCTTTGAGTTGCTGAAAAAGAAAAAACCTCTTGTTCAGAAATATGGCCAGCAAGAAAGCCGCGCGACTGGTCCATTTAGTTTTGCGACCATTTTCTATGGATAATATTGATAAGGACCAATTAGATGATGAGTACAGTTGTTACCTGAGTTACGCTGTTAGCTTCAGCCTGTATCCTGGGCCCAAGTCGTTGTTTAGCTTTGTTTACTTTCATCTTCAGACTATTCCACCTATAAAAGACAAACAGTACACGAGGCTGATACAGACGAACAAACAAACCAGACTAGTGGTTACTGAATACCTCTGAGGTGCAGCTGCGTAGAACTTCTGCGTCATATCTGGTAGTTTTTGTCCATATTTCTCTAAGAGAGAGATGGTTCTCTTCATTGCTATAAACTTGCTGTCCATTTCAGCCTGCTGTGTACTGACCTATTAATACATAAAGAGAACTAGTGTGAGCTAAAAACTAGTGTGAGGTGCCTCGGTGTTTCTAATGAAACAGTAATGATAAAAGGGTAAATTATACACCGTGAAAAGATGAAAAAACTTACTGACGTTTCGGACGCGAGTCCTTCGTCGGAGTAAAAGACGAACGAATGACTAGCGTCCGAAACGTCAGTAAGTTTTTTCCATCTTATCACGGTGTATAATTATACACCGTGAAAAGATGAAAAAACTTACTGACGTTTCGGACGCGAGCCCTTCATCGGAGTAAAAGACGAACGAAGGACTAGCGTCCGAAACGTCAGTAAGTTTTTTCCATCTTATCACGGTGTATAATTTACTCTTTTATCATTACTATTAATATGTGATCGCGATTAGCACTGTTCGTGTTGCTCCCTAATCCAACCTCATCAGCTACCGCAATGTACTTACCTCGTTGAAGACTCTCATTAAACGCATGAATGAATCAATATCTCGCTCTTGACCAGTAATAGCTTCGATACCAGGCTCTATTCTTTTCAAAAACGAATCCAGGTCATTTAAAGTCGTGGAGACCTGGGATAAGATGAAGATTCATGAGACATTAAACTTGTCAAAACAAGATAAGCGAGCTATACATTGTGTGCGACAATGTTACTCAAAATCCCTTGAGATATGAATAACAATGAAACAACCGCTATGTTGGTCGATCTAACGAGAGAAGCTAATGGAATGCTTTGTTATCGTCGACCAAGATGGTGCTTATGACGTAACATGCACATGCTCTATAYGAAGATGATGTTTATAGATTAGATGAGAAGCCTCTACAAATGATAGTTACTTACTTGATCAGAGAGGTGCTTGGTGTAGACGAACATCCATTTGCTTGCATATGTGCCCAGAACCTGCTTAATGGGCCTCATGTTGACGCGCATCCAGCCAATATCACACCAGTCTTGTAGTGCACTGATCTCGTCTCTTGATGTCTAGTACACATACAACAAACACATTAAACAAGCATTATATTACCAATCAAATAGATATAGTGATTACCTGATAAATCTCGATCTCTCTGTCAAAGTCATCAAGGGAAGGAGCATTATCCTCTTTAACTTCCTTCAGTGATGTTAGCTTCTTTGGATTAAGGAAGGTTTTCTCTGACAAACCCATAGCACCGCTCGTACTGAGGGTTGATGCTGCAGCAGATGTTCGACTTGAACTAATCATGAAATATCAATAAGATGAATTAGGACTGGAATAGTGATAACAGACCTAAAATGAACACAGTCTATTAACTAGGAGAGCTTCTAAGGCTCTACTGTCCTATCTTTGAATTGTGGTTGCGCCCCGTTTTTATCACAAATTATATCAAAATATGTAAGAAGACTCTTAATGAATAGTAATGTCATCTTTTCACGGTGTATAATTTACCTTTTTATCATTACTGTTTCATTAGAAACACCGATGCAGCTCACACTAGTTTTTAGCTAGTTATATCTTCTTAGTAATATGAAAATAGGCATTTCAAAACTTGTCCCTCAGTAATCGTTGGCTACTGGCCCTATGCGTATCGTTCTGTAAGTGATACACGTTTCATTACCTTCTGACATCTTTTTCTCTGTCTTTCTTGGATTTCCCCGAGTGTTGTGACGCCCTGGATCGAATAGCTTCGGAACGGTTCATCTTACGAGGATGAGCAACGATGTTACCAGCTAAGAATTCTTTAAATGTCCTCTGAACATCCTGCATCCATAGAAATGCGTACTCACGGAACGTAGCAAGAATCTCCTGAAATATAACAATTAAGTAGGTTCGTCAGCGCGCAGCACTTAAAATAGTTGCGCATCATCATCATCTTTTCCCTTTAGAGGCGTTTCAGGCCTTAGGGTGCTTCTGCATAGGATGGGGAATCGCATGAAGTCCGATGCTTTCATCGTTACTCTTCTAGCCTGCTGGGTGTCTATACCTATAAGTACCAATGTATGTGTTCATAGGGGTTGAAATAGGTGGCTCTTAATTCTACAACAATAGCAACATTCACATAGAGTACACACCTTGCATTCTTCGGCATTTTGTTCAACTACTTCTGTTATTTGCTGAGCAAAACGTTGTATGTTTTGATCTTCACTGATTGCCGCCTTGAATGTCTGGAAATGAAAATAACAACTAGTCAGTCTGTTATCTCAGTATTATATATAACACTAGGATAGAAGTTACCTTTCTGTGGCTATCAACAGGAGTAACAAGATCACCTCTGTTAAGAAAGTCTTGTAACCAGCCGTTAACAAACTCCTGGACGCTGTGAGAAGCTGAATGGTCATCCAGGGTTGGGTTAAACGTCACTTCAAGCCCAACCAGCTCTAGGCGAATAGTCAGGATGGGAAGAGCGGATATGTCCTGATGAAGATATAGAGAATGGAGGACATATATAAGAAGAGTTGTAAAACACTGTACTGCATTGTATGATATTACCTACCCTAGTAAGGTTGAAGTGAACGATCTGGTTCAGCATTGACTGTAGTGACGTCAGTGTTGATTCTTTTAGACCTGCAAGTATGACGTCACTTACATACTGGGTGTAGCTTTGCCATGATGGTGACGCACGACTGATCTGCACGGCCTGCAAGTGCATCATATAATATACCTTACCTTAATGGGTCAAGTAACTGGTGATAGTCATGATTAATATGGAATATACCTCAAATGTAGACTGAAGCAAAGCATGTATCCTGTTACCACCAATGATGATAGTGTTGTTATGCATGTCGTAGATATCTCTGAAAGGAAAAAACAAGCTGACCGATAAATATCTGAGATATAACTACGAGATATCATCAACAACTAGGGTTATATTACCTGTGAAGTGAATGTAGTTCATTCATAGAATGTGTGGTGTTGGTATCCCTTGGTGTAAACACATCCAACTGTCCATTCATAGACCATGATCCTGCGATGTTACAGATCTCTTGATAGTTACCTTGTACAATACCAAGGTTATAGTGCACGTCATCACAGACCAGAAACGACGCATGCTCGACGAAATCAGCTGATTCTAGAGTCTTCCAGGAGTACTCATGGAGACCTTGGTGGAGAAGCTGAAAATCACAAGGATGTCACGGGAATTAGCTAGTAAATATTTCATGGCAAACCTCTCTCTTACTTATAGATGAACCCTTTTCAGCTATACTTGCCAAATAATCTTTCTCGCCCTCGATTAAGATTAAGAAGGATCCCATTTGACGTTCGGCTGGTGAGAGAAGCAGGTAGTGAGATTAGTTAGAGAAACATACCTCTTCAATCTTGGCCATCTTCTGCTCGAATAAAGGTTTCTCAAATTGCTCCATAGTTGCTATGATGGAATTGTAACGAGACACGATGGTATCAAGACGAGCAGCGGTTGACCTCAGCAGACCATCATCAGTTGAACGTAATAAGACACGCACGGGATCAGGTAGGCGTACGTTGAATGGTGGCGAGGCCAGATAATGGATCTCTCGTAACAGTAACAACAGATCTGGATCAAAGTTGACCTGGATCATTGGGGTCTTGCTGGTAGAGTTTACATCTGTGATCTGATCAAGATATCAATACCAAATAAGCTCCTTGTAACAACTGCTACTATTGTAACTACTGCACTGACTTCACCTACAACTACTGTAACTACACCTACGCCAACTGCAACTACACCTACACCTACTGCAACTACACCTACAACTACTGCAGCTACACCTACGCCAACTGCAACTATACCTACTGCAACTACACCTACTGCAACTAAACCTACGCCAACTGCAACTACACCTACACCAACTACACCTACACCTACTGCAACTACAACTGCTGCACTAAAAAGAAAGTCGTGTATTTAAAGTAATCTAGACAATCCAATTCCACTTGGATATTTTCTACAATGACCAAAGGTTTGGAAGCTTTCTTACCAATAGCGGCTGTTTAAGTTTGGCTCGCAGCTCTGTTTGCATGTCATTCTGCCATTTGCGAAGGGAATCTGATTCACATCTGAAAGAAATGCCGCAAGAAAACAGAGAAATTCCTTAGTAAGAAATTTTTCTATTCTTCCCCATACTCCAGGAACTACCTGAGGTAGTACTAGGGTTAGAAGCTCATTTGTTAATGACAAGATCGATTCATTTTTCTATATTGAGCCACTGAATGCTAAAGAGACAGAACACAAGAACATAGAAAATCTGTGAGTTCAATTTCTTTTCATCTTGTGGGAATTTTGAACCCTGTAGTACTCACTTTTCAATGTCTTTGAGTAAATCAGTGAATGTATCTCTCAATCTCCATCCTTGATCCCCCTTCAGTGAGGAGGGTGACACTCGGCTCAGTCGAGACATAGGCTCCTATTGAAAAGGGAAATATTCAATAATACTCAAACGATTTTCTGCAAACCAAATATCTCAGTTACCTGTATGTGTAATTTCAGCCCTCTGAGCCAAAGCACTTTACTCGCCACAGGGGGGAGGTGTGGGTGTGATGGCGGGTTGTTTAAATGTTGTTGGAAAAATGACCTCACTTGAATCAAATCATCGGTAAAACCTTTGACCATGTTGCTGAAGATATCCTTGAGATTTGTCTGATAAAAGGTTAGAAAACAGTAAGACTCGTATAAGACACCTGAATTATCAGAAACAAATGATTGGCATGACATATGAAGACTTAAGACCATGTAAGTTATGTAGGAAGAGTTTAAAGTCTTCTCATCAGCACACCATTTAGCAGGTGTATGCAGCCTAGGCACTTATCAAGGTCAAAATGGAGCATCTTGTTTTAAAAACGTCTGTCCACATCTTAATTTTGAGTTGAATTCAGTGATGCGCACTTCTCCGTTTTTAGTGTATTTACGATAACAAAGCTAAAGCTGCAGTRAATAAAGCCACAACCTGATTAGGGTGTGTTATTTGCTGTGGACTGCGCTCAAACACACTGACCTACCTGGACCATTTCTCTTCCACTTATCCCTTCGAACACTTCAAGAAGACGTAGTCTAGCTCTGGTATCCCAACACTGCTTGAAGCTCTGCCGCAACACATCAGCTAAATTGAACTCTAGATCCTAACATGAAATGAAAGAGAAGAATCAACCTTAGATTAGAGATTAGAACTATGTGTGCCTTGGATGGGGTCATTATACATGCGCTTACCCTTGTCACGGATCGAAATAAAAAGAAATCTCTCTCAAAGTGTCGTGTTTTGTCAACGTCCAGCACGTCCTGCAAGGTAGAAACAAAATGAGTAATCAAGCCAGGTAATTAAGCTATTGCATCAAACAGAATTATCACTTTCTTGCTTGCTTACTTGTGTTACTTCTTTGAAGGATTTAATAGCTTGTGCAAATTTGCCATGTATTTCTCGTACAAGACAATCTAGCCCATCTCCACCAGCACCCCCAACCTCAGCTGTACACGTCAGAAGTTCAAAGTGTCTTGTTGTCTGAACCAACTCAAGARCATCATTACAACGCTCCATAAAGTTATTCAAACTAATGAAACTTGGGTGATTTCGAGGTGGCCAGGGCGAGTCTGTCCACAGTTCTGCCGCTAGATCATTCATGCTGTCTGTAAGATGGTCGGTACGCAAGAACAGTTTGCCAGCTTTGGGAGTAATGCTATCGATGTAAAGTTTACTGTGCCATATGATACCACCACTATCAACACTACAAGAACATGGTAAACAAAAAGTTATCATTCTCATTGTTCCTAATCAATATCAATATCAATATCAATCTCCTCCTCACCATCATCCTCATCCTCCTCCTCCTCACCATCATCCTCATCTTCCTCCTCCTCACCATCACCCTCCTCCTCACCATCATTCTCATCTTCCTCCTCCTCACCATCATCCTCATCCTCCTCAGCATCATCCTCATCTTCCTCCTCCTCACCATCACCCTCCTCCTCCTCCTCACCCTCCTCCTCCTCCTCACCCTCCTCCTCCTCCTCACCATCATCCTCATCCTATTATCCTCATTCTCAGCCTCCTCATCCTCATCCTGACAATGACCTATTCAAGGTGTTTTTGAGGTGCGCAAATTAAATCAGTGAAACATCAGACAGTATCATACATATAGGACTAGTACAGCAAAGATTCAATCTCCCAAAACAGAATGTGTGCGCGCAACTCCTATCTATTTAGCTTTGATAGCTGTAAACAGACCTTTCCATAGCAATACGAGGCGAAGCTAGAAATAGCGCATCAGTGATTACGTATAGTGTTGGTTATTGAATGATCTATACACTCTTCTCTTTTTAAATTACTAAAAAATCTGAAATATGCCTTTAAAAAAATGACAACTATAATTACTTTGTTCCAATTTGTTCTGCTAGTTTCTTTTTGTTCAGGTCATCAGCCTTGTCTTTCTTATCCAGGTAACATCCCCTGAATGCTGCACACACTCGAAGAGAGTCCTTCAAGCTGCTGTAAGACTAGAGTACAAAGTAGTATGTTGGTGAAACAGTGAAAATAGCTTGTTTGATTGACAAAATTATGTCTAACACTTACTTCAGCTAGATTTTCCAGAACGTTTTGTCGTACAAGATACCTTGATCTAGCAACAACCTCATTAGATAGCATAGTCAGTAGTCTGATGAAGTTCTTGGTTTCATGATAGTACCTGCAAAATTGAAGAGTTTTTTCCAAAAAATAACTCTTGTCAATAAAGGAACTATCTAATTAAATAGACTAAGTCATGAAAGATATGAAATACCTTGAATGAGCCCAAACAAGGAAGAGGGTGTGCATTAAGGGTGAGAAAAGTTCAACCATCTCTTTAGACTTTGTGGAATGATGAAGCTGTTCAAACCATGGCATCAATGTACTCAAGAACTGGAGATTATCATTAGCTTCTGTCTCAGCCTAGAAATGAATAGAAAGGTAAGTATGATATAATATATAATAGGAACCAATAATTATCATATGGTTAAACATCAACCAACCTTTGCTATTTCTTTCTTCACTAAATGAAAGGACTGTGAATATGTGCTGTGCGCATCTTCAAGGTTCATAATGATGTTCAGTGCAACATGAGAGCACAACTGCTCACTGATGTTGCTGATCTTCTCCAAATGTTCTGACCACATCTAAAACAGCAATCATATACAACTATCAACTAACAGAAGTTACTGCCATGGTAATGCACAAGTAAAATACTAAGGAGCTTTGTACCTCAAATGAATGGTAAGTTAAGGAAACATATTTTTGTCATTACCTCAATTTCATCTAGTGGCCCAGGTTTGGGACCAAATCTTCTGGCAATTTCAACTTCTGGGTCAATTTTCAGTATTGCCTGTATGAGTGAAAATAAATACAATGAAAATAAGGAACCACAATCTTTAAAAGCATAATTGTTATGTACCTTGACTTGTTTAATCCAATGAATAACTGTGGTCTCTAGCACATGGATGACAGCTGGTCGTCTGCTGCTGTAAGCTGCAGCCTCAGAAAGTACCTCAATTGATGGAAGTGGAAGAATAACTTGATCCTGAATAAAGAATTGGAAATAAATAATGAATAATAATATAGCTTTAACTTATACTTGACATAGTGTGAGATGAGTGGATCTAGAATTTTTTGGGTGGGGGGAGGGGGGGGCATAGCCCCAAAATCAAATTGAGAGGAATCTATAATCTAGAATTTTCTCCCTTTGAAATCAGTTTTTGTTCAATGACTAAATCAACAATGAGATCATGTTGACAATATGCAAACTGCATTCTTTGTTACCTGAACAGAACCCTCTGTGACCTCCATGTTTGCTGCAAGGCGATGCAATAAATCCATCAGTTTGTCAGCACTGACACCTCCACCCATCTCAATGCTTAGAAGTGGTAGGTAAACATCCCTTAACAAAGTGCTAAGGTGATTCAATGGCTTGTTAGAACAGTCGCAGAAGGCAACTTCATCCATGATGTTATCTCGCATCACTTTTCCTGTACTGTGAGACTTTAAAAAGAACATGGCCTTCTCTCTTACAGTCTGAGGGGGTACTAGTGAGGCAACAAGACCCCCTCCAGGAGGGACTAGCGAGAAAATAAACAAGTTTTTGACCTCTTCATTGTTGCAGAACTCAAACATAGCAGTCCTGTAAAAAAAATATTAATAAAACATAAAAATATTAGTTAAAAAAAAAAAGCAATAAAAATGTTAATGTGAGGACAGTGTCTGTTTTACATTGGAAAAAGAACATATATATATAAGAAATGTATTAATAAAACACTGTGGAAACCTATCACGATTGCTGTACGAAACCTATTGAAATTTACACACATTTCACAATGATCGATTTGACCGTTTGAAACTGACCTGCTCTCTTCATTGGTAAACAAATGTTTGACTTCCTCTGCTCTAGGTTTAAGAGATGAAGTCACCCTCGTTTCTATCCATCTAAGTCTTTCATCAAGCTCCATGATTCTGTTGTTATCGAACTATAAGGAGTAAAGCAAAATTCATGAAAATTTCGTACTTGCCTAGATTGTTTTCTTTACACGACATGACAGTTGTACTTTGACTCGGTGTTGGTTTTTTGGGTCTCGTGTCGAAAGCGAAATACTTTTTAAGAAGAACTACATTGTTTTTTATACAATTTAGCAACAGAAGTCAGTTGTTAGGATTAAGCGTTAAATTGACATTTTATAAAGTCAACGAAGATGCTAAACGGCAGAAATTCAGAATTCGCGCGAAAAGAACTAAGTTTAAAACTGTTAATTTCAAACCTAAAAAGACCCTTATATATCAAATTGAATTTATCATTTTTATTATATATCTTACCTTTTTCAAGACATGGTTATGAATTGAATAGTTCTATTTAAGTAATCCAATTATACGGATAACTTTAGCTTTATAGCAACCAAAAGCCAACCATCCGCCATATTGTTTAGCTTCGTTGCTATCTTGAGTCACGTGACCAAGTATCGATTAGAGGAAAATATTTTAGTGATGCAATGATTTTCCGCATTTTTGAAAAGTCGTAATAAATAAATAATATTTTAAGAAGTCAGAAAAAACCTACTAGTATATTTTCATCCGGTTATCTTTCAGATTATTTATATCCATCTGACATTTCTTTCCCTAGTTATTGAAAAGGGAATTTTTTTCAAAATTTCATTGTTCAATTGATTTTATTGAATTTTCCATATTTCCTAACTTTTCCTCTTTTTAAAAGAGTTTAAATTTGCATTTAAAATATTAGTACAAGTATATCACTTRCCCTCCCCACCCATCATTCCCCACCCCTACTTTTATAGTAGTACCCAGTACTATTCATACACGTGTTAATCATTATGCAATCAAGATGGCGGACGAGCAGGAGAACTCCAAAAAGACCGCTACAACAGCAGGGATCATTATAATAGGGGATGAAATCATCAAAGGTCATACCAAGGATTTGAATTCTTACTTTCTTGTTACGAGGCTGTGGTCTCTTGGGGTTAAAGTACGGAAGATATCAGTAATAGCAGATGATGAAGAAGCTATCTCACATGAGGTACGGGAATTCTCTTCAAGGTTCACCTTCGTTATAACAACAGGAGGGATTGGTCCTACACATGACGATGTTACCATGTCGAGCATAGCTAAAGCTTTTAACGAAACCCTTGTAGAAAATAAGGAACTTGTGGAATCCATCGCTTCAGCTTACCAAATGAAGAAATCTGATTTGAACGAGTTTCATTTGAGAATGGCAAAATTACCACCATCCTCTGACCTTGTGTATAGTAAAGACACTAGAACCAACCCATTCCCAGTGATTCGTGTTCGCAATGTCTACGTTTTCCCAGGGGTACCCGATTTTCTGGAGAAAAACTTTCAAGGTATTGAGCATATATTCTCTGACCCCACACGTAACAAATTTCAGCTTTGCTTTATTTATTTATCAATTGGAGAGACAGAAGTCGTCCACCTGTTGAATGAAGTTCATGAAAGATTTAAGGAGAGTGTTCAGTTAGGATCGTATCCCGATTGCAGTGACCAAGATCATAAAGTAAAGCTATCCTTAGAGTCAGAATCAGAAAATGATTGGAAAGAAGCTTGCAAGTACCTCTTGGGAAAACTTCCACCAGAGAGTGTTATCAAGATTGAAGGTTTACCTGATGACAAGGGAGATGCAGGTAAGAGCTTTAGAATATCTTTTTGGGCTAATGGTATTGCAGTGCTGTGGCACATGATTGATTGGCAGTTATGCGATGTCTCAGGTCCTATTGATGTTTTTCTTTTCATTTCAGCCAAGACTCTTGATGTGAGTGAAGTATACTCAACCCTGTCTCCAGTCAATAACTCTAATATCAGCGCATGTGTGAAAGGAGCTTGGGCTATAATACAAGAGGTACTCCGGCAGTATAGCCTGAATRAAATTTGTATTAGCTTCAATGGAGGCAAAGACTGCACTCTTCTTGTGTATCTTGTGTATGCAGCAGTAGTGAAACACTTTGGAAGAGTACCTAAACTAAATGCATTGTATATACAATATGAATCAGCATTCTTTGAAGCAGAGGAGTTCATAAGGGATGCAACAGAAAGGTATAACCTGAATTTGATTACTATGAAGGGAAGTATAAAGGCTTCATTAGAAAAGCTCAAGGTGTCTCATCYTCAAATAAAAGCCATCTTGATGGGTACCAGACGACATGATCCCTTCACAGAAAAGCTGCGAACATTTACATGTACTGATCCTGGCTGGCCTGAATACATGAGGGTTAATCCAATACTAGACTGGCATCATAGTGATGTGTGGGCTGTTATTCTTCACTTTAAGATTCCTTATTGTAGTCTGTATGATAAAGGTTATACTTCACTAGGAAGCACACACAACACTAAGCCAAACCCTCTGCTCCAAATACAGACAGATAGTGAGGACATCAAGTATCAGCCTGCTTACCTTTTAGAGGATGATCATCAAGAAAGAGCAGGAAGATCTTAGCAAATCCACTTTCACATAATGTGAAGCAGAGAATTTAATTTAGTCCTCAGTATTAGTATAATCTTCACAAAAACACAACATTTTTCGCCATTAAAAAAAGAACTGCCTAATTTATTAGAAACGTTCTATGAAACGCCTTCCACGCGTAAAAAAAAGTTATAGTAAAATTGCAAAAACGTTCAACAAAAAACAACAGCAAAAATACGCTTACGGTCAAAAACAGGTAGGAAGACGATAAGAAAAGATAAAGTTGCGTATTCAAAAATATACAGATATTGGTACCCTAAGAGCAGGCAGAGGATGCTTTTCTTCCCCTCCGTAGAGCTGAGCCAGAACGGAGGGGAAAAAAGACCTCTGCAGGAAGGGTATATATTGCAGGGGGAACCCAGTAGCCCCTGGCCCCCATCCTGTTGGTAGTTTAATTTTTAACGCGCTCGATAGCAAATAGGTTAGCTTAACGATAAACGTGTCGCAATTTTGAAGTTGAGTACGACATTTGCCGATTGRAAAAAAGCAAAGAATGTCATCTTCACTCTGTAGAAACCTAAATACCTAAGTAGTCATGTGATAAGTTCACGCGACTTACCGATGTTCTGAAAACGCCCCCTCCCCCAAGGCAAAACCCTGACTATGCTCCTGTAATGGTTGAAGGGGACATGATAGTTGGATGTAAGAAATGATGGACAAACAGATGAGTCTCAGTCGTTTATTCAATTTGTTTTCRATTCTTGTTAAAAACATATCAATAAATAAAATATAACGACCCTGCTCCACTGAGTAAAACTGATGTGACTTCTAGCTGCGGCATTGTATAAATAAAAATTAGAAAATTTAAAATCGCTTCACTTTATCTTCCTCCTAATCTCGTTTCGTTGGCAACTTGATACCCTTGTCTCTTCTTCCTCGTCAGAAAACTGGGCGTCAATAGGATACAAAGAAACATTCGCCACGGAAACGAGTTTGTCACCAAATAAAACGAATGAAGATGAGTGGTAAAAAATAAACCTCTTGTGAAAATCTTTAAAATAATAATGATTAAAACCTTACTAGCAATTTGCTTAAAATAGCCTAATAGCATTATTGCGTTCCTTCATAAAATATCTAAGCCAAATGAGCAATTGCATGCGCTAGGGCCTTGAAAATGCTCGCACAGGGTTTCCAAAGTTGACATGAATCAAAGAAAATATTTCCAAACCAATATCCGTCTAAACAGTACACATATAAAAAACGGTTAAAACATAATTTTAAAAAGTTCCTAGTATATATATTAGTCTARTATTTTCGTACGAGTGTTGTTCCCTATAATAACATAATGAGTGACTGGAGCTCTTCTTTAGGTCTCTTTTATCGAATGTCTCTATTTCAGTCAAACATCAGGATATTGACATCCATGTTAGCTCAAACGAGAACAAGTTCCTCCAACACAATCCATGTTCTAAGATAGACCCCACATGTTCGGCAGCAGCCAATAAATACTTTTGCCTTGAGGTAAATATATCGAAAAACTTCAAAGCCATATAACGGAAAACCTACTGCAGAGGACCTTGCGGTACTGGAATAAGTAACAAAACTAGCATGAATTGCTAAAGTGCCGTTGAATTTTGCATTTCCAATCTACACAATCCCGAAACAAATAGCCCAATAACGCATATATCATCTTGGCCAAACTGCGTGTCTTAAGAGAGTTGGTTCAAACGCAAAGTGGTGTGCTGTCCTGTCATGCAGTGAACGATGTGGCTCGTGGCGTGATGACGTGAGGAATCAGCCGAGGCCTTCACTGACACAGAGCGAGCGAGAAGCTCGTYTGTGGTGCTCTCCTCTTCTCTTYCACTGAGACGACGCTCTTATGGTGTCATCCAGATACCTAGGGCGCAAAATAAATCGAAAACGTCAACTGTTTTTTCTTTAATTGCTGACAACGGGACTAGGTTGAACACAAACTCCTACCATAGGAGAATCTTCACCAGTGGAATGCTGTTGTACAATGTCCCTCCGATTGATTCCCCGCTGAGGCAGAGCATTGGATCCCGATGAATAATATTCGTATGTATTATTTGTAGACGTTGAATAGTTCGCATCTTGAGCTTGTGGGRCTGGCGGGTAAYTACGATTACTACATAACTCTGCTGAACCTACCGCAGAAGTTATACCAGATCCTATGGGCAGAGGTTGTTCCATGTTCATCGAATTACATGAACTCGAAGACGAGAAATTTGACATAGTTTCTGAGCTATAATATACTCGTGAACCGGGTCCATAATTACGCCCTTGGCTGCGACCCACGTCACCAGATGCCGAGCTGTATGCTGATGAACCYTCGCTGCAAGTATTTGAAGCGGTCATATGAAGCGCTTGAGTTGCACCTCTTGATTCTGAATCATTTGAGGGCGTTATTTCAACTGTTTGCTTAAAATTAGAGCCCGTATTGCTCCATGCTTGCTGGCCTTTGCTGCTTGGGCTATCGCATTCCATCGCTGAAGCCGTAACAGAAGCGTGTGCTGTTGGATCTGAGCATGCGCGAGTGTCAGCAGTACTCGTGCTTGTTGTGCTTGTTGGGTTAGCAGTAGTGCATCCCTGAGCTGGRGARGAGGTGGCCGAATGTGTCGTATTTGTGCCTTCTTCAGCAGTCTTTTTGAAAAAGCAATGATGCAATGCTTGATAAGGCKTTATTCGAGAGTTTCGATCGTAGTCCAACATTCGAAGAATAAGGTCCTTAAATTTTAAATAGTCCTGTAAAGAATGACCCGGCTCACCGAGCCTCCGGCCACCGGGGCCGCCAGTTTCACAGCCTAAAATATCGTGAAGTTTACGAGTGCCTGGAGGAACATATTCCTGTAAAACGAAAAAGAAAAACACGGATTACTCCGGCAGACATGACATCAGGGCTTCATCTAGTGGTCTCAGGGGTCAGAATAGAGGCATACTCGCTTTCAAATAACTGAAAGTGAACTGGAACGTACCTTTTTGCCGTCCTTGCTTTTTTTACACGCGTACGAACCGTCAGCTAACCGTTCGAAGTACTTCCTTGCTTTTGGTGCTTCGTCCAATATCTCCTTGGGAGGGATTCCTAAAACCTCGACAATCTTCATCATTTGATCGAACTATATGAGAAAGAAATGTGTATATAGTGAGCTTGTCTTATATCGTCGATATGATGACATATCACATTCCGAGGATGAGGGGAATAACTTGGTCGAGTTGACATTGTAAAGCCAAGAAAAAAACCCAAATGTTTCTCCTCCGGATTTCTATGAATAAAGAGAGGGGGCCGACGCATTTTTGTTGTTGTCATTTTCTGACTTTTTATTAATCGATACGCAGACAAAGACCATTTTCATTACAGAATTCTCTTTGTACGCAAGGGAAACTGGATACGAGGTGAAACAAACGCCTGTTGCTTTTTGTTTTTCCTATTTTTCCAATAACAAATAATAAAAAGACAGGCGGCCCACCAAAAAAATGAAGCGGGCGGGAACGGGCTGTCTAAGGGACATATTTCCAACACCACGTCTATTTCTAATTCAGCGACAGGGGAGGGGGTGTAGTCAGTCCATGAAAAATGTCGCATATCCCTGGGTATGGAGCAGGATTATGTTCAAACTAACCTCGTTAGCACCACTAAACAGCGGTTCACCCGTGTGCATCTCTACGAGAATACATCCAAGGCTCCACATGTCGATAGCAAGGTTATAAGCAATGCCAAGAAGGACCTCTGGAGAACGGTAAAACCGACTTTGAATGTACTGGTAGATCTGCAACAATCAATCAATACATATATTCAATAAATAATAATAAAATAATAATAATAATAATGATAGTAATGATAATAATGACATTTTATAATTACACGACCTAAGAAATAACTATAAAGCAATACTGCTACACTGTAACAAAGCCTAGGCTCGTCCCGCTAGTTATCGTAAATTGAAATGACAGAGGGGAAAAATAAAGATGCCATAATAATAACGAACGAATCATTCAATAAAGAAACATACTAGTTAATATGATTACGAATGAAAATAGAATCAAAAAACGAAAAGAGAAAGAAAACAACATGTAATAAACATCTGTATCGACTCCATAAGGAAAGCATATTTCCCCAATACAAGTCATCGCAAGTGTTTTTCATTCTTTGAGCTGATGTTTTCAGGAAAAATGGTTGTGTGAATGTCTTATCTGAATCGTTCATTTTCGTACTGCAACAGGTTAATCATATTCAATAATATATTGAACGTTGGAACCAACAATGGCCAAGGATCTTTAGTTATCGGTAAGACTTATGAAAGCAAAAGTCACTAAAACATATTATGTTTCTGATTTTGTTGAATTACGTGATTTTTAGAAGAACTGTTGCTGTACTTTGAATATTTTAATGAAGAGATTCAAACCAAATTTCACAAACAACACTTATTAAAAAAAACGAGAATGGGGAAAATGTCTTCTAAAAAACGGGAAAAGGACTTTACTTACTTAAGGGTAGTTCAACAACATTTTAAAACAAAAGGAACGACAATGGTATGAGAAATGGAACGTCGATCACAATATAACAAGARAATATATTTTGATTATGGAAAAGGCCAAAATTGATCAATAATTAAAAAATCATGGCGAAGTTTATGTGGATGAGATTTGCATATACCCTAGACACTTTTTAATTTTACAGTCTTGTGACTCTAAGAGACAAAGAAAGGTGACGACCATTGTGTGACCCAGGTGAGCAAGCTTTCACGTGATTGGCCAATGTGACATAATTGATCGGAAAGCCTTTTAGCTGTCACTTTAGTGGAAGACAACCCAATTATGATTCAGTACTTTTCTTGTTCGCCCACACAATAAGGTCACGTTTGGAGAATTTAACATCTGATAATGTTTTCACATCTATTGAATTACCAACAAAACACTTGGACATGGCGTGAATTGTTTATTCAACAAGTTTATTATTCTTTAAGTATCAGCATTTTAGAGTCATAAAACGTTTATGGTAAATGTCTTGAATAATCAACACTCCATGATTAAACACGCGTGTCTATGTTTATTTATGTTTATGTTTTTTTGTTTTGTCCTTGTTTTAAGAAAAAAAAATGCGATAAGCATTAGAATAGCAGAAATTCAGCAGAAATTCTAAATCAGAGGTAAACTGAAGAAAGAAGAAACTTCGCGTTTCTTTAAACGACGGGCGTATTATTTTGAACTAGTTTACTAGCCAAGTCTTCACATTATTCCAAATGCATTGCTTTAAGAGTACTAGTTTATACCAACAGTCCCCTCGGAAGATCGTTATCCTGTATCATGGAAAAATGAGGTTCATCTATACCATTAACAGGAGGTAACGAGAAAAGATTTTATTTAACTTTGTATTTTTAATTCTGATGACCCTTTCCTTGTAGGAGGGGTGGGGGCTTGATGATTACATACAGCGATCACAAAGTAAATAAAGCTGTCAACTTCTAACATTGTTTATAAGTAAGCAAGAGAATTATAGGATAGGATAGGATCTTATCAAAGAAACACAACCAGAATTTATAAAGTTCAAAACGAACAATGAAACTTACCCTGGATCCTATTTGGCAGGAGCTCCCAAAATCCACGATCTTGATTGCACTTCTTTTTGGATTGCACAATAAAATATTTTCTGGCTTGAGATCGCAGTGTATAATGCTTAGTTCAGGCGTGCACAAGAATAGCAAAGCTGTACACATTTGCTGGGCGAATTTACGAGTTAAATTAAGAGACACTCCTCTAAAGTTCGTGTTTCGTAATAAGTCGTATAAATTGTAAGAAAGCAGTTCGAACACTAAGCACAAGTGATTTCGCCACATAAAGTGTCTTTTTAAGCGAACTGAAAAGTAATAGAACGAAAATAATGTTAATATATTATTATAATAACATTTACGGTTTAAARTAAGAAATACTGTAAAATCAGGCCRAATACAGGCCGAACCAGCTGTACATGGTTTCTAGTTGAGCTGGCTCATTTTTTACGCGACTTGAAGTTGTGAAAGGCCCATTGGCCCTCTTCTTCAGTCGTTTCATACAAGGCTCGTAATTTACCTATTACGCATGTTCCCATTAAAATTGGTGTTATTATTGGGTGGATTGTCTAGGCGTGGGTGCCACATCCCGAACCAAAGAAACTAATGACGTCACAAGCAAACAAACGATCAYTGGTAATTGACAATCTATCAGAGTAGAGCGACGAGTAGAGCTAAACATTATCCCACGTTAAGGCTTCTCGTCATAGATCGCCAGCAATTCTGGGCGGTTCTCAAAAAGAGAAAATTTGTGGAAACATTCTTACAACGTTATATAATGCCAATAAAGGGTTTTTAATGCAACTAACTAGTATTCCAGACAGCCCATGACTAAAGGGCTCCGTTTTATCTTACGACGATACGTAAAGAATCATACTGTCTGGACTTGAATCATATYATACTGAACAAAATAGAAACCATTCTAGGGGAGAGGGACAGGATTTTTGATACCTACCTATGTAATATTTTCCTTCTGGATCGTGCTTGTTCATTATTTCCAGTAGTCTGACTTCGATTTGAGCTTGGTTTAGAAATGGTTTCTTATTTTTGATGATTTTCACGGCTATGTGTTCTTTTTCTTGATGATCGTAAGCTTTACAAACCTGAAAAAAGAAATTAAAAAAGARATAAACGAAACAAATTGAAAAGCTGGTTGTTAAAGTAATACATAGTAGAACAGTATATAACAATGAACATAATATTAAAAGTCTTAGTTTAAAGAACTTTTTGGTTTGTTTTGTACAAATACTTGATCACCCTCCCCTCCTTTTGTTCTCTCTCAGAACAAAATCTAATCTTCAGGGAGGATTCCAACCTGTGACCTTCTGTTTGCCTGTCAGGCACTCTAACCACTGAGCTACTGGGAACTCACAGTGGTAAGCAAACCCTAAAATGATATTTTAACCTGGTCACTTAGTATGTACATTAAATGATAACCTAAGTGGAAATCGATTACTGAAAGATCTTAACTCAACAACTGAGATAGGAAGTACATAATTACAATGGTATTTCAAGTAGGAATAGTCCCCTTTACAGTTCCCTGCACCATCTTGAAAGGTAGTCATGCCTTTGCATCAAAGTGTGCATGCCTTTGCATCAAAGTGTGCATGCCTTTGCATCAAAGTGTGCATGCCTTTGCATCAAAGTGTGCATGCCTTTGCATCAAAACTCACTTTGATGCAAAGGCACTGTTACCTTTTAAGATGGTGCAGGGAACTGTGAAGGGGACTATTTGCTAAGGCTGGAATAATTTATAATAATAAATTTTTCTAAAGAGAAACATAAAACATCTCTGTAGCATCCTAACATGAGCATTTGTTTCTTTGTCACATTTTGATATAAAAATGTTTCCATTTTATGAGTGGTATTGCTTTTGAATTGTCAAAACAACAAAACAACAAGACAATTTATACCTGTCCAAAGGAGCCTTTTCCTATCAGGGATTCTATTTCATAGCGATCAAACCATTTTTCACCAACTTTAACAATGTAATCATAATTCTCATCATCATAGCCATCATTGTACAACCGTCTCTCTTTTTTGTGGCCAACTTCTTCACTTTTTTCTTGCTCTTTTCTTCGCCTTTTTTTTGCATAATAAACCTAAAAAAAAAAACACCAATAAATTATCAACGGTCCTTCGTTAGAATACTAGTGCGTTGAGTTGATGTTTCCTATTTTTTCTTAGTTGGAGGTCAAAATATATGTAAGAGTGAATAATGATAAATCAAGGACATTAAAAACATGATTACCAGCAAATATCATCAACAACTAAATTATTTCTATATCAATTAACAAAAATAATGAATAATGATGAACTGGTTAAAACAAAGTTAAGAAATAATGGCACAGGAGAAGGCTATCACTTATGTTTTGACTTCAATTAATAGACAATAGCTTTAACTTGTAATAAATACTGCAGAAAGTTTACATTTCATTGTACATGTTGATCAAAATTTCTTAATTGATATGAGGATATAAAAGCATACCTCATTAATCTGTTTATACGTCTTGATTAAATCCAAACTTAATTTTCGTAATGGAGCTCCACTTGGATCCCTAAACTTTGTTGGAATTCTGCTATACAAGCTCTGCACTCCAGCAAAGTCTACATCATCTGTTTGATCCTCTAGAGTGCTTGACATCACACAATTCATGTTGGGAATAACATTTGTTGCTGGAGTTTGTCCATCATATTTACCTGAAACATTTATCATCAAAAGGTTGGTTGGTTATACCCATTTGCTTCCTTATCAAACTATCTATGTTTCTAGTACCATCAGAGGAGTTGAAATATTTTAAAAACAAAAAGAAATGCAAAATTTTCATAAAGCTTGTYGAATAGATGGATGGATACATACCTTTTGTTGTTCCCCCTTTCCCAACTCCAGCCTCCTCCATTACGTAACCCACAGCATTTTACCTACAAAATTAAAGAAAAAAAATTCAATCAATTGCAGCACAATTTTGTTCTTTTCAGAAGACATAAGGGCATATAACAATAGACATAATATCTTGAAGAAATAGAACACTTTTTACTACCTTTTGAAAAAATATGTTCCTAATATGATGCTGGATTTGCATATTTCCTAAGCTTAAAATAATGGCTGCATGGTCATGGGACAACATCCGGCCAGAATTGAAACTTGTCTGGTCAAATGTTTGCCTTGTCAGTCATTTTGACCTGGCAGTAATCTTTTGCCAGAAACAAAGTATGACCCAGTTAGAACAAATATTGCTGGTAATTATGACTGGCAAACGACCTTCATTATTTAAATCCATCTTTGTTTTCTATCTTAAATGGTAACGTAAGCTATGCAGTAGTGGGATACATCATGTGGGAAATATGGGATACATCATAGCAAATACCACTTTAAATCACTGCATTAAGTATCGTCAGGTATACACAAAATTCTAAATACTATCATGGAAAATTATGACATTAAGATCTGAAATTTACCTTAACAAATCTTACTCCAATTAATAATTTAGTTATAACCACGAAAGCAAACATAACATATACTTGTAATGAAACCTCATTTAATCAGAACTGAACTTAATATTTTATACTAGCATGCTAYTTGAAAACTTAACTATTGACTACACTCAAGGGTTGTATATTATATACAATTAAGGTTAATGTTCTGGCAATCATTGGAATATGATTAGGTATAGACAAARGATTATAACCCAAGATCAAATGAAAAACATGAAAAGTGAATCGTAATTCAAAGGAAGTCGAATTAAATGGCCAAAATAAAGAAAACCAAGGTCAAGATCATTCACTTGGATAACAGTTTAGGAACCCATTTTAGCTACCTCTTTCCTTCCTTCTTCAGCATGAAATTGATATTCTAGTGTAAAACCTAATGAGAATATACTTTTTCAAATAAACACCTCACCAACAATCATCATACCACTCCAACAAAGCAAATCTTGAATCRAAACTCAATATAATAATATATGTTAATGACCTCTCAAATAAAAAAACAAAAGTCAAATGCAATAGAAGGAAAAGTTTTTCATGGTTAATTCTAATATCTTACAATGCTGGTCTTTGACAAAAATCATTCAATTAATAAATACAATAGAAAAGAATTTGTAATATAAATTTTTGTTCACTTAATTGAATGTAAACTAGATATAATACCTGGAAAAGATTGGCATAGCTGGATTCCCAAAGATTATGATGAACATTTAACTGCAATTTATGGATATTGGTGCTGCGCTGCTGTACCCTGGGCAATTATTGAGTCGTGGCATTTGGGACAGTTTTCTCTTTGTCTGTTGCCCYGAATATCTCGACCTGGGGTGRTTGCTTGGGGGCGGTGGGYGTAGCCCCAGTATCTTCAGTTTTTGTCCTTTTTATTTATGTATAATRATTGTTTAGCTTAGAATAATCCAATAGTAATTATGTCAATCTTATTTCTTATTATGTCTAATTTATTTTATAGCTTCATAGTTTATCGTAAATTTATCTTGTGTGTATGTTATCGTAAATTAGATAGTTTTATCAATAGGAGAAGAGCCACCTCGTGGATTCTATTGATTAAACCATTATTATTATTATTATAACGGCTTTTATATCAAAGAATTACCCTTGGTGAGTGTTATTACTTTGCTTGCAAATAAGCTTTACTGGTCAATTATTTATCTTTTAACCTCAGAGTTATATAAACCTGATGATAAGGTTGTATGTGTGTTTTACAACTACTTTACTCTATATTCTTTTTCAACATGTTAACTTCYCTGTATGAAAAGAGATGATTCTTATTTTTTGAATCAATTATTTGCTGGGAAAAGAAAAAGAAAATACTGGTTACATTGAACAAAAAAGAAAAAATATTTGAACCTTTTCTTTAAAACAAAGCTCTTAAGGTGACTGCTTACTTTTGGAAAACGATTTAAACTTTTTTTAAAACTTCGATTTTCCGAATTAAAATCTAATGCCCATTCCAAATCTGGAAAGAAAAATTGGGTGTCCYGAGCTTGTTTTCGAGATAATCAGCATTTAATGGAAGCCTACTCGTAAGCTTTTGGAGCAAAACTTGCGCCACTGGAAGTGAATAGAAAAAATTAAGATTCATATGATAATAGTTATTTGCAGACTATATGATTGCCCAAATGAAGGCTAGTTAATCATTCTACAATAATACATGGACATTTTTGACAAAAAGACCAAGACATAACTTCATTGATTTGTCATATTTTGTAGTTTCGGTGCTCTTAAAAAATCTCATAAAGTCGAACAAAAATCCCTACAAAAATCTATTTTTTCATGTGTTCGAAATATAAACTTTTTCTAAAATGTTGATATAACCTACATTTTTAGGAATTTTCTATTGAATCAGCTATTAAAAAATAGAGTCCTGTGCAAAATTTGAGGGTTTTGCCCTGCTGAAGCTCAAAACATGAATGGTTCTTCAATAAGATCTTGTAGATTTTTCAGCAGTTTTTTGAGCGCATGCACATCGTGGGCTCAAATTGAACGTTCAAAAGTAYGCAGCCACCTTAAAAACTCTGATAACATTGAAGATCTTTTTAGCAAAAGTCATTCAAAGCCTTTGAATCCAAGTGACTTTTCAATTCCAATTTWAAAATGTATAATAATCAATACAATGAATATATGAGAGAAGAGTGGTCAGAAGRATCTATGGCTCTTCGTATAAGTAGTCTGACCAACAAGGACTTGGCTAACCCATTTGCTTCGAAGTATTTTCATGGCACTCAAGAAATCCTTTATTGTGAACCATGGATTCTATTAACAGGTAATACAACTTAATTCAAAAACTACTTGCAATTGTAGATTTCTTGTCTTTCCATATTACTAAATCTAACAACAGAATGAAAAGCATATGAGAAATTGCATAGACATTGMGGATCCAGAAAATTCAATGAATACAATCAGAAAACCTGGAAATTTAAATAGTTCAAAAATTTAAGTGGTCCTGTTTTCAAACTTCCTTGATCTATCTAGTTTTGCTATATATATACATGTGAGGTTATTTTTAGGTTTGATTGAATGTTAACATTACCTTATAAGTACATGACCTAGGGTGATCTACATTCAGTATGACTCACTCAGCTTAGTATGCTTCATACCTCTAACTTCTAATTAAACTGATCAAATTCATTTTTGTGTCATTTCTCTTTACGAAATACTATTTCTAAAAAAGAAAAATCATACTTGCATATTCTATTCATTTTTTGTCTTTTTCTACATTTGGTGCTCCTGTATGTGAGCTAAATCTGGCCTTAAATCTATCTTATTCAATTTAGAAAAAAAATTGTTCCAACTAGCTGTTGCATTAGCTATATATTTCAAAACAGACAATCCTTTTTTTAACAGAAATCCTATTTATTTCARCCATCAGAGTTTTTAGCAATTTCATTGAATTATGAGAAAATAAATATATGTTTGAAGTACACATATGCAAGTGCAACAATTGTTCCAATTATTCCCCCCTTTTTTACATGTATAAAATGGCTAGAGATTCGTCATACAACTTGCTGAACACCTGCATGCGAGACGATCGAAAATCAGACATGAAATTAAACAACACCAGCCAAAATAATGCGAAATTAAGGGGTTCATTTCAATTGCTTCTTTGAATGGTCTATAACATTAAACTATATWTATATATATTTTTTGGTATATTTGACTCGCTTTGCTACGGGAATTTTACATTCGAAAGACCATATCAATCCTCAAAAATTCGTGTGTATAGTCGGACAATTTTACACTTCAATTTATTAATCAATTTTAATGGCATTTTTTCAAAACTGTGGCCTTTAAGGATAACCAGAAATGAAGATTATTGTATAGTCATTTGTAGAAAAAAACCCTGGRTAGAAAACAATGTAATCTATTAGAAAAATAAGATCCGACACCAGAGCTCAGATATGCAAGGAGCATGACTTTCATTGATATAAACAGAGGAGAATCGAGTTTAGTGTTGTGGCGTGTTCAAGCCTTCTTTACTGAGATCTTTAGAAATGATTATCAAATAGCAATAATCCCTCATCCCAAGGTAATCAACATCATATACGTTGCATTTGACCACAAATTCAACAAATAGGCCAGCAGACACAGAAATCATAACTGTCCATGTCTCAACCAAAATATAATCTCGAATGAATGAAGCGCCAGGCATGGCCCCAGTTGGAAACTTTCGATTTCGATTTCACTTCGATTGCCTTAMTTTCCTTGAGCTTTGATTTCTAGGAACTTAATATTAGCAGGAAATAAGCAAAGAAAATAACCTAGGTGTTTTCTGACAAAAACTCTGCTTCCCGATTGTTAATTAAATTCATCAAGGTAGTCAAAAATAGACTTTTATGACTCAGTCGGTCGGGCCGTCTTACTTATTACGCAAGTATATATCATAGATATCCAACACTCAAAACCATTAAAAGCGACAACAATTTCGTTCAAAAACGCTTTAAAGGAATTTGTGATGGAACTAAGTTTAAGAAAGCAAATCTTTATTGCAATGGAAAGCAAAATAATGCAAAATAGTAATGCAAGAGCTCGTGGGATAACCAAACGTCAACCATCCAAGATAATGGAGACGATCGGCGGATAACTTTTTGTCCTAAAAAAAACGATCAATTCAGTTCCTTCTCGGACACCTAATTGGTCGTAGAATGCTTACGAAATTTTCGAATCACGTATTGGAATCATTTTCGGGGGTAAGAAACTTATTCCTTGGCTAGAAAAACAAGATTTGGAAGGAGTCCTTGATTAGCTAGGCACAAGAAAAGCTTTAGCTTATATATTCATACCAGGGCTCAGAAGACGAGCAGTCACACAAACAAATCATCCAAGAATCAATGAAAGAATGTGCAATGAAGTATTCTAATGTCCATAGATATTCCTTTCTAAAACGAGCAAACTTCGTCTTTATAGAGGTCTATAAGAATATCGATTTTGCAAACAGTCAACACAATGCGATTTTCTGGCGCTCATGACAGTCTCGTTGCTCATTAACATTTCAGCAAAAATAAACCGCAAGGGTGTTTTGACAGTGCTCGCGACATATTTTGCCAGCATATTGAAAGTRAAAACAGGAAACTGGTCAAGCAAAAGCCAGTCTAGAGCACCAAAAGACCCTTGGATATTTAAGTATTGTGTTTGTAAGAGAAGTTGATTGAAAAGAAGGGACTGTTTATGCGCGCCAAACATGCAAAGAACATCACAAAGCGAAGGAGACCCGAGAGGAGAAATTTCACAAGATTCGTCAACCTACGCACTTACCGGTGCATTTCGGCGCTTGCAGTCATTCTTTCTACCATTGTAAATCCACAAATTCCATTSTTATTACAATGAAGTAAAGTTGAAGCATAGAAGCCAGCGATCTCCGGCAAAATTGACAATCCAGGAAAATTTTCTTTACACAAAAAAACAAAAATCGCGCGCTGAATCAGCAATCACGTTGGAGTTGGAYAAATCGAACCGCTCCCTCACAATAAGACTTTTCCAAGCCCTTCGTCACATCAATAATTCAGTCCACTGAGCCTCTAGAAGTCGATCTAGTGTATTTTGCTAGCAAGCTTTTAAGTTTCTATAGCCAAGCTATCGCCCCGCTTTAAAAAATTCAAAATTCGAACGAAATATTGCCCGAAGAAAACCGTTGAAAGGATGACGATCGTGAGAAAATCGATGACGCGACGCCCTGTTGCCATAACGATGTCAATTATCCTAAACACATGTGAGGAGAAAATCGTTCTCTATCAGCACTTGTTCTGAAAAATGGCGGGCATTCGTTGTTTTTCAAAAAAACGCGGGTGAACTAGATTTTAAAATTATTTTCAAATAATTCTTTAAAAAGGACAGCATTTTCGAGGAGTAYTAGGTTGATCTTAGCCATATTATGCTATTTTTCTTAGTTATTTTCAATTTCTTAAACTTTTTTGAAAGTTATGAAGTCGCACCTACCTTTAACTTTTTGAACGCCTACGTACGTACGTTCGAGTAAAATTMATTTCGATTGCAAATAAAGTGACTAAATCGCATTCTTCCAGTCCGTGGGCGACAGTCTTTGTGCAACCAGCTGCAGCACATGAAACTGCCAAAACTATTAAGTCTCCAAAAGTCATGTAGACCTAATTAAAAGAATTRCAAACTAATAACTAATATTAAAAAATGCCGGAATCAAACAGCTTCAAACAGGGTCCYGAAGGGGTAAAATGGGAGCTGGGAATCTACCTTTTTTGGTTTGGGAAAATGAGACTTTATACAGTGGGAATGGGATCGACAAACAAAAAATCAATCAAAAAATAAGGTTAGATTTGAGCAAAACATAGGCTTGGACTAACTATGGGATTTGGTCAAAACGATGGKTGGGAAATGGGATTAGGACCCCCTCTCTCAGSACCCTCTTCAAATAAACAAAGTGCAAAATAATTACAAATGACGAATTTCAATGATTTTAAATGAAACTAAAGAAAAGAAGTATTTGTTCCTCAGTCATATCCTCAATCACAATTGAGATTTTTATCCATACTATCATACTTAACTATTAAGAAGATCTTTGTATGATCATACAAATTTACTATATTTATCATATCCTGTGAAAACAATTCTTCCAGTAATACTTCAGTGGCGGATCCAGGGGTGGTAATATAGGTGAGTAGTCACCCCCTTTTTCCTCGTGTTCCTGGTATAACCTTTGTATAACAACGCAACAACAACAAGTATCTTTATTACTAATTACATATATATGTATATTTATATCAAATTATGCATTACAAMAGTATTATTTTGTCAAGATTCAGGTAATAACTGCTCAGTATAGCAAGCTAATCAAGCTAAGCAGCCATTAACTGTGTTTTTTCACATTTTATAAGGTCCACCTCTGTACTYAATCAAAAGTCCTCTTTTGGGAAACAAGCAATGAATACGCTGCCATCTATAACCACCACCMGGTTAGTTCAGTTGGTAAGAGCATCAGACTTTAGTGCGGGAGGTCGTGGTTCAAACCTCGGCTGGACCAACACTCAGGGTCTTAAAATAACTGAGAAGGTGCTGCCTTTGTAATTACATCTGCAAATGGTTRGACCTTCACGTGGCTCGGATGATCACGTTAATATGGCGTTCCCGTCCCTAATTAACTAGAGACCTAACAGAGGACCACGAGTTAATCAGTTSAATTACTGTCAAGTGTTATCCTCTATAAACAAAGTTAATTTATTTTTATTTTTATTCTAATGGCAAGCCCAATTAAGTATTARCTGATAACCTAGCTTAATCCACCTCATCCTTCCCCCATACTACACTAATATACAGKTTGATTAAAAAAATGTTGCTAATTATAAAAAGAGTGCAAACAATTAATCTGTGAAACACTAATTAACTAATTACTAAATAGTACAAAATAGTGCTAATTAAACAATAGAAAACAATGGAATTTGCATGAAATTGTGCTATTTATAGTATTACTAAAGTTTCACAGATTTACTGTGCTCACTCTATTGGTACAATACAATATCAAATTAAACAATACACTTTCTGGCCACTTCCCTTAATTGAGCAGAATCATTMATGTACCTTAAGTATATCTAGTTAAAAATAAGTAGTTAAAATAAGGTTATTTTGTGCTTCACATTCATCATTATCMGTTTTACATACATGGTTTACATACATGGTTTATTCAAGATGCAAATAAGAAGTTATACATATGYATGGATATTTAAAAAGTAGAGTGCTTATAGTCTCACTGTTGAATAGTTAGATACATTTATCTAACTTAGATAACTATTTAGTTGACGTTACCTAAAATAGTAAAAGTGCACCTAATAACAGTCATGCTAATCCAGGGGTTGTTTTACCAGAGAATGAGTGAATAGACATTCATTTGTATCATCGTTTCTCCCCCTGATCTCAGTAGCTGTTTACTCGTAGTTTCAAATTTAGGTGACGTCAGCTAAAATAGTAAATAACTTATCTAATTTAGTTGACGTCACCTATTCAACAGTGAGACTAAAAACACCTTAAAAGCATTACATGTGAACAAAAGCATGTAATACGCTTGCATGTTGAATTTGAAGTTACAAGGTTATCCCTATGTTTTATACATTTTCCCCCTTTTTTTTTTCCTCATAGGTTTTTGTAGTAAATGATTTTAATTTAATTTTTAATTTCTTTTCATTTTATTCCATTTCGATTTTACCTTTTATCATTTATAATATAGATAGATTCCTGTTTAATTTGGCTGTGAAGTTTGGTGGCGGCGTGTTCATGGGCGGCGTTTCAATGTTTCTGAAGTATATTACTTTATGTTCAGCTGCGTCGCTGCGTCATCTGCGTGAGCGTGGTGTCACTGAGCTTCACAGTTAAATTTATGCATAGTTCATTTAAATCTTAATGTAATGTTTTACCATACTATAGTCAATTTCTCTAATAAGTTCGTGTTTATAGTTGTTATTATATATATTTTATATTTTCAAATTTGTAAATATTAGTAGTTTTATATTGAGGGCCACAAGTTTATTAGTGTAGTACACTATTTAGTGCCACCCTCATTATTATTATTATTATTGGTGTTTTTACACAGAAGATGTCTCATTAATTATTTATTCATTTATATTGCATCTTAATTAAGGTGACTTGCCTACTTTGGAAAGTTTGATTTGAGCCYACATGAGCACGCCCTCAAAARCCGCTGAATAATCTACAAGATTTTGTTGAAGAACCATGTTTTGAACATCAAGAGGGCAAAATCCTCAAATTTTGCATGGGACTCTATACTTCTTATAAGCTTTTTATAGGTTATATGAAAATATAGATTTTTGTAGGAAATTTTTTTGGACTTTATGGCTTTTTGTTAGGGTGCCAAAAGGACAAAATTTGACAAATCAATGCATTCCTTTGAGTTCTGACAACTGCTTGTCATTTGTAGAGTATTCTGTTGTTGCTCCATTATACTGCTCAGTAATACAATTCTAGTTAGTTTTTTGTTTATCAGACATAKTGTGTAGGACATAGTCTATTGGCGCCTTTCCTTCAAACGCTGTGGGAATACGAAAGGACTTTCCAATCCTGTCCCACAAAGTAAAAAACTGGCCATAGTTGTAATCAAAGAACAGATGATGGTCAGTGTGGTGTGCTGYGCCATTGATGAAAGGCTTAAAGAGGTCTGGAACTTGATAGTTGCCATCATGGATTGACACAGTCCAGATGTTGACAAATAGAAATAATGTGAGATAGACAATTTTGTTTAAGGGGAATAGAAATGGGTAGATATGATATGGCAAGGATTGGAGAAATCCATCTACTGGATGAAATGCATGGCTTGCAAAAGGAGTCGCCACTTTCCACTTATGATGAACCTTGTGCAAGTGTTTGTAGAGTGAACGATGGTGAAGGCCGCGGTGTATCCAATAAATTAAACAGTCAGTAAATAACAGGAAAAGGATTGTGCTCGTGGATACATCTAAGACCCAGCTCCATGGACTTTGTCTTGACATTTCCACATAATACAGACGACTGTATCCACGAAGCTCCAGCATAAACAAAGCTACCGTAGGTAGGCTCATGAGTGGAATGCTCTTTAAAGCAACCATAATTTCAAGGTAGATCTGATTTTCCAGTATTTGGGGATGTTCCAAAAGACGCTTATCAAACAAAAAGAAGTAATTCATAGTAGCAACCGAGAGGTACAAGATGGCTCCCCCAATGTTCACAATAAAAATTAAGGAAAGAAATTGTCTTGTAATATCACCTTCTTGCCATGTTGAAGGATAGACGTATGATGAAAGAAAGTATCGATCTGCAATGTTCAAAACTAGATCCATGACAAATCAAGATAGACACATACAGTATACTAGACGGAACGAAAGAACTTGCTCCTTCTTGCACCTTGTATCGAACGATCAGCCAATCTAGTTACCAGTTCCTTCACGACCAGGCGTATGTACAGAGGTCGTGTAGAGAGGGATTGACGGGCGGATCCAGGGGTGGTAACCTGGGCGCGGGTTCAATAGAACCCTTTTTGTGAGATCTTGTGAAGCAAATCGTGTTCTTTATGTTCAGCACAACGATATTGGAACCCCCTTTTGTGAAGGCAATCTTACTAGCTTTTTCTGCATGCTAATATTTAAGGCTTCAGGTGCCAAGCAGCACTGAATCAGACAATAACCATAATTCATGCCCATCTTTATGGGATAACACTTCTTGGAAACATATCTTCAATATGAACATACTATTTGTTCAATGAAAGATAAATTATCATGACAAAACATGGAAACAGGAAGTAAAACCCAAGCTGTCAGACAAAGGGTTTACACATTCATGATGCTACTTGACATTCTTTAAATAGGATCAAGTACTAGCATATAAAAGGGTTTTGAAGTTTAAGGAAAACAACTCAGTGAATAAATGCTTTAWTTCACTCCTATCCTCCTATCTCTTTCTGGCTACATAAAGCATAGTTAACTATGCATAAAGGTATGAACAAAATTATTGAAGTTTCATTTCATGAGGTAAAAATCATATGAGAATGATCAAAATAGGTAATATATTGACCAATGGCCAGATGGCAGGGAAAAATACAAATACTAATGTATTGGCATAGCTTATCTCCTATAAGATAACATTATCATGAAATGTGAGAAAATATTTTCATTAAACACCAATGAGCCTCATCTTGAAAATATACTCATTACGCTATACTATTTGTAAGAATTATATCCACTGACCTTTAGGCTTTTTACATGGTATTTAGATATTGTTAGTAACATAAACTCTAAAAATGAAGATGAAAAAGCAGGACTTGCATTTAACGTATTTATTGAATGCACATGCACAGCTGATGAAAGCTAACAAACAATGCTTCTTGAACAAGTTTGACAAGAAATTTGAAAATGATGCATATGACAAGAAGTACCCTGCTTGCAGAAGTCTTTTTCTACCCCCCCCCCCCCTTCCGGCTTCCACCCTGTTGCTCAGCTTTACTAGAAGCAGTAATTTCCATTACCTATTTTACCCAAGGGATATGGCCAAGATTGAAATTCAAGCGTTTTTACGTAATAGGGGTGAATATAAGTTGATTTCATAGAATACCAAGATCATYCATATATATCATGATGTTATCAAAATACATGTACACTCACCTAACATAACCCAGATTCTTTCTCTAGTGATTTTTTTCAGTCTCAGAAATCATATCAAAGCAAACTTATTCTTCAAGGGTTATCCTGCCTTTCAATGCAAAGCTTTTCAACGTAAACCTTTAAATGCAAATCTGATTTTTGATTGGCTGAGCTGTAGGATATCCCATAAAGAATTTAAGGTGTTAAATAACTTCCTGTTTTATGCTGTTTGTCTTAAACAAAACAAAACAAGCCTTATTTTTGCATTCAGTTTTTTTTATTAAAATAATTTCTTGTGAATAAAAAAACTGAATGCAAAAACAAGGCTTGTTTCTAATAGTGTCATTCAAAAATTTGAGTATTCACTAATTAACTAGAAGTTAGAATATGAAGATTGAGAATACTAAGTTTGATGAAAAAGAATCAACCCATTTGCAATACTTGTATAACTTTCACAAGAAACAAATTTTTAGCCTACACCTTGTGGTCTTGATAAAATACTACTGCGAGTTGGTATTTGTGGTCACTAACCAACTGTATAATGGAGTATTTCTGACCATCTTACACAACCTAGCAAAATAATAAAGTACAATCTAAGATAAATGTTCCTTCTTTTGAAAACAGCCACAATCAATAATTACAGCAATAAGTTCTACATCATTTAGCAATCATCATCTCAGTCCCAATTTCTTCTTTTCTTTAGATTTCTTCCTAACCACATCCATGTTTCTATCCTTCCAACTGCTTTTCCTAAGCTTGATAGGTCTATTGCCAATATATTTTCCTGCAAAAGAATTTGAGCACTTGAATGAACTAGAACAAAATAGATACTGACTTTCTAAGATCAACATGCRCATTAAAAACAAATTTTATTGGTATTTGTGCAATATAAATTACTAAATTATTATAATAATTATCAGCTCTCAAAAGACATGCTATCAAATATTTATTCCCCTTACTTAGCTTCAGTCCTTCCAAAGTCCCTAAATATCTTGCTGCTGTTAGTATTAGCTATATAATACTAAATAMATAGCTTACCATTCATTTCTCTCATTGCTTTAATGAAGTCATTGGGATCCTTGAAGCTTATAAAGCCATATCCTTTGGACTTACTGGATTTTTTGTCTCTAATAATTTTTGCTTTTAAGAAAGAAGGATATTTTGAAAAAGCTCTAGTTAGCATTTCATCTGTGACTTCATTGCCAAGATCTCCACAAAATAACCTGAAGTCATCTGAAAATGAGGATAACCATAAAAATAAACACAGATTAATCACAAATGAATARATGAATAGTGAGAGATATTTTCCAAAAATAAGTGTATTACATACTTGGATCCCAGGCATTAAGAGAAGCATCTTCCCATACTTGATTTCCGGCAACTCTGATAAATTTCTTCTCTTTTGTTTTTTTCTTTTCAGTRTCTCCTTCACTATGTGTGTAAGCTGATTCCCATTCTTTTTGTTCTGCAGGTGTAATACTAGGTAAGGCTGACCCTGATGGGTTAACAGGATAGACCGCTGGGCCAACCATTGGTACTTGATAAGACGGCATTGGAATTGGTGCCTGATGTACTGGGGCAGGATGAGGGATAATAGGTGGAGGTTGCATCATTTGGTTATTTACTGGTGGAACATTATTAGGCTGATAACCACCAATTGGTATTGCAGGGTTCACTAGCATTGGATTTGGAGGGGGAGGGGGGAGGTTACCATGATTGATTATTGGCGGTCTAGGTGGCATGTTAGGTGGACGGAAGTATTGTGATGGTGGTGGACGTATTCCATGGGCTACAGGTGGTCTAAGTAAGGGTTGTTGTACAACTGCAGCTTCTTGTATTGCTTGCGATGCTATCTTAAATGTGTTGGCTGAAATGATTGGCGGYTTTGATACGGGGTGTCCTAATATTTCTTGTTCAAATCTGCATGGGTAAATAACGTAAAAATACGTTCATTAGGACTGTAATTGTCATAACAGTTTCCTCTTTCGAGTTAAAAAATACTAACACAGAGTCATTACTAAAGGAAACAACGAGTGTCATGGCAGAAACAAATTTCATATAACATTACCTTGACATTTCTTCTTCGAGTTCACTCTTTCGCTCGGACTCATCTTGCACTCCTGGACCACTCATGCTTACAGTTTTCTGTTAAATCTGATAACTATCAATTGAAATAAATAACTAATTCTTGCTGATCTTGGAAGTGTTTTTTGTACTTCTCACGTTTCTTTTACGTTTCTGCTTTGATCGCGGGCTCATATATATATATACTGGTACCTAATCAATGGGGTACGTGATGAGATATTAGACTGTGTCCCTTCAGACCCAAGGGTCTCTCGTTCTACATTTCTCACAGGAAGCCCAAGACTCGRTTTTCGAAAATATTACTAGCACCATTTTCCGAGTTTAAAAAACCAGATGCAGTATAGCTTCAGAACAAACAGCACCATTATGAGGCATGATGAATAAAAGATGTTTGTACCTAAGCTTGACCATAATGCCCCATGTTCGCTATCTCAAAAAAAAACCAATGGGGACAGCTTTGGATGTCTGCTTTTAAATTTCCTTAAAAAGAACCTGGGTTCAATGTTGTTTACAAGCCAACAAAATCAAACATACCAAACCCATTGTTTCCTTAACCCTGCACTATAATCAATATTATTTTRTTTGACTTTTTGCTAGGTCTCTGTGATGATGTCATCATTWTGCAATTTCTAATCRAAAATTTCGGCAACCAAATGAGTTATCAAAGGATAGTAACACCATTCTTATTTATTTCAAGAGGGCTTTCAAATCAAGAAGGCGTTCTGTAAGGCTTATAGGCACTTCAAATCTTTGATTTTATTCATTTTWATTTTTTTGACTAAAACACAATATTCAAATAAAATACACTAACAAGATATCAGAAAATACAGCAGTGAGTATGTGTTTGGGTAAATTTATGTCTTCTTGGGAGGAGCCCTGAAATGAAAGCAAAGAAAGTGATTAGACAAAGTAGGTATTAATGTAGCAGGGCTTGAAATAATGAATGGTCAGATACTGGTAAAGAATGGACTAGTTACGATCTAATTATCAGGGCCCAGTTGTTCAAAGCCCGATTAGTGATAATCCTGGGTTAATTCTTAAGACCTGTAGAGTTAATCCTGGATTAGCGCTAATCCAGCTTTGAACCCGGCCCAGAAACCCTTTGTCATACGAGGAAGCATCTCAATTTCAATAAGCCTGGATTTGAACAAGTTACATTAAAAAGTAGCAAAGTTACAAGCCTTCAAAAAWGTCAAATATTTATAAAGAATGTATGAACTTTTCAAGAGAAATAGTGAAATTCAAGGCCTTTTCAAAGTCATACAAACCATGCATGTTTATTATTTGAATCACTAGATCAAGATATTTTAATGTACCTGTAAACACCCACAACAACAGCATGGTCTCTTTCATATGGTTCAAGAGTTAACTGTTCTTGTGGTTTCATTTTTTCTCCTTGCATCTTTTTTACTTCTCCTGCAAATACTGCTGCTGGTTGTGCAGTTGAATCAATACAGTTTGCCTGAAGATCAAAATTACAAAATAAAGTATTGTCAGACCTTCAATTACAAGAAACTGACAAAAGCAGACTATTAAATTGTTTCATCAATATACACCACACTGAAATCATATTATTAGGTTAAAAAAGGCCTAGGTTTAATGATCAAAGAAAGGTCGTTCTGGGTAAAATGCTAAAGAAGCTAATATTCTACATATTGTAGTTTTGCTGCTCTCAAACACTAATCAAACAATGCATTTTGTCACTTTTAATATATACATGTATCTGTATGCAAATGCCCTCCAAATGTCCAGGACATTGGCTACCCAGAATGACCCTCTGTCTTAGTTTTGATGATATTTTTGATGACCTTTTCAGCCCTGTTTTTTTATGTTCTTATGTGCATAATGTACAAACACCTTTTTGAACCAAGGAGAGCAATAACCCAAATGTTTAGAATCCAAGAAGAAAGCAGATGACTTAGGACAATACCTTGATTGATATTACAAAGTGCCCTCCATTTTTAAGAAACATGTGTGCATTGATTGCAACGATACGGGTTTGGTCTGGCTGTGCTACATCTGCAAATATTGTGTCCACCATACCTGTAAACAGGAAAAATCATTCCATGTTCCTTTAGTAAACTATGTTTGATCAGATGCACTTTACACAATTTGTTGAATGGGTTACTCACCAACTAACATTCTGTACTTGTGAGGATGTCGAGCATCTTCAATTATTGGAATGATATTTGTTCTTTTCTTTGCTACATTAATAAGATCTCTGCCAGATCTGTGTGAGAATTCAACTGCATATACTAGTCCCTCCTACAACAGCAAAGCATATCAAGTCAGTACTAGCATTTGGGGCATAATATCTTGTAGAAAGCAGATATATGATATATATATATGATACATAAACACTATATCCATGCCATAACACTGGTAAATAAACTTCATGTCATTTGGCTATGAAGTACTTACAGGACCAACGATGTCAGATACATGAGAAACAGTTGTTCCAGAAGCTGCTCCCAGATAAAGTACTTTACTTCCTGGAGGCATGTGAATCTTATCAACACCACCAAGAATAGCTGCAGCAAGTTTAGATCGGAAGGGATTCCACACTCTGTATTCTATTTTTTCTCCTTCATTTACTCCCTGAAATGAGAATGTACAACATTTTTTACCYATTTTCTSAATAATGATGATGATAATGATGATAATAATTCATGCCCGCAATATTCTGTATTCATGTAGCAAAAATGTCTGAAGTTAAAATAAACATATGATAATAATAATAATAATAATAATGGGAGGTTCTTATATAGCACATTTATACAATGTCTCAATGAGCTTTACATTTATTGCCAGTGGAGGACTTCATAGGCTGCATTTAAGGTGCTAATAGCAGCTGTGCAGCTTGCAATCAGGAGTAATTTGTTAGTACATTAGTGTTATGCCTCCAAATAGGGATAGGCTGTCGAACCTGGAGAMAATYCCCTACTCTTACGCAAATAATTCAACAGGTTCTTTTATGTCCCCCATTTTTACTGCAGATTAGGAAGGGTTGGGAGACAGGACCTATGGTTTAAAGTTGTTATCCAAGAAGACTGGAAGGTGTAACCATTTGCAGAAATTATTACAAAGGCAGCACCTTCTCCTCAATYATTCTAACATCTTCGACCACRACCTCGCACACAACAGACCAAYGCTCTTACSAACTGAGCCAACCRGGTGGCAGTGAATAGACTCATCATCAAGTACATTTATTTATATTTGCTGTGATATCTCAAATTTAAAATGACCTTCCTCTCAAAACTCAAGGTACATTAATTGTTAAAAATCTCATTATGATAATACAATAATAACAATAATTAATGCTTACATCAACAGATATCTTCTTTTCTCCATATACTGTTTCTCCAGGTACAAGATTTTTGGTTATCAAAGCATCTTCTTTACCTCTTGCAATAAAAACTCCTTAATAAAATTGAACAAACAGCTAATTAGTTTCATTTTGCCCATACATTAAAAAAATGTAGTAATATAAAAAGGCAACTTATGCGATGCCAAGGAAATAGCCTTCAAAGATAGTGCTACCATTTTAAAACATACATTGAACTGAGGCTGAGTATCAAGGCAGATCTCTATAAACAACAAGGGAAAGGGGTCAAAATATAAAGCTGATTGAGGAGGATTTCAAAAGAAGTTATGGCTATAACCATGTAAATTTCAAAATGGTGGTGCAATCCGTGAAATAGCCTATTGTTGCAATAAGATTTAATGACGACCTTGAATATGTATATATCTAATTCTTGGAAAAACAACAAACATAAACCTACCTTCATGTCTGTGTGGTTCAATTGTCACTTTGGCACCTCCCTTCATTCCACCTCGTCCTAAAATTAAGCACAAGCTCTTGAATTGTCACTCTGATTGTAGTTATTAAAAAGTATTAAATCAATACTAGCCTTACCTCCTCCACGTCCACCTCTGCCTCCAAACCCCCCTCKTCCTCCTCCACGACCACCCCCTCTGCCTCCACCACGACCACCTATGGATATTGAAAAGGCCATTCAATTAGTATGCACATATATACTTGCATTATGCACTTAATTTTTGCAAGTTAATGAATGTAGATGTATAATAATAAAGTTAGGGAAGACAGACAAAGTATTCCCTTGTATATATGAAGCTGGGACTACAATTATTCTTACATAGAAGATATCTGGTTCAAAGAAACAACAAAAGAATACTAAGGTAGAATACCAGTTSTACTAACCTCTTCCACCAAATCCTCCTCCTCTGCCTCCACCTCTACCCCCTCCTCGCGGTGAAAATCCTGATGAAGAAAAAGGTTTTGTAGACGTTATTCAAATAAGAATCAACACTTGAATAATTYTGACAATACTTCATCTAACCACAGCTTGTAATCAGTACCGATAAGCAATTTATAGTTGCTATAATTTGYTTCTGAATAGACTGTATTTATTATGTATCAGACTTTTGCCTTACATCTACACACAAAAATATCAACATATAACTATTATTCACTTGTGGTGCTATACAGTTCATAAYATCCACGGACAAAATGTTCTTGATATGAGGTAGTAACCTAAAAGGTTTTCACTCTATTAACTATGGTTTCAACATCTTGCATCTTAACCACGTGTTGTTTGAAGCGGTATTACAACCCAAAAAATATGATGTACTCGTACACAATCAGCAATATTCATAAAGGATAGTTKAATATATTAACACTTGGTCCTTATCAGGTATGAAATCTTGTCAAAAGTGTAAAAAAAAGCAATAAATATTACCTGGTTTTCCCATCTTGTCYTGTGTTGTAACTTCTACTGCACGTGCTCAAAACAAACAAGTGCGCATGTGCAGTAAGGGCGCAATGCAGAGTGGGTAGCGGCCCGGTCGGCAGCAAGAATCCARGATGGCGCAGAAGTTAGCTTCTTTGGGGCAAAAAATCGTTACTAGAGCACCTGTAWTAGCCACTAAATATGGATTCCAAGCCCTGGGTAAGAACGACAAATATACGTACAACTTTTCATGAGTAAGAATTTATGTAAACATATCGCTGTGATCTATAGACTCATAGTACAATGCTCTAAACATTCATTTTTCTTTCATGTTGAGTGGCTTTATAAATCAAATGCTTATCGTCTTCCTTAGAAAAAAGAATATCTCGTTRGGTTAACTTACACTTTCACGGTTTTTACACAGAAAAAAGCTTTGATTGTAAATAATATTGATTTTGAAAGCAGTGAAAAAAGATGTCAGCCTTGGCGGGCATATAATAACATCTACCATCCGTCTTATCAGCCTTAAAACAGCTTTTACTTAATGTGCTTTTAATTATTTAAAGTTTATTTCCAAATCGTAGTATTCTATTCCATTATGAGGAAACTATGTTGCATCTTGAAGTGGAAGTTCAAAATGAGATTTATACATTATAGCCCTGAGGGGGAGGGGGTAACAGATAATATCACTATATGGTATGAGTTTTTTAACGTTGACCCGCTAAATATTATTCATAGCTCGATCATACTTCGTTTCTGGCTCAACGTTACTGATCAAAATCGAACATTACCGGCCATTTGTTTAAGCTCTGCCATGCCATGACTAACACACAAGTGTTAATCAAATAATTATTAATAATTGATATCATATTTTAATTGCATAATGTTGATGATGTGTGTTTTAGCTTCTGCCAAGAAGGCCCAGCCAACACTAGAGAAGTTCTGGAGTAATGCTAGGGTAGAGATGCGACCACCTAGTCCATCAGATTGGCCAGTAATCAAGAAGGCATTCCTCAACCTTAAAGATGCTACCATTTCAGGAAGATTCCTCAATGTTACTGTCAAAGAAGGTGTGGCCAACACTCTTGTTGCCRTGGAAATTGCTATGTGGTTTTATGTTGGAGAAATCATTGGCAGACGAAGTATTATTGGATACAATGTTTAATCTCTTCTGATATTTAGTCTTGTGTGTTTGATCCATTAGGATTGCCTTCTTGTGTACCATGACTTGTAAGACTGTCAATTACGTTTCAAATAAATGGTCTGATTTTTACTTCTATTATGACTGCTGATATATGTCAATACTACTTGAATGAAATTCACCATAATACAGTGACACCATTATAATTCCCCCAGTGTGATAGAGTTGTCTGCAGAATAGAGGTTTGTTTTACTGTCAAAAAATGGGAAGATGATTTTGGTACCCATGCAGTTGTCCATTTAATTGAGTCAGGAGGGTACCTCTTAGATAAAGGGTGTTCACATAATAGAGGCATTACTGCATATAATAAAGTTTACCCTTGTTTACTCATACATGCCCTACCGAAACAGGACTGCCCACAAAGTAATATAAATAATCCTTTAATATGCTGTATATTTCTTAATTGCTGTTTTGATCCAAGACTTAAAATCCATTAATCTATTAGCAGAAAACCCTATGCCTTCTCATTGTCTTGATTCGTCATTACAGTATTTTTGTTTTTTTTCTTCTCTTCAATATCTATCAATAATATGTAGTTTAATATTCAACATAAGAGTGACAGATGAACAGGCCCTGATGGTCAATATTCAATGCCTATGTTCCATGCACAACCTCTAGAGTATTGTTTGCTGAGTACTTCTGGAAGGAGTTCTTGACTGGGACTCTTCCAAAGCCTTAAATACAAAAGAAAAAGGTCAGTAACAGTGCCATCACTAGGCTATATTTTGGTGTTATGAGGCAAAGAGAAACCCCAATTAGTGATTGATATAATGGTAAGCTACCTTGATTAACTTAAAGAACCTCTTCTTCACAGACCTCTTGGAGTAACCATACACTGTTCTCAAAATGGCTGACGAGAGCATGAAAATGAGGTCACCCAGTCATGTTGCAAGGCTGAGCAAGGTTCTTCATTCAAAATGAAGGTGGATAGAGCAAATTCAGATCACAACAAAAGGTCAATATACTTTTCTATAAATGCATTACATTTGCTTTAATATCTTTTATCGTGAATTAATAACTGGGTGACTTCATTTTCATGCACTAGTCAGCCATGAGAAAGATACATGAAATAATGGTTGCAAGTTRAGATGGGACGATTGTATTTTATCAAGTTCAACCTTGAATTGCAACCATTGTTTCATAATCACTCAAGTGAATTCAGGAGAAGACTATTTGGTTAAAATCATGCAAACATGTTTTTCTAATGTGAATAATCAAGAATACCTCATTGGTATTACTTGATTGGTCYGAGTCATGGTTGTCAGTTGATGAGAATCTTTTCCTTTGTTTTTCCTATTGAAATAACGAATACCTTGATATATACCACTGGGTGCACCTAGCTGAACCAATATACAAAGAGGAATTATAGCTATAGACGCAGTTGCTTGTGACAAGTGTCTCGAAAATGCTGGGAATATACCTTGTGGTGGTATATTCCCATTACCAAACGTTTTCCCATTACAGAACATGCCTCATTCCCTAGAGTATCATTTCTTTGTTTAATGGTTTCACATGAGAAGACACATGAATACGAATGCAACTCAAGCAAAGAATCTTTTTCTCCTAAGAATGACATGGTCTGTAATGGGAAAACATTGCACGTCCAAATAACTAATAATAAACAACTAATAGTCTAATGATATTGATGATCTGAAATCAGCTAACCTCCTGAGAAGTTTTTCTATCTCTGCTAGCCTTTGAGCTGTGTAGACTAGATGAAGATGACCGATGAGGCTTGGTGGGCGTAAAGTCTGTTCTGGAAAACAAACTTTCCAACTGAAGAGAAAAGAAAAGGAWGAGTCAACTAGTATCCATGCCGCAAGGGTTGTTGYAAGTGGAACACATCGGTACATGTAGTGGGCCTAATTATCTTGTAGCACAGAAGTTCACTTACCTCGTTAACTGAGCTATGTGGTCTTTGTGGTCTTGCTGATCGCTTTTGCTTACTGTAATGAAACTGAACACTACTTCTCTCATTTGCCTTCAGTCTTTCTGTGCGTTCTTGTCCCTTATTATCCTCGTAACTGGATGATATGACTGGTTCGCTGTTTGACTTTCTGCGCTTCTCTTGATTCGCCTCTTCACATACCTGTTAATTATCATACCATTCTGATCAAGTGCTCACTGGTACGGTGATATAGTATCATACCATTCTGATCAGACAGTAAGTGCTCACTGGTACGATGATATATTATTGAGTAGGGTGTGGTCGCAAATATGGGACAAGGTGCAAATTGATTTCAATAGTCCCCTTCACAGTTCCCGGTGCCATCTTGRAAGGTAGCCGGGCCTTTGCATCACGCAGGGAACCGCAAATCCATGCCAAGCACAACATATTCAATACTAGAGGGGAGGCAACTGGAACTGATCTATGCGGCGTTATTTCCATGTAATCCCTGTACATTTTTCACATACCTGTAGTTTGTTGTCGGCTGTTTTGGGTCTTGTTGCACTGACTCTATCATCTTTTTTCGCTTTTCTTTTAAATTGGTCTTGTGAAGTACAAGCCTTGAAAAATTTAAAGAAATATATCATTAAGATTAGGAAATACAATCTTAGTAGTATGTCATAATATCTTTGTTTATCTTGATTTTTATAAAACCGACCAGCTGGACACGATAGAACAGCTCATGAACCAGTGATCAGCAATATGAAATCTATGAAAATCTAAATAAGATTTATGTTAAAATCTGTGATTAAAAACCTAAAAGTAAAAATATAAGAGAGGAGAAAATAAAGTATAATATATACATATATACATGTCATCAGTCAAGTACGAAGAACTAACTTTTTCATCTGCTGCATGATCTGGCGTCCCTGGTATTTGAGGAATGACGTCATGATCAGGCGTCCCTGGCAATTGAGGAATGACGTCATGATCAGGCGTCCCTGGTAAATGAGTAATGACGTCATGATCACCTGATCTCAGATGCTGTTTTCGGTCATCCAAAGGCTCGCTCACAATGTCGACTGAGGTAGAACAGCTTTCAACAGCGAGTGTCTTAGACAAGTTAACRGCACTTTCTTCTTCCTGCAGATGGATTGAAAATAACATAAACTTTCCAAAAATTGGAAGATTAACCTATGATATAGATATAGAGGGGTGATGATCTGACCTGCTTGCTGGGGCCACTATTCAGTGATATAAGAGGTACATTCTCTAACTTAGATGCACGTTGTCGACCCTTTCTTTTCGTGCTTGTCTGATGAGAGAGAGAGAGAAACCATACGATGTCAACAGCAGGATTGAGTTATTTACGCTAAGCCGGGATAGTCTTGATAATTCAGTACCTGTTGATCTTGTTTCTTCGTTCTACTGACATCAGATGCCGTGCTGCGCCCTTCATCTTCGGTACTTGTCGTTCTTCCTGATGTACTGATATACCCCTTCACCTAAGGATTGGGTATTCATCAGCATGATACGTGCATGCTCTACTCGTATAATATCACCTGTGACGTCAGCCTGTAATAATACTCACGTGATCAGTGTTCAAGAGACAATGGAAAAAGAACAAGAAGATTCCCTGAAGAAGGAGTGAAACCATGTCAACTGAAGATATATCTACATAACCTATATAGACCCTTGGTTACTGGGGTTACCATGTCAACTGAAGATATATCTACATAACCTATATAGACCCTCGGTTACTGGGGTTACCATGTCAATTGAAGATATATCTACATAACCTATGTAGACCCTCGGTTACTGGGGTTACCATGTCAACTGAAGATATATCTACATAACCTATATAGACCCATGGTTACTGGCTTGGTTACTGGGGTTACCATGTCAACTGAAGATATACCTACATAACCTATATATAGACCCTTGGTTACTTTCTACAGAATCGTGAAATAATGTTCCTTCAAAATTGTGCAGCCAGATCTGTAATATGAGCCAGCGTAGAGGCTATGTAATACGGCATGAAAGCTCATCTAATCTATTCGGGGCTTRTGTGTGGATGCTATATAACGCAGTATTGTATTTACTACATACCTGCAGACCATTTACAAGACCAAAAATCAGCTGGTACCGTAGATTATTGGTGTCTCTTAACGACAAGATCCCGAAGATCCATCCAATACACAGACCAAGTAACATCAATGAATTGGTGCGAAGTCCATACCTTGAGAGACCATCAAACGCCTTAAAACACTTATCTACAGTTTGACAATCATTTTCTCTGACATAATTTTCAATATAAAGAAAATTTTTCATGACAATGGAAGTATACGGTATGAGCGTACCGTTACCATGTCGTGTACTGTGACCGTGTTTCCACAGTCATACGAAGTCTAATTTATTTCAAATACAAATGCGCGTTTGAATACATTAATAATGATATCATAAGCAATGATAGGTTGTATCTCTTTGAAAACTGAACATGACAAGAATTCTAAACTAGTGCGCGGTTGTCGTTACCTAGTTCCTCGTTTTTCGATGACTGCTTTGGGTGAGATATCATATGATGGATACCTCAGTTGCTTCATAATGGTGCAGAGAATAATAATATCTGCCTACCAACACAACAGAAAACAAGTGAGTTAATCATGGTGAAAGCCGCCTACACAATCATTACTTACGACTACAGCAAGAATAGATGGGACAACAAAAGTCCAGACAATCGCATCAGATGCCCAGCAGCTATACAGTGATAAATTGTATCTGTAACAAGTAAGATAAGCAGAATCCAGTGAGACAAACGATTCAAACATTTCAAGGCACCACTGCAGACAGAAAACAGATGTATTTACTTACGTAATTGTACTTTCTACRTCAACGAGTCCCACGGTCAGGGTCAGGATTAGAACCATGCACGGGATACCTGTGTAGTCMAAAATACCTTTATTCATGACACTAAAGAAGTTTATCGTTTAACATTTGCAAAAGGTTTGATTGAAACATCACGATGAATCTTTTCTCCTGCATCTGTTACTGAAGGGTGCACTTACCCCAACCCACCAGGAGATACAGCTTTGTGTTCCTGATTGGATRAAAACTGTTTACATGGAAAAAGTATAAACCAAGAGCATCGAGAGCACACCATGTGAAACAAGCTGTTGCTGCTAGATGAAGCAACACTGACAGGATACGACAGCCAATCTACAAAGAAAAACAATCCAGTAACGACCAAAACAAAYAGCAATAGTCAGCATCGATTAGCTGATTGGCTGTTTTATATTTGTACTTATTCTATAATTCATCCGTCTTCACCCCATCCAATATTTTTCATTTTACCACTTGGTCGTGATAAGGCAGTGAGATAAGAAGTCAGAATATTCCATTGAATCATTTCATCACAAACTGTCACCTCTTCTTTGTAGCCTTGGATTGCAACGAGAAAGATGGTCTGTGTTGCACATACAGCCATCGTCAAATGCTTTTTGATCAACATCGATTCTGTACGAGGCCTGCAAATGCAACAAAAGATTATGCTCTTTGCAGCTTTGCCATAATATAAAAACACGCTAACTTTCAGCAAAGAACTCGTTCATATTAGACAATTATGACTTTTGCGCTGCGTCTTTTCATATGCAAAAAGCGTCAAGTAAAGATGGAAGATTTCGTGCCTTGCGCGAGATGTCGTGTTGGGAAATGATTATCGATTTTTTAATAGTCCAAAGGTTGCTTATTTATTACTTAGTTTTACGTGACTTGCAATGCTTTCTTCTTTTCTTTTGTATAATAGTTTCTTTGTTTGTTTTTTGTTTTAGTTTTTGTTTATTGTATGGTACAGCAACATGCGTGACATGACGCGACCATAAATCAGCACACTGATGACTAAACGTATCATGAATTGAATAAATCAGCATACTGATGCATGGATGACTGAGTCACACGCTCGGGRTGGATCATGATGTTCAAGGAATTTGAAATAATTAACCATCGTTTTCAAACATCTATCTCAATGTTATGCCGTCGAAAATCAACGTGTTTATCTTATTCGTAGCTGTACAAGCTATCGTATTCAGTTTGTATGAATTTGATGCTGTAGACAAAGTAAATGTCGCTGTTAATCGTAGTAGAGAAAGATGGAGGAACTCGAGTGGTTTCTATGAATTCGTTTTCCAGAAGAAGAAAGGAGAGAAAGAATCTTCAAACCATCCTGGTTTGTTTGCTTCYATATCCGAATCTTTATCAAACGCTAAGCAAGTAACTATTGACTGGATTCACTCGTATTTGTCGAAGAAAACTGTTGTCGTTTTGCCGCCACCATCATACATAACTGGTGGTGTTATAAGGGACCATGCATTTGCTCCGAAAATTACCGAAAACAATTTGTTTCTACTGGTATTAATAACATCAAAGCCCAGTTCACTTTCCAGGAGGAACGTAATACGTAAGACTTGGGCAGGAACAGTTGATAGCAAACACAAAACAGGTCGAGCTGCTAAATCAGCAAATRTAAACCCGAAGTTCGGTTCAAAGGTTTATTGTGTCTTTACGGTTGGTTTCTCCAATGATGCAAATATAGATCAAGAAGTTGAGAGTGAATATCTCGCGTTTGGGGACATCTTGAGGATAGATAAAAAAGAAAGCTACAGGAATTTAGTTCATAAGATATGGGGTTCTTTTGGTTGGGCTCTTGGTGTGAAGCCCAAGTTCGTTTTAAAAGCAGATGATGATACTTACATTCATTTGCCTAATCTGATTGGCTGGCTTCACGATAAACATTTACCAACCAAGTTATATGCAGGTTTTGTACATTATCGTGGTCAGGTCTATAGGAATAGACAGTCTCGATGGTTTGTTAGTCGTTCAGAGTTCCCTGCTCATTATTACCCAAACTATTGCGCAGGCCCCTTTTACGTGTTTTCTACAAATGTGTTAAAACAGTTGTACGACTCATCACAGAGAATCACACGCTTCCAAGTAGAAGATGCTTATTTTGGTTTGCTTGCTAAAAGTATTGGACTCAATCCCTATCATGCTGGTAATCAGTTCTTATTGGATAATAATTTACACTCGACGTTACCAAAGATTCCCGATAAACGACTGAAGGAGCTGTCAGCTTTGGGGCATGGACTCGACTCTCTTGCCATAGAATTCATTCATGACAAATATACTCGAATTAGAGACAAATCCGCAAAACAATACTAAATCAACTAAAGAAAATTATAATAAATAAGTTTATAATAAAGTTTTTATCAAAGCGAGTATATTCATATGATAATCCAACAATTCAAAGGGGGATCTTTTGTCGCATGGTTTCATGCTGTCTTGTAGCATATTACACTATGCTTATAGTTATGCTCATTGACATTTGACATGAAATCTTGCGACTAAAAGCATAAAAACCAGGCTAGTTTCAAACTCTTCTATTGGAAAGTACCAGTCCCAGTGTTGGGCTTGTTCCTATTTTAAATTCAAGATWAAAAAAAAGAATATAACGAATCATAATGTATTCCAGTATTTCAATCATTACACTCAAATGTTACGTTGATTGACTGGACTGGAGGCTGTCTTATAGCGGATTGCTCAGGAAAGTGAAACTTATTGAATTTGACTTGTTATCCCAAGTCACCCAACTCTGTTCTATTGTACACTATCTATCGTTCTATGATTGCTAATTAGTTATATGACTGATGGTAAGACTAGAGATCAGTAGATTATATCAAAGGTCCTTTTCTTCGGCCATACCTATTCCAAAGCTACTAGTTCTAGCAACAATAACCACGGCTAATTTGAATATCCGATGATATTTATGAACAGCAATTTCAAATCAAATAGATCAAATAGTGGAGGCGATATATTTTACGCATAACTCACTTGCTCCTGCATGATGGCGGCAACATGGCACAGAAGATTCGACTCGTGTATTGCATGCGACACCGACACTCAGCCAAGAATATAATGAAATATGAAAACAATATATAATGATGATGGTGATTTATRATTTGTAATAGCGCCCTCTCTGTATGGAAATATGCAATGGCGCTTTATATTGAATTGTGAATTCATTTGAAATTGCTTTTTATGCAATTTACGACGATGAGAGATGGTTAGTATRGGCGTGGACTCTAAGGGTGGTCACTGCCAGGGTTTCTTTACGTCCTCAGTGGTTCTATATTATGTCCCTCCGATATTGGTTAATGATGAAAAGTGGTGAGACGGGACCGCCATTTAGGCCCCGTCCACACGTATCCGGAAATTTTCGTATCCGGAAATTTTTTTTGCGGATACTGGTTGCGTCCACACGTGTCCGCAAATTTTTGTGTCCGTATCCGCAAATTTTACGAAAACGGATACGTGTGGACGGTGAAAACGATTCGAATACGCTGCGTGTGGACGCGAACATTTTCGTATCCGCAAAAAAAAATTTGCGGATACAAAAATTTCCAGACACGTGTGGACGGGGCCTAAAGTGATCATCCGAGCTACTTGCAAGTTTAACTATTTGTAGATGTAATTACAAAAGCAGCACTTTCTCCTCAGTTATTCTATCTTTTCATTTGCTCCCACTAGAGTTACCTCACGCGCGTTGTCTCCAGTGTCGTTTCTTGTGGTTTACCACTTGTTTCTGCCATGTTTTGGCCTAGTCAAAGACATGTTTTTAAGTTTTGTCATTTTGAATGCCTTAATAAGAAAATCTTTTGTGGAGGCTTTTGTTCACAGCGACGTAATTGGCACCTTTTTGTTGCTTGTGGACTAACTTTCGGACATTAACTGTCAGGCCAAACAAAGAACGCGAGAATGATATTGTAAACACTATATCCAGGAAAAAAACTTGTAGAATAGGAAGGAGAAGCATGACAAGTGTCAAGGAAAGAATATATGATCCTTGAAACACACTTGTCAGAGTATTACATGTCAATCATATTGAATTTTTATAACCTTGATGCTAACTAGACAACGTTTCTCTCGAAGTATAAGATAATAATCTTCATAAATCAAAATCATTCTTTTATTGACTAGTTATGAAGTTTATGCGACACCTGATGAATAATTATTTAGGCTGGCTATATCTTACTGGTGACTCAATCAACCTGGCATGCAAATTGTCTTATACAATATTTTGTCTATGACTTTAGGAAGACAGCTATTTGCAAGAACATTAAGGTTGAAACCCTCTTAAAAAACAGTCATCCTTAAAAACAGGCTAATTTGAAGTCTTGGTCATCGAATCAGTCAGACGAGCTAGTCACCCTCTCTACCGGCCATTGCCGGCTTTTGCACTATGTTATAACGAGTTAACACTAAAGACACAATTTTTAATAAGGTTTCAACCCTATTTTCCCTAGGAACTGAAAACCATCAATAAACATCATAGCACAATCGAAAATCTTAATTGAATAGGAAAAGATAGCAATATCTCATCGCTTTGAGTCGGCGAACAACGACGACTTGATCTCGTATAACGCGTTTTGGATTTTGGAAAACAAAGTCATAATATAATATCATATTCATCTATAGCCGCGCGACGGAGGACGATATATAAAGATGTTAATAAAAGGAACATTAAAGTTAGAATTAGATGTGCATTTATCATACTGACCACTAGTCGACTGGACTAACTTACCTAAAGCACGAGAACCCAATGATCGAAACGACGCAAAAGAAAAGAGATATTCCACATCCAACAATTGCTGTCGCATGCAGAACGTAAGATGGTTTTCCATTCATGATCATTTGCTTTTCTTCATGTCAATGCTGTTTTACTTTTATGTACTGTTGAATACTGGATAAAGGGGTTGCTGGAGGATGTATGTATTTACACCTCTCTAACCATCAACACTTTGTTTCGCTTGTTTATAGAAAATCAGTCCAGTGGTAAATACTTGTATGTAGCCGTAGTTCAGTCGAGCTTAACTGAGTGACTAACAGTGGCTGTTTGTTGATAGCCTTTTCAAATGAAAATCAAACGCGGCGTTTCTATCAGATTTAAAACAGACCAATCCGCTCACTTGTTTGATGAAGACTGATGGATGGAATATTCACACTAGCATGATGAAAAAGCCCCAGTTATTTTTCAATCTTCCCCAGTGTGAGTTTGAACTGAGTGAATCAAATGCGGCACCTGATCGACTACAATTCACTATCAAACATTCTACGGGGGAAAACAACTTGGTTTATTTAATTAAATGTGATTGGTCTTCAGAGCGTCTTTTYAGCGCTATCAGTCACTCTAGATCTCATGCAGGTGTCTATGCTTGATCAAAAACCTTTAAAAAAAAAAACCTAGCAGCTTCCGCTGAGAACAGCTTCACTAAAAGCCCTGGATTATAGCACTTATAATACATCATTTTCTCGTAAAACCGCAGCGTTTACGTTGAGTCTAACATTGCATTTGTACAGCAGCGCTATCAGTGCCATATGCTGTGGTAGGCTGGAAAATTCTCATTCAAATTTCATTCACCCAAGGTAAAAAAAAACAGGAGACAACTTAAGCACAGCATAGGCTTGTATGTGTTGTATTGTAAATCCTGTCTGTGGCTGGCTATTAAGTTCCTGCAGACTTTACTAAATCCACCATAAGGATCTATCTGTTATGGCTCGAAAACAAACGACCAATAAACAGCTACATTATGAGAAGAGTGCTTGTAATGTCTACCGCGTACGCCAAGCACAAATAGGGAAGTATCAAGACACTGATTACTAATTAAAATGTCTGCAGGAATAAGATGAAGTATTGAATAAAACAAATGAAATGAAATAAAAAATAGATGACATCATTCACTCGTGAAATATGATCTTACAGTAAAAAATATATAGAGTGTAAATAGATAAACAGTGTATATAAACACATCATGTCAGAGTCGGCTAAAAACAAATCAACATTCACCGAGGGGTTGATAGGAAATAGAGAAGACCCTTTTCCGAGAGGCATTGGACTCATTGACTACCGCATGACTGTGACGCGCGCAACCTTATCAAACACATTGTAGTGAGGGTATAAATAATTCAAGAAAGCAGAATATGAGTATGCTTATTCTTAACGCCTTGGAAATTTTATGAGGACGAAATGAGCTTTTGAAGTAATTATTTTTTTTCAATACCATTTTTGCCAGGGATAGGTTCCTCCATTTCCCGGCAGACCTCCCGGTCCGTTAGTTAGTCAAATAAATCTAATGAGAGGCAACATGATTTATGGTTAAGAGCTTCTTTATAGGTTGATGAACTGCTTCAACAACCTTACAATTATGATTTATGGTGTTCTTGGTGTTTTTGTGAAGGTTACAACGAACAAATCCGGCTGATATTGAACGAGTAGTTTTTGATTACACATAAGAGAGAAGTAATTAATACCCGATTCAAACCTCATTACAGGATCTATATCATCATGCTTGTAGTTGATGGTAATCACTTCTGATGTTCAAAGATGACTTCTTGTAATTACGCATGAAAAGCAGGTTGTTTTTCTGCCGAGCGCGAAATCAAATGTGAATATGAATATGTGATTGTGGCGTGTTACTAACCCTAACTGATATTTATTTATAATACTTAATATTCTTTACATGTCACAAGTACTGATACTAACTGTCAGTCAATAGACCGGGCACTAGTAGTGCCGGACTGTACAATAAATACCCTAGACATGCTGTAACCCTTACACCAACACTAATCTTGATTCCAGAGGAGTTTAGTGATGAAAATACATCGTGGAAAAAATAAAGACAAAAAAAGACTATCACTATTATGATACCGGCGACATGTTTTACTTAAAGTCATGCAGTATTTACTAAGATAGTCATTAAGATCATTTAGGTGCCAATCAACTAAGGATAAATAGAAAGGATCTTCCTTGATGCGAGGTAATCGTAGTAATACCTTGATTCTTCTACAACCCTCAGAATTTCATCGGGAACTTTGTTTTTTTCGGGTTTGTACGGCTTTTTTTCTGATCTTGGTGCGAAGCCAGAGCTTTTTAGGGCGTTTTCATGCCATCCTGACCATGTATCCCAGTCAGGAACCGGTCCTGGTTCCCACGAGGTCATGTGGGACTCATACATGATCCCTATAGCATCGCAGTAGCTCTTCATGGTTTCATCAGGATGATCTAAAAGATCATCTGCATCTACTACTACAGGATTAGGATGAATGTTCTCTGTAATAAACTTATAGAGATCGTACATCTGTCGGAATCCCGCTTCCACGGGATCAAAGTAATTCCATCCCGTTAGCTTTGGGTTTGTCGAGGCGTGATACAAGGAAGTAATTGCCTTTGCAGGATCGCGAATGAGAAACGTGTGCTGAAAATCGTGAAATGTTTTATCTAAGAAAATGTGAAAATTGTTTTGGACACAGTAAGCCATGTCCTTAGAGAAGACAACATTAACACCATCATACTCCTTGTTCAGTTTCTTGCCCACTAGATGGTACGATTCTTTTGGATCGATAGGCGATGAAGCATATCTCAGACTCTGTCTTTCTTGTCCAAAGTAAAACACATTGGAATAGGGTTCGTGAAATACTTTGACATTACTTAGAGTCATTATCGAACGCTCAAATGCTGTCGAGACGCATCTTGGTGCCGTCCAAAGAATGATCTTTTTTGTCACCATCTCAGTGAGTCTGAGTCAATGAAGAATTGAGTCGTAGGTACCCTGGCTTTGTTGAAGCTCTCAGCGATGACAAGGTTCAAATGAGGTTACCTATGATATGGTGTGTTTTATAGTGTTCTTGCTGATCTGTCCCACATCCGTAAGGATCACAGTCCTACACCATCCCACACATTGCACGATAACAGGACCATATGTTACTCGATATTAGTACAAACATCATGCATCAGAGAACAACAAAACACTCTTAATCGAATATTCAAAGATCACAAAGAAATTTGTAAGAGGAAAATTGGTGTTTTGAAGTAGAAAACATCAATAAAACAAGCTTGTTACGGGCAGGTGGATGTGCTGACTCGACGTGGTAATGACTAGAATTAAGGTTTTGATCTTGATAAGGTGACGGGGTGTGTGAACCCTTGTAAATAATAAATAGAATTCATTTGAAACAAAATTGAATTTGAAATAACCAACAGTAAAACATCAACTTGACTTAATTCTTCTGAATTCGTTCAGCAGGAAGGCTAGCTTGGGATGGCTAACTGATCTTTAAAACATAGTATATATGCTAGACAATAGTTTGTTGATGTGTTTGTCATGAATATTGTAATGGGACTTGCAAACCGTCTTACTTTTCAATATCAATTAGTTCATGCATAACATGTACCTACTGTGGTGCTGACGACTGCTTGGTGACTCCATAATTACTGAATGGGGAATATAGAAAAGAGTTAATTTATAACCCAAAACTAGACTAAAGAATCTCCAAACTGATATTGATGGGTTGCAAGCATTCCTGCAAGCGAGTCAAAAGTCAAAAACATGGCGGCCATTGTGGTGCCGTTAACAATGGATGCTAATGAGAAATCTTTTGTTAAATGGCACCAACATGGCCGCGATGACGTAACGTCCAATCGAAGAAAAAATAATCGATTACTTACAAATTATTCCCTATACCTGATGGCAATGGATCGCATCACCGTTATTACTTCATTAAAAGTTAATGGAAAAACACTCAGTTGTATATTTTGAGATAATGACTGGGATGCAAACGATGTTTTGAATGTATTCATGTTAACATGACTGAATGTTTACAAATATACATCAGTGTACTACGTCAATGACACCCATGCAACACAGCAGGACATCAGTTCACATCATTTGTCAAGAACAGTTCTAGTTACTCCAGAATGAAGTGACTCCATGTACCTATAATACCKGCCAGTACTATCGTTCATCGATCAATGTGTTATCGCAGAGGATTTGTGTTTATGGCTCGATATCTTGTTATGAGGTCCTCCACGAGTCACGTGCTTCATTTTTAATTCATTTCTTTCATCTTAATGGGCAGTAATGAGTTCTGATGACGCCATTATATTAATATTAACTGATGAGCTAAAGATAACGACCGAGAAGTGAATCAGCTTTATCAAAARGAACGACAAACCATTCAATGATTTTAATTCCATAATTTTATTAAGTGTTGCATCATAAGTAGAGGTTTAACAAACGAGTAGGAGTGTTTTAACAGGTATAAAAGTACGAGGCTAATACCTGATAAAACACGATCTTCGAGTTTATTGAACAGCTTAAAACACTCAGGAATAATTCACAAATCTTTGGTCGAATTAAAGCGACCATAAACGTCATGAACATGAATCTTTATAGATCAATAGAAGTTTGTGCATCAATGTCATGTGAGATTCGTACGTCATTGTCATGCGCGGTGAGTCCAAAAAAGGCCTCAACAAGTTCAAGACAGCGTACATCGTGGGTCGTCGGTGATCGTACGTGAGACTGACCTGATAAACTCGTCCGTATTAGTAGTCTCCATATATAAAGGAACGTATCATTCTCACTTGAATACTAATAAAGGGCTAATGAAGAGGACTTTATCAGGTATAAAGGTCTATGCACGTGACGTGTATGGTCGATCCAATTGGCTTATGAATTATTCATCAGTAATGATTAACAGAGAACCCGATGGTAAGTTTCTTAATACTAGGTGTCAACCATATCTCGGTTATAAACTCTACCAATATCTAATCCTAAGGCGGTTCAAATGCTAATATCAGCAGTATATTTTAGGCTTTCCACCTTGGCAGCATCCATGTTCCATAAGCCCAATACCCGCAATATTCAGTCAAATTTAACCGGCGAGATCCAGGTGAGCTAGATAAGGTAAGGTAACAACCGATCATGTCCTCACATCAATAGCACTGACGTGTTAATGAACTGCTGTATATCTACATCAAAACGAGGCTATGCACTCATGTTTACCACACTTTACTAAAATAAAGCTAGTCTAAAATATCCATTTTTTGTTTAAAACTTAAACCGGGACGTTTAACGAAATTACATTTTTTTACATTTACAGTTTTGTCGAGTTTTTAAAACGAAGGTTTGATTGGGATAGCTAATGGTTCAGAAAGGCCACTGAAACATTTGACCCTATTCTCAAAATGTTACCAGATAACTCCATAGTCTCATGTTTGTTGGTAAACAAGAAAGAGCCGGTTCGATCCTAAAGCTTACCTTTCTTTAATGATTACGATTAATGATGCCGGAGAATCGACTGATTAAGCATCATATATACTTCTAAAAAAACGTTCAAAGAAAGTGTTACAGAAACCAATGTAGAGAACTGGTTTCCAAGTCTTCAGTCAGTCTTATTTAATGCCTTGGGTCCAACAACTGGATCATTACATTCCCTTGTTGGATTCTAAACCAGACTGAGCTGAACAGGGTAGCATGCATGACCAGTATTCTGTCTTCCCTGCTTTTCCTCCAGTTAGTAACTTGGAACCAGTACAATCATTTTACATCAGTTTTAGTTTACTATCAACTAAATGTTTCTCAGCGCTTGCAGTCGTATTATTRTATTGGTTACTTCAACTTCCCCAAGGTTAGTTGTACAGTACTTGGCCATCACATCAAGTTTACTGATATACGCTTGGCCTTGTAAAACTATTCTACCCATCAGCCAAGAAGTTCCGCAACCAGTGGAGGCATGTCAAGTTTGCCAAAGAATTCCAGAGTTACATAATTTTCCAGTGCTTTCTCGCTGTATGCTCGGAGAGTCGGAAGGCACAGAAGAAGCTTGCCAAGTCGATTTACCTTGTCTGGGTAGCGATTCATTTCATAGTCACGCAAGCACGAAGAAATTTTGGACTGCAGTTGTGACACTTTTGCTTTATCCACCAAACCTTGAGCATCTGAAAACGAAATAAACGACTCAAGCTCGTTTTCTTTTCCCTACCAATTCCTACAGCCGCCCCAATGATCCGCACGGTCCTATATTGAGACCGGAACGACATGCTTGTCAAGATGACACCGATTGGTCGAGTGAAAGTAGCGCGCACCAACCAGTCCCAGCGGAGACAGACGACGTATTCTACACGACGTTAACTGTGCCCGCGGTATGTACGCGTGTTTTAATGGGATAATCAGTCTCAGTTCCTGTGTAAGTCAGTAACGTATAATTGCTTTTCAAGGCACCCATATGAAAACTGCTCTAGTATCAAAGCATACATACATACATACTATACTTACCGGGACTCAACAGCACAAGTCCTGAAAGACAAGCAAATTCGTTGACATCTATGTTCAAATTTCTTAATTTGCCACAGAATTCCAGAGTTGTTGCGGTCAAATCTTTGCTCCATCCCATCTTGATACAGGCTTCAGCATCACAAATGACTTTCTCAGTGAACCTGAGAGACATTGGATCACAAGGGATGGATCTGTAAGCTAACCTAAACACATTCAGATCCATGAACGATGTCTTCAACAAAGTGATCTGGTCGTCCAAGCGTAAATCCTTGAACCCAGGCACGTCTTTACTCCATTGGATAACTTCGTATAACTCACGATAACCAGTTTGCATCAGTTTATTAACATCTACACCATCCGTCTGGTCGCCTACATCTGGAACGGGGCTTTCTGGTATTACGGCCACATTTGTTGCGATTTGTTCGATGATTTCCATGTACTCGTCTGACGTCTCTGATTCCTCTACATATTGGTCTTCCCCTTGGCTAGAAGTTAAGTCCACTTCCAACGACGAACTTTTAGATGGTTTTGATGCTAGCTTTGGCTTTTTGAGTTTGTGATCTTGGAGCGATGCATGTCTGTGTCTTCCACCTGGGGCGCGATCTTGCCTGACGGCTGCAAGACAACAAACCAATATACACCATTTAACACGACTAGAGGTGAAATGTTTATTCTAAATGAAAGGATTTAGTATCTAGGCACACATAACTGAATGAGAATTGGAAATATACTGCATTAATATAAAAAGTTTGATTACCGAGCTTGAGCATGCCGTTGTCCAGACACTTCTGGAATCGACAGTATTGGCACCTGTTTCTAGTCATTTGGTTAACGTCACACTTTCCATCAGCTTTGCAGGTGTAATCTAACTGTTTCTGTACAGTACGCTTAAAGAAGCCCTTGCATCCTTCACAAGTAAACACGCCATAATGATATCCAGTAGCTTTGTCACTACATACTACACAAAGTGGACCTGTGGATCCCTCTTGTACAACCTCGGCTGCCTTGCCATTTTCTTCTGGCACTACGTCTGCTTCTGATTTCGACGAGTTTAAGTTTAATTTTCTGATAAACTGACATGGTTCCAGTTCTTCAAGGCTATTGGATCGTTTTATTTTGGCGTTTGACGAGTCAGCTGCTATGTTGTTTTCTAAGAAGACCGCGTCGGAACCTTCACTACACGTGGATGTAGAACGATAACTACGCATCGACGGAGGAACGTTTTCTTGTTGCAACTCCATCTCTGACATTCTGCAGATTTGAAAAAGGTTAAGCTTCAAAAAGATTGTATAAACTATCTAATCATTTAAAGAGCAACGGAAAGAACAGGTAAGTGTCCTGAATGATGAATGAATCTAAAAAATAGATATTCTCAAATAGAAACTTCCGGCCGTCGAGTGATCAAGTACTTCATATTTGTTGGCTCAAGCTGCCGGATCTGATGCAAGTCTTAAGAATGAGGCAGGCCCAAACAAATCCAGTACAAAAAGTTCAACGTATGACCACAAGACCTCTCAGTAAATGACCTAAGACTACACTTGTCAATATTATTCCTTTCAGAAACTAAAGAGGGCCTCTAGGTTATCAGTATGAGTTTTTAAATTATAACTGTCAGGTGTTACCCTCATTCATTCATTCAAAGAACCTCAACTGTACCGGGAGAAGTAAACTGCAGATTACAGATCACGGGTGGCAGGTTATAGATAGCAGGTTGCACTATATATATCACCTTTTCTGGATACAAAACTAGCCGATATGACTGAATTCGTTGTGTGACACCAACAGGAAACAGTAAAACGTGTTGACAGAATATACGGATTTGACCTTGAAAGTGGAGAATATAGGTATTAACAAAGATATATTTGAAATATATTTGGGTTTATATAATGATAGCTGCTGGATTTTGCTGAAACAAAAATCAAATAATTCATATCATTTAATGTAACTGTTTAGCTTGTGGAAATATTCCAAGTTTGCCGCAAGTGCCTGACAAGTCACAAGAATATTAACTAGACAGATAGGAGAGAGTTAAGTCATCAATCTATAACTTGCAACCTTCAGTTTATTCCCTACATATCTACTCTCATATGAATGATGGGTACAAATTCAAAATCAAAGTATTTGCTTTTAAGAATTTCTCCTATATAAACTAGAAAACCTGGAATAATGCTAATTGGTTTAGTAGGATACTCAAAAATGGACTCAGCAATACAATCAATGTGCCTGGTTTGTTATTCAGGTGATTTAATCAAGGGCCAAGTAATCTTCTGACATCAACTGTCCCCAGTTTGTTTGGGATCTGTTCATTGTGTTGCATGAAAATTAAGGATATCAGTTTACCTGAACTGAAGTACAAGGAGAAATTATATTTCTTTAAGAAGAACTCACTACAATTCTCAGACAGAATATCTTTTAAAAGTAGTGGAAGATACAGGTAATTTTTGAAGGGGGAGAGGAGTAACTATCAAGGAAAAAGGGGTGGCTTGCTAAGAATAATAGTGTGAAATTTGAGTGAAAATGGGGTGCCAACCCACCCCCTTCACCACCCCTGGATCCATCTCTGAAAAGTAATAAAAATACAATAAAATGACTGAGGTCTTGAAAATGTATGAAATTATTTGAAAACTGAATTCAATAATTGTTTTTTTTTATAGATTTAGTTATACCAAGGAAAAAGATTTCATTCTGCATTAAAAAAAATAAAAACCCATTTTCAATCTCCAATGTGACCTTGAAAGAACTTGGCATGATAAAATCTAATAATTTTTTTTTCCTACAGACAATACATTTATACAATACATAAGAAGGATAGTGAGTAAAATGTATTAGAATATATCTTCCAACAGCAAACCATGTACCTTATTCAACGATTCTGGCTGAAAAAACAACATGACCCTAACACGTTTCCTTGGCAATTTGTTTTGCAACAAACAATACAAGTGTACAACTTTCTTTATATAGCCTACAGTTAGGTGTGATAAATGCTATTTTAAGAACAGTCTTCTTTACTCATTACAATTGCAGGTCAGGCAGCAGTATGACAAAATGTCAATAGAATATTAGYTAGTTGCCATGGTAATATATAAATGGAAAGTAAGGAAGAAGGGTTCCACAAATAATATTGATAGGCCTTAAGTACATATTGTGTAAAYAACAGCTATCAAATTTGGCCTTAGGTAATTTTCAAACATTTCTCAAATCTGCACATTTTACCTGYTACAAATGTGTTTGATTTGTCATGTAGTGTAGGTTCTATTGATGGTGCAATTATATACTTGCTATTCATGCAGATTATTATCAACCACAACTACTACAATTCAAAACATGTTTAAAAATAAAGAAAAGAAGTAGTTACAAGAAATATAACATATTAAGACAAGCTGTGTGTTATTGTTATTGACAGTAATGTTACAAGAAAAATAAACAACTTTCTATATTCTAAAAAAACACTCAAGGCATACCTGATTTCCTTATTACTTTATAAGTTATATGTAAAGTACATACAAAGACACATACTTTATTTGCTAATGCAAGTTCATATTTGGGCAGCACAGGTTGGCATGAACCTGCCTACTTAAACTAACAATTTAGAGTGAAGTCATTAAACCTGTGAAATAAATATTAGACTAATACACTTTAGCAAACCTTAATTCCATTGCTTTCTTTTATGTCTATTTGACTATTACACATTGACTAATAGTTTTTATTTCACAGGTTAAATGCCTTCATTCTAAAAACAATTTAAAAAAATGTATATAAATTAGATAAAAATCTACTCATATTTACAGAATTTCAAATTTATCCTCAAGAGATTCAGGAACCAACATTCAGACATAAACTATCAGACTCATTGTTTTGGTAAAAACCAGTGGCTTCCGTGCCTCCCCCTGGTAAAGGGAAAATGAAAGTGAAACTACCATTGTATCTGAGTGATCACTATTTTCTTGCAAACTCTCATCAATACTTGTAACAGACACAGACATTGCCCACTACAATAATTCATAGACAAACAAACCTCATCAAAAGGGTCCATCAGATCTATTGTAATGCAATCAAGAAAAATTAATTAAAAACTACTTAATTTTGGAGCAGTTAACATGTTTTCTAACTTGATAAAGTAAAAGAATCCTTTCACTTTATTGATAGATACTAGAATTAAAAAAATATAAATACTGAAATAAACATGAAACAATAGATGAATGGTGGGTGACTATTCCTAGCTGTATGGATATGAATGATATTAAGAGGTGTACAACGGATACATATATTATAGTACCCTTAATTGTGCAGTGATATCACACTATCTGCGAATAAACAAGCTTTCTATTACTGAATGATGAAACCATCTTGTACATTTGTGTAATTAGTAGATTCATAAAGTACGAACAACGTGATCAAGCTTATTTACAATTATTGTTAAGAGGAATTGGTTCTCAAACAAGGGCGATCTGTGACCACAATAAAAATAATATAAGTAAACCAGATCTGAAATGTTTAGATTACAAGTTTTCGACGAGTGTGAGAAAAACCATAGCATGCATTTGTCTTAGTACTTCAAATCATAAGGACTTGAGGAATGAACTATGTATCTATTACACCATAAAAATATGTAAAAAAAGAAATTTTTTTTTACACCAATGATTGAATACATAAATCAGGAAATAGATATATGTAACTTTGTAGTTCATTGAGGCGTTACGTTCAAGACGAGGGACTAGTAAACAAGATCAACCATTTGCGGTTAGGTTTCGATTTACATGCACCACTACAAACAAAAGAAAGATAAACTTAAAGCAGAATACACCATATRTTATGTAAACTTGTAGTTTTTGTACATAATGAATGGATGGGGTGATGTTGACTGTAGAGTATTGGGTGATGTCCTGCTGATCTCTCTGTGGCTGTTCAAGAAAATCTCGGCAAACAAGTAGCGTTACAATACGTAAATCTTGTAAAACATATCCGAAGGTAAGTGGAGCAGTTTTTTTACAAGAACAGATTGTATTTTGGCATCCTGCAGGCGGGAATGGTTTTCAGAATAATTTGAGGTTATGCTCGACCACTACACGCGCGAGCCATGAATTCGATCGTCAGGCAAACATTTATTACTTCGTAATCACTATTTTTCACACAAATAAAGTGTTTACTTTTGGTTTATTCCTTGCGGATGTCTTTAGCCTCTTAGCAATAAGTACTTAGCAATAGGTAAAATGTATGCCATGAAAGTAGATAGAGGGTATCAAGTCTTATGTACTGATAGCTGGTTCGGTTTGCTGAACAGGCAATCCATAAGAAAAGTGTCAAAGTTTATCGATTCAAGATAAAACGTGCTCGACAAGCTACCGAGGTAGCGACACTCTCAAAACAAAAATAAGATTTAAGAGAGGAAGGCAATAGATTCATGTTAGTGTAACGCCGATCAAGGAAATTAGGGTCGGTCGCAAGCTAAATGTAAAACTTTGGCGTTTATTTTTGGACCAAAGCCTAAATCCTTAGCCCTCAAAGTTACGAAAAAAAAAATGTCGATTAACACCAGACACAACCTGAATCCTTTCATTTATACCCAAAATAGCACGATTTACAGACCCCAAAAATCAAATAATCGCTCTCCCAAGTAATATTCAGATGCAAAAAGTATACCAAAACAACGTTATGGCTGTAAGCTGAATCGTGTGTCGTGCGAGAAAACTGTCTGATTCTAACAGGTATTTCAACGTGTACCGATGCATACTTCGATTCAAATCCATAGATTATATGTTAATACGATACTTACTGTTATAAAATTACTCTTCCAACGATCTGAATGTTGATTTTTCGAGGAAAAGACGGCAGAATGCAGCCCACATTCAACCAAAAATTGAAGTAAACATCGGCTGTTTGCAAAGATCGGGCAATCCTTGAGGAGACTGGGGTTAGTCACGTGATTTGGTTCTATTTTTATCAGTCTGGCTGGCTGGCTCTCATGCCCATGGCACCGACATCACACCTGTGCGAAGAAAAACGGCAAGACAACGACACCAACTGATGAATAGACTTTAATGGTTACAGGAAATGTTTACATTCGGGCTACTGTAAAAAACCAAACGATATTTTTGTGGCTGAATAAATTAAAGTTTAGCTGCATCCCACCCAAAATGCACTATGGGCACTATGTATATCCAATCAGCGAACTCGGTACATTTTTTTCTGTGCTGACATTATTTACCGATGAATATAATATACTTCATGCAACATAACGTTATTCACCGACGTTTTTTTGAAGTACCTGTACGTATATGCAACTTAACTAACGGTGCTAGTAATGCTGGGTTAGTGAAGGAAAACTGCTCATTGCATGGCGATAATAAATAACCTGGGGAGTAAGGAATGGAAAATGAGATTTTGGTAATTGGGAATGAGAAAATGGGATGGCAAAAAACGAAATTGATTCTTTTCCTCTAGGATAGCAGTTGCTAAAATTGTTAACAAACCCCGGTTGAAAAACTCGATAAAACAAGATTTGAACTAGAATACCAAAGTTTTAGCTGTTGCAATTGGAGACAAGGTTAAAGCTAGGATCCAGGGCAGGGATCCTTTACTTATTATTAGCTATTATACAGAAAAGTGTTACCTCTCTCCTAATGGACTCCTTAATATAAACCATGATGCTTGATATYGCATGTTAGTGTACGGGTCTAAAGGCTGGCAGTTGCCTTTGGTAGCTGTTATGTCTTTCCCTTTAGCATGGCCGTTCAGGGTTATGGAATGAAAAAAACGCACGCACAAAAAAAACATCAAGAGACAAAACAGCAAAACCTTAAGGTGGCTGACTACTTTGGGAAAAAATAAACAGAAAATTATACAATCCTGAGGTTGGAGGGTAACGTAGCCTTCCTTGGGGAAGGCCGGTAAAGTAGCATCGTTCTGGAGGAGCCCTCTGTTAATGCCTTAGACTCATSAGGCTCAGCGAAAACGAGTACAATATTCATGCTACAAAACCACATTTTTCACAGAAAGAGTCAACTATTACAACGATTCCGCTCGTTGCTTTATACCTGCAGGGCGCATGGGCGGATATCGGTGGGAGGTACTCATAACCAAGTTTAGTTTTGGGTCAAAAAGTCCAATTATGCAAGAATACGTCTTCCGTTATACGATCTTGGTCTCAATGTCTTGACACAAATGCTGAGAGACTAGAGTGCTGAATGATAGTAGATCTCTTGCTGAAAGAAATCAATAATTATAATTATCGAGTCATGTAATCTGAATAGACATGAAGCCTGCGCTCAGTGTCGCATCCATTTTTTTGACCTTTCTTTTCTAAGGCGGTTTTTAGCCCAAGACAAGGTTTTCAACACCTTGTTTTTAATGTGAAGATGAACAGTTCAAAAAGGTGGAATCAAAGGCATGCCGAACTTGTTGGCTGCCGCAGGTAGGAACAGACAAGCGACTGTTACTGAATTAAAGACATGTTTGTCACATCTTTTCTCCTTTATTAGGACTGAATTCATCAGAAATGATTATATCATCCAACATGGCGGAAAGTGGTCATGAGACTTGGTTTATTGAATCCCAACCAAGAAATAAATAATCAAATCAGGACTGACAGTGTCGTCAAACTCAGGGAATGCTAGGAAAATGGAAGAGGCTTAAAAAAGAACTGCTATTATTAAATTAACATTAATTCTTTAATCTTTATTTAGGTCCTGACGCTGCAGACATATATTTATATTATTTACATGTGTATTCTTATTAAAGAATTTATTAAGATTTTCTCAGTGGCGAATTTAAGGGAGCCTAATATCTAGGCAAATAATAGCTATTACCCAAGGTACCCATGTACCCTCCCCACCCCTGTTGATTCATTGGTAGAAATCTGCTGCACTTGTTCTCAGTAACAAGGCTTTTACACTCACAACTGATCTGAAATCTGTACACTGTTAAACTACCAAAATGAATCTTGTACCAGTCAAAATCTTCTTGGCTGACGTAAATCTTGTCGGTATTGGTGGACGATGCTTTTTCTTTTTTCTTCAAACAAATGTTGACAGCTGCGTCTCCTGCGTCGTATATGCCAAGTTTCTCGTTTTCCTCTGTGTTGACTTTATTCTTGAATTTTCCTGTCAGCGGAATGCAACACAGTAAAACATATGCGCCATATTTAACGGCTGCAACAAAGGTATGGAAAACAACTTTTGGGCAAGTCAACCCGGCAAGCATTTCCTAAAGGTTATAGGGTCGCTAACTACGCCTAACACGACCGCCGGCATGCATACTGTTCAGAAAAAAAGAGAAAGGTACAGGTGGCTTGTTGGTGCACACCTAGCGATTTTAACTCTAATAATCCTATAATATAAATACTGTACTGCAGATTTACCTATCTAGACACCCCTTCTCTTTTTCGAATTCTAAAGAAACTTAATATTCTTTCCACTTGGCAAGGGAATTACTGAATATCTTATAGGATTATGTTCAGCTCTAATCAGGACAAAAAATAAGATTATTCTAATACTTCAGTCAGCCGGTAGGCTACACATCCCCCGATTTTAAAGATGTCTGAGTATTAATATGGGAAAAATGATATCACTTTTAGATAATCCGTTAAGAAGCTTTGTTATGCATCGCAAGTGGGTTTGAAGTCATCGTCACCGCCCACACTACCATACATGTCAAGTTTCGAGTTGTTTTATCCATGGTGGGTAATTCTTAGTTAAAAACTGGAAGATCAAAGTTTTACTCAAGAACGCTCAGTTACTAACTTGTGATTTCCAATCAATATCTTATTTCATGTTTCTAGAACCTCACCATAGTAAATTAAGGTAAAATCTTGATAAATGAAACTGTAAAATAATGATCGCCTCATATTTTGCCCAAAAATAATAAATACAATAAATAGTACTGTACGTAATTGGGCAGATTGACGCCTTCTTTAACGTAAATACTATGAGTGAATGACAATCTAGCACTGATCCCGTTAATGCAGTCAAGAAACTGAACATCCTCGAAAACAAAGCAACCGACATTACTAGTGAATGATCATTAAAATAGTTCTGCTGGATCAAATACAGTTAATTTTTACGACAAAATTTAATGTTAGTTTTATTTATTGTCTGCYCCCATTACAAGATATAATAAAAAACATACTTTAATTGGTGACATCTTTACATTATTTTTTCGTTCCTGGCTAAAGACCTGTTCGCGTGTTAGATAAGATCGAGCTAACGTTTTAGTCTGACTCACCTTGTTTAGCAAGCTTCCTGTAGTGTTCAAYACAAGCCTTATCTTCAGGTAAAATAATCCTTACTTTAGCAGGATACTGCCAATAAGTTGTAAAAACTACATCAATAGAGTTTGCAGGACCATCGTTGCCGACTTGGAGGGAGGGTGCCAAACCTCCTGTTGCTATGATACGTTGAAAGCCACCATGATCGGGTACTCCTATATGCCTTTTTCTTCTTCCTTCTTTCTTGGATGGTATTGTGTCATTTTCCGAGTGTTCTAATTCCCAATACTCATCTAAGATTAACACCATATAGATTAGCAAAGCAACTCTATTGAAATAACTCAGCCTGCATGCTTTACATACCATGATAATTTGATCAAACAGTTTTCATTCTGTTTTGCCTTAAAATATGCCACCTGGTAACGATTAATCCAAGCATTTTATAGGTTACCTGAATTGTAAATTGTTTTGCCAGGAAATCCTGTCCTTCTATTCATTATATTAAKCTTGCTGAAAGACTTGGTGTTGTAGCGCAGCTGACAAGTGTCTGCTCTGCTCTGTTCATGCACATTTGTACCCTCAACAAATGAGAATTCCTTTCCATCTCCTTCAAAGCCCTTGCAATCTGCCATCCAGTAGATGAATAGGTCGTTTCCCAAACCTTCCATACTGACTGAGAGTGGGGAGCTATTCACARCTACTGAAGATTTTTTGAATGGTGTGACTAGTGGTTGACCAGTCYTCCCATCAAGAATGGTAACCTTTACAAGGATAAATAGAGACAAGCAAATGTATTTGTATCAAATAACAAAGCTTGTAGATGAAAACTAGTTTGATGTAAATACCTGTGAATAGTAGTATATAGGAAATCCCGGTCCATAGTTGTATCGAACCATTATGTCAGGAATGTCATCATCATTATATAAACCTGCTCCAGGAGTTCTAGCAAGATATCAGAAAAAATCAAATGACTTTGCTCAACATTCGAGAACATAACTAATACAAAATGTGTAGTCCCCCCTACCCCCAACAACTTCCAATTTTTTTCCATACAAACTCTGTAATTTTGTTCTTTTTATGGGTGTGGGGTATGGATGTTAGCTAACAATGAATGCATGTAAAAGTTGATTTTATACCATCCCTATATATTATACCCCTCATAGCTGTTCAATACCCTATTATACGTACGCGTATGATTCACTATTGGGAAAGGAATAATTCCAGATCATCTTGTATGTCTCTCCATCAAAAGCAGCAACTGTAGTGTTAAACATGGATATAACTATATCCACAGTGCCATCTTTGTTTAAATCCACCAGTAAAGGGGGTGTCATGACTCCTGATGATCAAGGGTTTTAGGTAATTAGTAAGAATYCTATCATAATCAGTACTGTTATATATGACTATAGTACTATTATGTACCTTTATACTTGTCTTCATAAATTTGCTGGGCTGTTTCCACCATACCTAAATAAAGGTTCATCAATGGAATCACCCATAAGCCACCAGGGTGTGTTTCTCCGCCAGTCCCAAAGATAACCATCTGTCTGCCATCTTTTTTATGATACAAGACTGGCGAAAAATAGATCTCTCTTTCATCTGGCACTATTGTCCATCTAAGTACTTTCCCTGTCTTCCCAGAGAAAATGATCAGTCTACCTTTTAGTCTTTTTGGACTGTTTGCCTCTCTATGACAAGAAATAGTGGTTGCACTRTTATTAGTCAACTTAAATATCAATTGGTTAAAATTTTTGTTGAAATTTTTTTGGGGCTTTTTTTGTACTCCGAACGAAGGACTAGCGTCCGAAATGTCAGTAAGTTTTTTCATCTTTTTCACGGTGTATAATTTACCTTTTCACTATTACTGTTTCATTAGAAACACCAACGCAGCTCACACTAGTTTTTAGCTAGTTATATCTTCTTCAAAATTTTTGTTAGTTACTTGACACTTACTTGATTATGATGACACTGATATATATATATAATATGTGTATAATAGCTGTAGATAGTGTACAATGTACTTACGCAAGAGGATCGCCTCCATGAGCAGCCAATACCTCCATAACACCATCTCCATCCAGGTCACGAATAAACTGGGCTGTATAAAAGTTCATATTCTCATCTCTTGCTGGCTGTTCATCCATGTTCCACAGCAATTTTCCTGTCTTCCCACTGATTGCCTGGAAAGCTCCTCCTCTACCACCCAACAGGCAATCCCAAGTGCCATCATGATCCAAGTCTCCATTACAGTTTAATGCATAAATCTCATGCATAGAGTAATGCCTCCACAGTTCTTTCCCTGTGTTACCATCAAGAGCCAAAGCACCACCAAAGCAGGGGTATGAACCATTGAAGTAGAGATCACAGGAGAGTCTTGGGGGTTTATGAGCATCAACACCAGTGGAAAAGCTGATGATGATGTCTTTTACACCATCACCATTAACATCATTCAGGCGGACAGCTGTTTCGGTCATGAGTTTTGGTAAATTGGAATGCCAAATGTTCTTAGTCTTAAGGACATCACATGCCTCAATGTTCTTGTCATTTCCATAAAAAACATGTTCCCCTTGAATCCCTTTTTTCACATGGTTTGATTCACTGTTTGCATTTAAATCAGCAGAATCAATAGCACGTAAAATAAGCAATACAAGACCAACAACACAGATGCTAAAGAATGCTAACCACATAAAACATGACAAACAAGACTTTGTTGTGCACCAAGGTTTTGTATGCTTGTGCCGAATCTTTGTTTTCGTGTGTGGGGCCATAAGTGGCTTCTGTACTTCTGATTTTGAGCTGACRTGTCGGACTGAAAAGCTCTTGCTGTAGTCATCTAGTTCATTATCTAGTTCATCTTCAGTGAAATCATCCTCATCACTTTCCAGATCTAATATATTATTTGTTTGTGGCTTGTACATATTACTCAGGGCCATTCTTCACAGCTGTAAAACAGTAATATCTAATAAGCTAACATCCAAAAGAAACAATTAAGAAGTCAATTATATTTCTTAGGTTTTTTGGCCAAATAAGACAAAACATCTTCAGCTTTATGGGACATTATAATTACTAAATTTGAATAAAAGAACTAAGGTAATAATTTTAAAACATATATTAACACGTCTGCGAACACTACCGGGAGAAAATAAAACGAAAAAGCTGTAAGAATAGATATGAACGGTGAGAATAAGAATAAGACAAAAATTCACAACAGTTTGAACCTGATGGGGAGAACAATACGGAAAGAAGTGGTACGGAAAAACTTTCCATATTTTGTGTATAATCGTCTTCATAACACAACATAAGAATTGGTATTCTAAACTTAGAAACTAAGATCGAAGGTCAATCAAATAATTACCGAAAAGGACGAAAAAAGCTTATCTTCTACAGCTATGACTGATTGATCTTATTCGATCATGCATCTCCGCCATTTTCCTGCCAAATAATTGAATACGACTAGATTTGATCGTCTTGCAACTTACAGTTTTCTTAATATTTATGAATACGAAACAATTCACTTACCTCAGGATTCTATTCAAGATCAGATAATGAAAATATAAATAGGAGAAAGATATCTGTTTTTAAAACCTCTCGATGATTTACGTATCTTACTGTGTAAATACAGCTTCTAAGTCATGATAATTATCATGCAGACAGTTTGCCTCTCATGGRAGGGCAGGGGAATTTTATATGGCCTTGGCTGGCCATCACTATGGAGCCAGAAAACGGACCCAGGGAGGGAGGGGGGGTACTCCGCCAGAATTTGGGTAGGGATGTTCCGTTGGGATTCTGAAAGGGGTAGGTACCCTGTTTATGACAAAAAAACTCAAATTTGTAGACCTGTTTATGACAAAAGTTATAATTTATTGCACTGAGTTCCTGTTTCAATTATCATGTCATCTGGCATATTGTTTTTTTTACAACCATAATAACCAGTTTCGGTCAATGTGTAGTTTCCAGAAACCATCGATACCCRCCCCATGGAGGAATTTGGAATTTCCGAAGAGTAGGGGGGTCAGAGAAAAAAAACCAGAGTTTGTATGGAAGAAAAAAGTTCGTATGGGGTAGGGGGGTGTCTTAAAAAAATTCCTCCGTGAGGGGGGTATGGATAATTTTTGGAACTACACAATACGAAAGTAGAAACCCTGAATATGACAGAATACTCAGGAAGAACTTGGAACTCGAGTGAAATTGCATACCCTGTTTATGACAAGCTCGAAAAAAACCATACCCTGTTCAGCAAATCATCCCTGTATAGTCCACATAAGGGAGTCCCCCCTCCCTGAGCACAGAGAGCAGAAAAAAAGAAAATCACCCTTTTTGCCTTTTTAAAACCCAGATAAAGTACAAGCAATATTTCTAACCATCTCATTAGAACAGTCACACCATGCCCTCCAACTGTGTAAATACAGCTTCTTAGTCATTTTGATAACTGATTGTGGACAGTTTACCTCTCAGGGGAGGGCAGGGGAAGTTGGCCTTGGCTGGCCATCAAGAAACAAAAGGAATTTGAATATKAATACGACAACTACAGTCAAACCAGCTCATCAATCCTATCAAGGTTCAAAGATTCAGTTGATTATTGGAAGTTTGATTTCCATTCTGCTTTAAAACTTGCATTGATGAAACGAACGTTTTTTAAACCTTGATRGGAAGTATGAGCTTGTTTGACTGTGAGATACCTGCTTTCTATACCATTCAAGAAACGAGAATCTTTTGATGTAGTAAGAATTGAGCACCAGCCCTTGAAAATCCCAAAATCAAACTACCCAAATATATATATAGAGTAATAAATAAAAGCAAACTTCAACCTTTTATCTCTTCTGAGACTTTATTGTGAATCTTTATCTTGGGGGTTGTCAAGGTTTATGTAGACAATATTAACTACAGGTAAAAATAATGGAAATCAGACCAATGATGTAGAAAATGTACTCATGACAAGCACTTGTCAAGGACAGTGACAATTTTTTAGAGTGATTTTACTTTGCTCATGAAAGTCACATAACACGTAGTAAACATGAATTCCATAGTTTTCTTTCGTTTTACTTGGACTGTTAGTCACTAGTTATACTACTTCTATTCAGGAGTGAAGTATAATCATGCTAATTACATGGCCAATATACAGCTATATGAGATATAAATGCTACATAATCTTCAACAAAGTACTCTTTGTTAAACCACCTCTGTTCTCTCCAAATTTCAAGGCTATAGGCAAAAAAGAGATGTTTTATCTATTTAAGTGTGTGACCCAGACAACTAGCTATAATTACACCAAGATGTCTGGGTTCTGGTTTTCGTCATTCAAATTTCCAACAACCCAAGTTCGTACTTTTTGATTAATGTATTAGTTGTTTACCATCGTTTCATTACTAGGTGCTGTTTTACCGCAGTCCCTACAGGGAAATAGGGCAATAGACTTATCAAATAAACCTCTAGAGTAGTACCTTCCAGTGTACCTTCCAACAGTCCCCATGTCCCCTTATGTATTCTAATGATTTGTTTCACTGATGGTAGTATATTCCCTATTTCCATGTTGTGATGGTTGTCTCAATAAGTGCATACTGCCATGAAAACAGTGGAAATCAAAATAATGGATTCTTAAAGAAGGAAGTAAGGAATGGCATGGTACTTTTCACAAATAGTGGGAGAAACTTTTGTGTTCAAGATAATGTTTCACTGAATTTATCATCAACTAAATTGTTTTAAGTCTCTATATTCATAGTTAAACTAATGCAATGACCAAAGCATATCATGATGCCATTCAACTGATATTAGCAAGATAGGCTGTATCTTATCAAGAAAAAACCATGCTTCAAGAGCAGCCTTTCATCATGAAAGAGTCAACTATGAACAGTATTAACATAAAATCCAAACAAACAAATAACAATGACAATGGGCATCAGGTCCCTTAATCCATGGATTTTGGGTCAAACTTCTACTCTTTTAGTCTGAAATGCCTGATATGAACTGCTTTGAGTTCCTTTGTAATCTTGGTTTTGTATGGTATATCTTGAATAACAAAAGTTAATTAAGGGTGCAGTATACAGGCAAACACTATCAGATGCCGGGAAAATGGCAGTGAAAGCATTTTACAACTAAATAAATTACAGATTTTAACAAATTAATCCAATATACCTGTCACTATACAGTCTAACTAATTAGCAACAAATAATTGYTAATAAATTATGTAATTGAACAGGTTCATTATTACACTTGAAGAAAAACTTTTAAAATGGGCAATTTCAAAAAGGATTGCTGTGCTGCTATAGCGATGTAGAATGTTTTTACTTCCCCCATGACACAAATCATCTATTACAGGTACATAAAAATTGTATGACAACAATAGGATCAGATTCTACCACAAATTTTATGGATATTGTAAACAAAATACTGATTCACTACATTTAATAACAGCTGCCAAGCATACATCATAGCCCTGTTGGCCAACATGGCCAAAAGCTTGGTATTAAAATAAAACTACTGTATAAAACATAGTGAATACAATATTTTGTTTCCAACATCATTCTTGTCTCTTATGAAGTCTATTAAAACAGTTCACAAAAAAAAAAATTTACGAAGAAGTGAAAGAAACAGGGTAATTTAACTAAATTAAGGATGTTCTGAGTGCCCCTTTACCCAAATGTTCTCATGATTGGGACACTACAAAAGAAAAACAGTAAGAACATCCTATACTTAGCTATTACCAATCCTTACTTTGAAGTTACGTACATAAAGTTATGTGCTTGAATTTTTGTCATGATTGAACAAGATGACATTAAAAGAACTCAAGGAAATGAGTTCTTGAACCTTTCCAAAATGTTCAAGCTCCATCTTGGTGGTTCTGGGTCTAGATAACAGATGAACAAAAAATGGCCATCAAAACAACTTTAAAGCCATAGCTCACAGAAGAGCAAATCCTTCATTGTTCTTATGACATTGAAAAAAGACTAATAGTGATAGATTTTCTGTCAAAGCAATGGTTTTGTGGATTCTAGAGAAAGCAAACTGTTTGACAATGGAATCTAAAAAATACTACAGCAATGTTACAAACAATTTGCATTTCTAATATATCACTCTAGTATCTTACTGCGGTTTTTAATATTCTGCAAACTCCAACACTTCACCGGCTTGTTGTAAAATTGGTTTTTCACTGCTGCCAGTCAAGAATAAAAAASTACCGACTGATTATTCTCAAATGACGGCAGCGAAAATTAAATTTCAGCATGCTGCTTGCAACTACCGAGTTCACAGAATATACAAAACCAGTTAATTTTGGCTTTTGATTTCAATAAAATCCAATGTTTAGGTTGAGTTAAAATTAAACTGAYCATTATCGAAAGAAAAATTAATCTTAACTGGAGGTCATCTGTGTAAAGACGACATTAAGATGTTTGTGATTGGTAGGTYATCCCCTGAGGGATTTTCACCTACACTCATTTATGACTGAATCTTATAGTAGTTGTTAAATATAAGACAACCAATTTCAATATCTATGTCCTCTGACATGACATTACTGGTTTAATGATTTTTCAAAGTGCAGCCTAGYGAGTGCATGCAATAAACTCATGAAAAAATACTAATTATTGTGTAGCTCCAGAAATTATCCATAACCCCCCCCCAGGGAGGAATTTCTTTTAAGACCCCTACTCCTCTCCCTGGATATTCCAAATTTCTCCCATACAAACTCTGTAATTTCTTTTCTTTCTATGACCCCCCAACCCTTTGGAAATTCCAAATTCCTCTGTGGATTGGGCATGGATAATTTCTGGAACTACGAATTGCTAAATAATAATAATTTTGTAGTACTTAGTTTTGGTACATTTTCACAGATTTAGTGCTTACACTTTACACTATATGGCATGCTTGTCTTTTCTTGCTTATATACAACATATTGTAGCACTGATACAACATATTGTAGCACTTCCAACTTCGTGTAGTTTACCATTTTGAATAAAACAGTTATAGACTGAAAAAATAAATGAATTCAATGTTGGATTAAAAAAAAAAAAATCTACACCTGTTAAATTCAAAATGAACATGGAATCCAAATGCAGAAATAGTTAAGCCATGTTCACACTACTAATCTAGAACTCATAGTTCACTTGCAACTGGTATAAACTAGACATGAGGTGTTTTACTTTAGATCAAGCTATCCTTTTAAAAGGTGACCAGAACTAGTTCTACCTAACATGTTTGTTTCACTGAAACCAGTGTTGATATTGATCTCAAGGAACAGATTCAATAACAGTTGCCCTTAGTGTGAAAATGGCCTTAGTGTAACGGATTATTTGTTGTAGAGTAAAGTATAAGCTTTTCTCAYGAGTACTATGAAAACAACACTAATTATATGATATAGAAAAGTTTCAGAATCTGCATGTGAATTCCTTCCTTGGTTTTTAACACTTAAACTGCACAGACATTTTATGTCTTCAGCAGGTTAATGAACAGTAGAAAAATAATTTCTAAAAGGGCATTCTGTACCCACAAAACAACAACACTCGTTTTTAGTGTTGTAACTTTCACACCGTAAATCACTTTATAAAACTTTGATTTCAGAGTGATTTATTTAGCTCATGAAATAGAATATTACTATTGTTTTGATATCTCTACATTTGAATATTACATAACGAGTTTAGATCTTGTTTCACAGGTCAATTAATGAAATCACTCTTAATTACTAGGAATAGAATAGCAAAGTGTGACGTCATCCTAGTCTAACTTTTGCAATTCAGTTTTWAAATGTTCATATTTGAAAAGAATACAAATCCCATACATTTTTTCTCATTTTGCACTGGATCCAAACTAGATCCAGCACCAAATGGGAGAAAATTTATGGGGATATTTTTGTATTAAATTACCTATATTCTCAGCTGTTTATCATATCTTTACTTGCAGTTTCTTATGYCACCAAAATCCTAAAGTTCTTAAAAAATAATTTTGACCTTATCACTTTGGTATTCTATTCCCACACAGTAAAGTATTTTATTACTTACAGTTTTCCCTGAGGTATATAACTTTTTTTAGAATACTATAGATGTATATCAAAGTTCAATAAAAGGTTTAGTGTGTTTGCCCCAGATGAGTTTAGAAAAACAAGATGTAGAACAGAAATTTGCAGCTGAAACTGCCTCTTATGCTCACAGGAACAAATCCTGGCAGCTACAAAAACCTCTTTCCAGTAAATACTTATTTCTCCTTCTACACCTTGTTTAATGTATTAAACAACTGTGATATATCAGACCACCTTATAATAAGACTAATATTGTGTTGCACTGACATGACACAGTCACCTTAGCTGCATCTCATCTAGAACCATACAAATCCTAACTAACGGTTTTCCTTAGAAAATAAATTTTTATTCTAATTACAATTTGTTTTTATATCTACATATGTACAATAATTGAATGACAAATAAATAATCAAGACCTTTTCAGGTTGGGTGAGAATGCTCTAGATGCCATCAATCCATGTTTGGTGTAATGGTTGATATGTTGGATGGATATTAAAATTATGTATACGTATGTTATACAATTTGTACAAGCTAGAGCTTTCCCACCACACTTGGCTGTGTTTTCCAACAAAAAACCACTGCTACACAAAAAAATCCACTTCTAACAGCTATTCAATGAACTTTAAGATAGAACATCAAAACACTATTTTAGGCAACATTTGTTGTCTTTAAGTGATGAAATGCGATGTTGCTATTTTCCTGGGTAGCAGTGTTGATTGGCAGTTTGTATTAATGCTTGACCATAACTGCAAGACAATCTCTCTCTCCCCTCCCCCCTCCCCCCATACTTACTTTAACCTCACTAATATTACAACACATACACATATGTTGGACAAAAGATGAAGAACAAGTTCAGTCACAATGACAGCAAGGAAAGGAAAAATGGAGGTGAAGAGTATACAAAAAACTAACTCACAATGTTGGATCAATCTTCTGAATATCAGAAGAACCACTTAGACTATTTTGACATTTGAAAGTGGTACATATTAATTGTTGATGTTCTGTACATCCAAAAACAATACACCCACCATAAACAGAGTTTTGTGCACTAACTAGCAGAGAACTTGAATCAGGTACAGTTACAGTAGAAGTGGCTTCTAATAGAACTAATAGATATGAGATCATGTAAAGTGACATATATTATGGTAGTAACATGACCATTTGGGTCAATAGATGACTCTTCCAAGACATGCAAGCACACTTTCATAAATATCTCATTAGCAGACATTTATAAGAAACCTTTGGAAACCATACAGTTATAGGAGATTTCTAAAACTCGTGACCAAGAGGTTTTGTCTGAAATGACTTATATTTTCTCGAAAGTTATAATTCTGCTCCCAAACTAAAAGACACCTCAAAGTATTCCTTCAAAGACATCCTTCATTAATATAATTTCAAACTTGGTTTGTATTTTTTTTCCATACTACATATACTTTTCAAATTACTCACACATCTTGGAAAAGATCTATTGACATTTTATCATTTTATATCTTGTATTGGTCTGCAGGAATGATCAAAGAACGCTTGCACAGACTTCAAAACAATACAAATGAAATTTTCTTTTATGAGTTAACTCTATACAACCTGTCCTTACTGTCAAAGCTCTTCACTTGCATTGCATATCTCAGATAGAAACCTTTATTATTTACTGGAGCTGCGTTCTGATTGATGAACATGGACAACAGTTATTTTGAAAGCTGTAATGCTGTACTGTGGTCATGTCACAACTGATGTCATGATTAATTTGAAACCCATAAAAGTATTGATGAACGATAAACATAAAAAAGATAACAGCGCACATCATTTTAGACTAATCAGCTTTAAGTTCCCTACCAGTGAAAAAATGTGATTCATTCATCTTCTTCTGGTTGCTGCTGGTACTCGGCAACATAAAGTTTCTTGTCAATGATTGGTGGGATTGGTTGGATTTCTGTTCCAAGTTCTTGTTCTATTTGGTAAAGGTTAAATCTGTCATCATCTGTCACCAGGTTAACTGCAAGGCCAAGATGACCAAACCTTCCTGAGCGTCCAATGCGATGCAAGTATGTTTCTGAATTTTTGGGGAAGTCAAAGTTGATAACAACATTCACAGATTGTACATCAATGCCACGAGTGAACAGATCTGCAATAAATGTGAGAACTGAGTTAAATATTTTATTTATAGAAAAGAAGAGAAGAAACAGCTATACCTGTCCTTAATTGATTGAAATTGTAGTTAGTTTTATTTCTATTTTTAATGTTTTCCATTTTTGATTGGCTCGTCTTTAAATGGGACCCTTATCCTGTTGACAATGCCTAAACCCTGTCCCAGTTTTTTCTTTTAATTTAGGATTTTCATATTCATATTTTCTTCCAACTTTTCATATATTTTTACGACCTTGGTTGCAAAGAAGTATGAAATATATGCATATCTATATCCATAATTTATACATATACACTCAATTGAAGAATCGTTGTCGGGTTCAGAAACATAGAACATGGAAGCTGAGACCGAAATGGCACATGGGAAGTACGTTAATTAAATGCATACTGTGACCAGCGACCCGTGGCATCATCCACTGTTTTTAATATGCGTTTGGCATTCTAAACCGACTGCATGGATGGGGACAAATGAATAAATATAATATAATATAATTATGTCATTTCYCATGTGCCATTTCAGTCTCAGCTTTTAAGTTCTATGTTTCTGAACCCGACAACGATTCTTCAATTGAGTGTATATAATGGGAACAACACTTAAATGTTGGTAATGTATTTCATAATGTATTTCCATTATCACACAGAAAGTGATTATAAAGTCAGGACCTTGTCAATAAGCATTTTACTACAGATCAATCTTTTAAGATTTCAGTGTTACATACCTGAGCAGACTAAGTTTCTGCAGTGTCCTTGTCTGAAATCATGAAATACCTTATTCCTGTGTGCTTGGGCCATTCGTGCATGAATATAAAAGCATGAATAACCAAGTTTCAATATTTTTTTTGCTAGGAGTTCCACACGCATAACTGAGTTACAAAAGATGATTGACTGATTAATTTGGAGCTGAAAGTAAAGGAAAAAAACAAGAGCAACAAATTAGACTAGTAACTTTTGTGTCCAATATCTTTACTAAGGAAAGAGGAAGATAAAGCACAACAAGTTTGTAACTATGATGTTGTCATAAAGTTTACAACTAGGTACAAGCTTTGGGACTTCAAAGTGAAACTATCGTTAAATAGTTAAACCCTTTRTTTCCTCTATTATTTTTCTATATATTTTGATCTAAATTACCTTCTTGAAGAGGGTGTTTAAGCAATGCACTTTCTGTTTTTCTGTGACATATGCATAATACTAAAACAAAAATCCCACAAACACAACTGTAGTTAGTGTTGTATAATATTATAACAAAGATGAATGTGTATCAATCAAAGAACTGCAATAAAAGAAACAATACAGTACAGCTGGTGGGGATGTTAACATTTTACGCTAGGAAAACCATGTGTAGTACACTCCTACGCATGTAGTGCCYGCAAGTATGTTGAGCACATGATACTACCTGTAACAAACTACATGCAGCTGATTCCCTCATTARCTAGTGCCTTTTGTTGAAATTCACAATAACACGTCTACRAGTATTCTTTCTTCCAAAGCTTCTCTAATTTTTCGAAGTTTGACTAACTAAGTTTATAGTAAAATAACTTGGTAATAAATTGTCAATCAAACTGATTTGGAGTCGGAGTTTGTGTTCCTTCATGACCGGCTGCTGGTCATTTATACACTTCGAAATAATTTCCCTTAACTCATGTTCTAGATAAGTTCTGAATTTAAAAAATATATCAAAAGAAAGCTTAGGTTAAAGTGAAAAYGACTATTATATTTTTGTCGTTGAGAAATAAGTAATTAGAAAACAATTTTTGTGTTAACAAAGATTGTCAAGCCTTCTATTGCCCGTTGTTGGTTTCATGATAAATTCCAAAGTGCGATTTGGAGAAATTTCTCAGATAGCACAAAAACAGCGTTAAGTTGCCATGAGCACTACATGCACTTGAGTGTAGTCACTGGGTTGACTGCCCGCGGAGATCGTGCGTGGACATGTTAACATTCTCRTGAGCTGTACTGTACCTTGAGGGAGATTTTAGATTGAATTAAAGATTTTAGATAATTAGGATTAAAATATTTAATAAAGTCTAAAGATCTCCCTCAAGATACTGTTTTTTATTGCAGTTCTTAAAAAGAGTTACACTTTAACAATAATAATGGTAGTAAAGTCATACCTGGGTTACTCCAAACAGAGTTAGTTCATCCATCAAGTTAATTTCATAAGGCTTTACTAGGTGTTTATCCTAAAAATTGATTTACAAATAATTTTTTCTTAATACTACTTTGAAATATTCAAAATCTGTTTTAAAACTTGATGAAGATGATAATAACAATAATAATATAAGTTGCTTATTGGGACCTCGCGCTATATGCTGACASTACACACGTCAAGGCTAACAGAATCGATGCCACCATTATCAACAAGGAGAAGAAGGAAATCTCAGTCATCGAGATGAGCTGTCCTTGGCTTATGAACAGGGAAGCAAAAGACACTGAGAAGACGACTAAGTAAAGTCCACTCTGCTGGGAGTTGAAGCAGAGATACCCAGGACACCRCATCACACACAACAACATTATCATTTTTTTTTTTTAGTTCATGAATTGTAAATTATGTAATTATTAGCATTAACTAAGATTTTTTTTTGAGATTTTAATTT